CCAAAAAAGATCTGCAGCGCCGATCTTTCTGTAACTTCGCAAAGTGTTCTGAACATTCTCAATAAACTTTCTTGTTCAGTCTCCGAAGGGTTCCGGGTTGCAGTATTCGAAAGATAGGAAGAGGTCTCTCGAGCGTGACATTCAGCCACTGACCGAGATAAAGCTGACTTTCAATCTGAGCGCTTCGACAATGTTGCCCCGGCCAACTTCGCTATCAAACGACTGATAACAGCGGTGTTTGAATCGGCAGTCTTCGGCATTGTGACCATCCATGACAATCTATGGGCGCTTTTCCGTAGCTTCTGGGGTCAGACGTGTAATTCCGCGATGCTCAATGCAAACCTCCACCGATTTTCTTCATATTTCACCCATATGTACTGTCCAGGATGCAAGTGAAGTGTGCGAAGTCTGAAATGTATTGGAGAGGAAGGGAGGGAGATATCCATGAAATACGTTATGGGTCGTAGCTTCTGGGGTCATGCTAGTAAGTAGACAATGTGGCGGGATGGAAGAGGAACACGGGGCGGCCCGACATTGATGTACTTGTTCTCGTACATTGTACAAGGTACTACGCGTTCGTCCAGCCGCTCCCGACTCTCCTCTCCTGTCCAATCTCTTTGCCACTAGTCCCTTCGCTTCACCCCATGTGCGGCTGTGACTGCCCCTCCCCGAACGGTCGTCTCATCTTCAGTCGCGCACGTTGTTCGCTATGTCCCACGAACTCCCCGCCGACGCTGATAGTCACAGTTTTATTCCTCCATCTTTCCTGTTCTCCTGATAGCCCTGCTCTCCATTGCTACGCTCGCTCTGGCTTTATGGTGCTTTTGCTCTTCCTCCCGCACTTGCTGGCGACTGGTATGCCCTTCCTTGTGCGCCACGATGAGTTACTCTGGACGCTTTCTCTTTACTGGCGACATCGTCGATGGCCGCCTTTACCCTTGATGGTCAGCGTGAACTCAATCCCGCGCCGCAGCCCACACCGACACCCTCCGCTCCGACTGTCCCCGGACGCCAGGTACGTACGTGTTCTCCAGTCAACCGCACTGTCAAACCAGCATGGTTCCTTGCCGCACGCCACTCATTTTCTTCCTGCGCTCGCCGTCAGAGTCAGCATCGGCTTCGACGCACCACTATCCTGTCGTCGCTTACGACGGCTCACACCATCCACCCCCCCACGTCCCCCCACGTCCCCCCGCGCTGCCGGCTAGCCCACCATCCCAGATGTGGTGTACTTCAGGAGTGACCGCCGATCGCCTGCGCGTTGTCTTGTTCACCTTTGCAACCCCTTTCGCAGCGTCATCAACGTCATTCGGGTTTTGCTGAAATCTCTGCGGCAAATCCACTTCATTGTCCTCGCGCTCTACGCCTCCCGACCCAAGGTAGGTGAGCTCGCAATTTTTTGGAGCCGCGCGAGTGGCGAACGAGGAGATTGTGCGCAGCGATTCCTGAAGTTGCTGACATACGTGTATGGGGACAAGACGGTACTTGAACGGGTATAACGCGGACGATATGCCGCTAAAGCTGTCGTGGTCCAGTGCTGCGCTCAGGTTCATCAAGTACGCCCCTCCCTTCTGCGTATGCCCGCACATTGTTCTCAATACAATGCGCATGTAGCATCGTCGACCCGACGCTGGAGAATGACCGCGCCTCGCACGAGGCTGAGGGCCCCCTCTCCGCTCCCCTCGCACCGCCCCTTGAGAACGAGGTGCAGAGCTGCCGGTCGGGCGAGGAATATGGGGTGTATGCCGAAGCGTGAGTGTCGTTTACATTCTTTGCTTCTCTCCGCTACTCAGGCTTCGAATCTGAGTGATCAACGCGGCTAGGGATCCATTGATGCGTCCCTCCTCTCTTTCGTTCATATTACCGATGGACGACCAGCATGTTCACCTCAGATCCCGTCGGCCGCCCTCTTCCTCGGCAACCCTTTCGACGCCTAATGCCCTACGCCGATACAACCGTTCTCCTTCGCAGTCGTCTCTAACTCTTGGTGTACCTCCATGACGATGGATTGGATGTACACTGGCCCTCAGATACCGTTTACACCTGTCGTACACGATTCGATCCCTTCACCAAGATCCGCCCCTCGACAGTGTCTCCCAGACCCGACGAGGGGACACGACGCCCTTCCTCGTGGCCTCAGGACTCGACTCGACCGACCTCATATTCACCTGGCGAGGGTCACCGATCATCGCGCTCAGAATAACAACAGTCTGTAGGATAGAAGATTAGCGAAACACCTTGTCATGACATGCCAGCGAACACGGACTACGAGGCAAGCGCACGCGCCAATCTTGAGCATAGGATCCGCACTGTACAAGCCGCTCTCCTCGTCGAACGTCGAGTGACCATACGTACGGCCGATGAACATGTACGGGATGCTAAGGCGCAGGCAGCCGATGACAAAGTCAATGGTTGCACCGATGAGCTGCTTGTGCCCCTTGTTCCCGTCCTTGGGCACAGACCTGTTCGAGTGAAAGTAGATCTGACAAAAGTTTAGACGATGCTTTAATCATACGCTCTAGGATGCATTCGCACGACCTAGATTGCTATACATGAGCAGTAGTAGCCAGCGAGACGCCCTCAAGCCTTATCCGCCGCCCGTTTCGCATCGCGTTCCTCCTTCAGAGTGCTGATCTCTTCGAGACTCACAACTTTGAATGGCCAGGTGATGGCGTTCCCTCCGCTCCGCATAATTGGGAGACCCATGTCCTCGAGGTCATCGTCGGCATGTTGGGACCACCTGGTTCATAGGGACAGAGGGGAATCTCGTGTAAGTGCGCCGCTAGAAACAGGGTTGCGACGATACTTACGACCAGAACGCGAGGTAGCTCGTGTGGCTGTTGTTGAGGGCCGTCGGAATTTGGGGGTAGCGGGCTCGCAGCCAAGCAGCGTCTCGTTCCGTCGACGCGAACGCTTCCTCAGGAATTTTGGGCAGACGCAAGAAGTGGTCGCCAAGGATGTACGAAGAGATCCAATGGGAGGTCACTTCGGTGGTGTAGCCGAAGTTGGGAGAAACCTGAGACATCTCGGAGTTAGCGCGACAGATGGATGTTGCAGTTCTATCGTAGCGTACCACTGCACCATTGACTGCTAGGTCACGACGAGATATGTGTTTGGCTGGGACGATTCCACGATACAGGGAGGACGACCAACGCTTCGCTTCGGGATGTATGGGTGGAGAACCTGCGAGGGTAGTGTAATTCCACTCATGCGTCGTCGTTTCCTTCGCAGGCTGCGGATCCGATCCTAGATCCTTGATAGTCTGCTCTACGGTACTGTCAATCATAATAGCCATACATGCATGAAATTAGAAACTCACCGTCGAAAATCGCAGGCCAAGACGACGTATATCCTGTAGCAAGAATGACCGCACTGGCGGGAAGAGACCTGCCGTCCTCCAGAATCACTGACCCGTCGCCACCGTAGCCGGACACACGAGCCGGGCAGATAACCTCGACTTTTCCAGCAACAGCGAGCGCATGAAAGCCGTTTGGACGAGGCACGCCTTCATCGTTCACCCGAGTATGCCAGAAGGGTAGCACAGAGTGGCGCAGTGGAGAATCGGCAGGGACTCCAGCGGCATGGTACTATCACTGTAGTCAAGCAAGAGTAAATGAAGAGCGTAGATGAAACGCACAGAGCTATCAGCCAGACCGTGCCACCAGAAGTCGACGATCTTCTTCCCCAGCCAAGTGGTGTGTAAGTAGGAAGCGCCTACGTCAGGATCAGCAAAAGTCTGCGACGACGTGGAACTTGCACCTGGCAGCCGTCCCATCTAGATTGGAGGTCGGTTTCCAATACTTCCTACAGGAACAGGAATCGTTACTGAATGGACCCTCCCTAGTTTTCTGGGGGCCGGCGTAACCAAACTTCGCGCACGGAAGTGCATGAGTTGTCGATTCCCAGCTTCGCAAAGAATTCGAGTCTGAAGTCGACGGACACCACTATGGAGATAGGTAAAGATCCGGAGATACAATGATCTATATGTGCTGCTTAAGGTACAGAACACCCGGATGCTTGTATCGTGCCCCAATATTACACGTAGCGTGCTTGTCTCGAAATCCTCGGTGTGAGAGGGGAGGTGTGCCGACGTCACACACAATCGCTCGATGTGTTCCGTCTCAAGCGTTGCTGCTCGGATGACTACTTCTCGATTCATTGTAGTTTCATGTGGGAGAAGTGGTGCACAATGGAAGCCACCGAACACGTACTCATGAAGGGGACAGCAACTACCTGCCCTGTCGCCGACGGACCATGAGGGGACATGGCCAACGAGTTCACCGGAGCACGTGAATGACGGAAGCACACTGATTCAGTCTATCGATGCATGGGCATATAGAAAACGTAACTGTGGTATCTCACATCTATCCAATGAGTCATCTATGCTGACAGCACAAACTGAATGCTCATTGACGACGGAACCTCAGTACTAAGGATCATACATGTGGTCGCTATAGCGTCATTTGATGCATAAAGGGACGACGGCGCTTGCGTCGGGGTCAGGAGACTGAGATGTGCAGACGAGGAATAATGTAGGGGAACATATTACAATGGACAGAGACTCACGAAATAGAAGAAGCTAACCCTCAACGGCGAGAGAAAACAGCGGCAATGGTCAACATGCCGCCAATCGCCCCTAGCGTGCCGACGACGGCCCAGTGTGTATATGGGGCGAAGGGTTGAGTGATCTGGCCGCGGTTGGCCACCGACGCGCCGCGGAAGGAGTATAGAGTGATCCCAGTCATGAAGGCCGCAATAGCCCACGCTAGGAAGACGAGAGGCAACGAGAAAATGACGCTTCGCCTCTGCGAAAAGCATGAGTCGAGCAAGGGTCAATGACGGGATCTGACGAGCACTTACCGACAGCACCATCATCCCCTCTCCACCAAGGTAGTAGACAGTCCTATCCATCTCCGTCTTGTATCGGAACAGCGCTAGGACCGCCGACACCATACTCGCCCCCGAGCAGACGATCGCGATAAACCCAGCTACCCTTGGTATATCGTCTAGATGGGGCAGCGACAGAAGTGTTACCGATGCGCTCAGGATAACAGCAGCCTGTAGAGTAGAGAAGATTAGCGGGACACCATGTCATGAAAAGCCAGCGAAGACGGACCACGAGGCAAGCGCACGCGCTAATCATGAGCATGGGACCCGCACTGTACAAGCCGCTCTCCTCGTCGAATGTCGTGCCGTGCGTACGGCCGATGAACAGGTACGGGATGCCAAGGAACAAGCAGCCGATGACGAAGTCGGTGATCGCGCGAATGAACGGCTTGCGCCGAGGCTCGGTGACGCCCTTGATCGCATCCTTGGGTAAGGGCTTGTTGGGGCGGAAGTAGATCTGCCGCCATTGCGCTAGAATGTATGTTAGACCACTTTGTAGACGGTGATGCATCGGCCACTCACCAATACGCAGTAGGACACGAGAGACGATACGGGTCTGCACGACCATGACATTTGTGGAGTTGCTGTCGAAGGAGCGGAGCATGTTCATCAGCTCCTGGCACTCCTGGGGCGCAAATGGAGGCGGTGCGGGTCGCGCGGAGGGAAGGAGAGAGTCTGAGGTGCTATGAGCCTACTACTCGAGATCGAATTCCGGATCTGTGTACCTGTGTAAGACCACTGGAGCGCGTCCATGGCTTCCTTGCGAGTCTCCGTAGAGATCGCTTGATGCGCGGGATGTCCCTCAATGAAGCCCCAGTAGCGATACTCCATGTCTAGTTCTTTCAAAGATACATACGCGTTAGTCTCATCTCTCTACGGATGCTTTTACAAAACTTACTGTCGTCTTCCGAGAACCGCTCGATAATTAAGCCCTCGCCGGAAATCGTGGGGGGCGGCTCGTCGGTGATGATTCGCAGCTTATGGTTCACCCAGCTCTGTACCGGACGCAAGTCGTTCTTCTGCACCGACCCGCTCTTGATCCACAGTTCCCACCCTTGTGGCGGGGGCATCGTCGTTTCACGGGGAAGCTGCTTCTCAACGTACTCCGTCACGCGCTGCAAGTACCGCGGATTCCGCAAGTCGATGTCGGTCGTGATGCGCAGACCCTCGTGGTGATAGTAGGACGAGCTGTCGGGGAGCACGTACTCCTCCCATCCGAGGGTATGCAATGTGTGCGTCGCTGCAAGTTCGGTGGTGATGGGACCGGAGGCAAACGTCGCCACGATGTGGGCTGTCTTCCCACGGCTCGGGGCTGTCTTCGTGTTACCTCCGCGCGCAAGGGGTGCGGCGTGTTGCAGGAGGGGGATACGCTCACTGAAATCCAGGTCAGCATGCTCACAGAGGGCGGAACAGGAAAGTCTCACTCCGTATCCGGGTGGAGGGTTTCTGCAAGAGATGCGCCGTCACGCTCGCCGAGGCTGTACGACCCAGCCGCTGGTTGATGGCTTGACCTTTGAATGAATGGCATGAGCGGTGTTCATGCGTTAAGAAAGTTTCTGACGTACTGAGAGGCACCAATGACGTCGTTCTTCGGAGGAAGAGGGAAGCGAATTGGTGTGGGCGAGTCCTGAATTGGCGTGTCAGAGTCCTCGATTTCTGTATGAGGCTCAACGACCGGTCTAGACAAGGTGAAGTCAGTATACCGCAAATGCTTATGTCGAGCATACATACTCGGGCATCGAGGCACTTTCGACAGGCGACAAGACTGTCTTGGGCACCTCCGTAGCGGGGGCAGCTACAGGAGGTTGAACGCCATAGTGATCTGCAAATGGGTCATCCATGGTAAAGCTATCATTGCAAAGGTCAGGACGCCATCGCCGAGCATTTTATCTGACTGCCTACCGAACGCTCCCACTGCGACTTCGACCACGCTTCTCTGGAAGCAGCTGGCCGAACGACGAAGCCAAAGACGACCTGCTGGACACTTTGCCAGATTGGCCCGACTGTGTCGCATCGAGAGACCGGCGAACCGGCTCTGGAGAACTCGCACGAGACGCAGCGCCCTGACGTGCGACTGGCTCTTCGCCCCATGCAAATGTGGCCGAGTCATCGGGAACGTGGACATACGACGACTCCGGGGCATGGTAGGAGTCTTCCGCTGGGATGGTCGGGATAGTTTCAGGCTCTGGAGACAGTGCTACGACGGCTGCCGCTACAACAGGTGCAGGCTCAGGGACCGGCTCCTTAGGAGCAGAAGTTGCAGCAACAACTGGATCGCCGTAAGAGAAGTAGTCCTGGCGGCCGTCCTCGAGGGCTATCGGTTCCTCAGGCTCCACCGTGGGCGGAGGAAGAGGGACTGCTGGAGTAGGCTCGGGAAGGGAGACAGGCTCGCCGATCGCGGGAGCATCCTGAGGAAGCAGTTGGGGACTTTCGACATTAGTCGGCTTCGACGTAGTGGTAGGGAGGATGGGGTCGCTGAAGCCGAAGGGCTCCGGTGTGGTCAGAGGCGCTTGATGCGGAAGTTCGCCAGCTATCTGCTCTGGAGAAGCGGTGACGCTGAGCTCCAGAGCAGGAGTTGGTCCTGGAGTCGGCTCCGGCGTCGGCTCGGTCACGACCACGTTTGCAAGCGGGGATGGACGAAGTATACTTGTGGTGCCTTCAGCGAGGTTTGCGGCTTCTTCGCGGGCAGGGGATTCTGCAACGGGACTGACTCCTGGTCGCGTATCTTCTACTGAGGGCGGCGCCAGCGTCGAGTCTGTAGACACTTTCAGGGAGTCCTTCAAAGAGGACTTGGAGGAGGTCCGCGAGAGCGCCTTGGTGATCGAGAGGCCAGTCGACGCGCGGCGCATGGCAGTCGACATGCGTGCTCGCATCGACCCCTTCCCCGGGGGCGGGGAAGAGGGTCGCGGAGGAGACGGCGCCGCGGTATTGGACCTCTTGGGTGGTGAGGACATAGTGGGAAGGAATGATCTCGGGGATCAAGCTAAGGGAGCGTGAAAAATCTAGAGACCGTGCTCTTCGATAGGGAAGAGGTGGTGGTCGACGAGGTCGTATATATTCGCGAGCGACGCTTACCAGGCGGTGGGCTCGAGGCGTGCTGCAGGTGAGCTTCTACAGGCTTTTTCCACGAGATAGCGATGCGATTTGCCTGCGTAGATTGGGCACTTGGGGCTGCACGAGGGGGTGCCGAACACACGTGTTCGAGGAGGCGCATAGATCTCGCACGATTCACGAGCAAACACAAGGCAATGTCTACGTACGCGGTGATGTCCCTTGTAGTCCATCGCTCACAATGCTTATCCTCGAGACCGTCACGCCTCAGTGTCTCCTTGCACAACATCGAGGCCCAGGGGTAGAGGGCGCAGGCTGTACAATCCACGCCTACAGCACGCGAGTGGACAGGGTTGCTCCTCCACGCCGTCGTCTCACGGAGATGAAACAGCGCTTTGACTAGTGACTTCGTGCACTTACGATTTCGCCTGCCATGCCGGATGCACCATTCCTGATGTCAGATGAGGAGTATCGCCCCCCTGAACCTTCCCAACCAGCCAGATTGTGCTCACGAGGAACGTCGGAGCAGATAAACAGCCAAAGAAGCGATGTGAAGTGAAGGATCGTCTCTCAGACATGCACGATAGGATGGCAACGAAGTTGTTAACGAGCAAGAGCGAAATGATCAGCATTGAGGGTGGCAGACGAGAGCAAAGAACGCTGGCGCGCGTGCTGCACTGCTCAGGCTTCTTCCACGTCTTCCCTTCGCTGCGCCCTCCGGTTACGACTCCTTCGTCACGGTATTCTCTCCGTTCTGCACGATTTGCGCACTACATAGGGCGCAACTATGTTGCTGGATATCAACGTGAGTGGGCTGCATGCATACAACTAGCCATCCGCCGAGAAACAAGCTAAACAGATGCAATACAGCGGAAACTCTTCACCCGTTCAGATCGCGTTAAGGGCGTCGACTTCCATCCCACTGAGCCCTGGATACTCGCCGGTCTCTACAATGGCACTGTTAACATCTATAACCACGACACCGGCGCACTGATCAAGACATTCGAGATCGCAGAGGTTCCCGTACGCTGTGTCCGCTTTATCCCCCGCAAGAGCTGGTTCGTCGCGGGTTGCGATGACTTTCAGCTCCGGATCTTCAACTACAACACGCACGAAAAGGTTGCGGCCTTTGAGGCGCACCCAGACTACATCAGATGCCTAACCGTCCACCCGACTGCGAGCATCGTTCTGACGGGTAGTGACGACATGACCATTCGCGCCTGGGATTGGGACAAGCAATGGAGGTGCATCCAGGTACGTGACACTAGTGTCCCGTTATGCGTATATGCCGTCCGACCACGTCCGACCATGTCATAGACATACGAGGGCCATACCCACTATATCATGAACATCACTGTCAACCCGAAAGACCCCAACACCTTCGCATCTTCATGTCTGGACCGTACCGTCAAGATCTGGTCTCTTGGTGCTTCGACGCCCAACTTCACCATGGAAGCGCACGACAAGGGCGTCAACTACGTTGAGTTCTACCCCGGCGCGGACAAACCGTACCTTGTTACCGCGAGTGACGACAAGACCGTAAAGATCTGGGACTACCTCAGCAAGAGCTGCGTGCAGACTCTGGAGGGGCATTCGAACAATGTGCTTTTCGCGGTCTTCCACCCCAATCTCCCATTAATCGTCTCCGGCGGTGAGGATGGCACTGTGAAGCTCTGGAACAGCGGTACGTACCGTCTAGAGAATACCCTCAGCTATGCCCTGGAACGCGCTTGGTGTATCGCTGTGCGCAAGACGTCAAACGAGGTTGCTGTCGGATACGACGAAGGTCTTGTCGTTATCAAGGTCCGTGTCAATGCATGTAAAATCGGACGACCGTTCATTTACTGGGCAATAGCTCGGCCGTGACGAGCCCACGTACAGCATGGACTCCGCCGGCAAGGTCGTCTACACCCGTAATAACGAGGTCCTCTCCGCAAACCTCCAGACGATTCAGGAAGACTCCGTCGCGGACGGGAACCGGATACCCATCTCTGTCAAGGAACTGGGCACGACAGAAGTCTTCGCGACCGCCCTTCTGCACTCGCCTAACGGCCGTTTCGTAACTGTCGTCGGCGACGGGGAGTACATCGTCTACACTGCCCTCGCATGGCGCAACAAGGCCTTTGGCAACGGCAATTCATTCGCATGGGCGGGCGACTCCAACACTTACGCAGTGCTCGAGGGTCGTATGAAGGTCCGTGTTTACAAGAACTTCCGTGAGCGCGGAGGCGCGGGCATGAAGGGTGCTGGGTCGTGGGCCATTGATGGACTTCACGGCGGCACTCTCCTCGGGGCGCGAGGTGCTGGCTTCGTTGTGTTCTGGGACTGGGAATCTGGTGAGATCGTAAGAAGAGTTGAAGTCGATGCGAAGAACGTGAGTCAGCCGCGTGGCCAATGCACCTCGTTCCCTGACGAAGTGCCACATTCAGATCTACTGGTCGGGCTCCGGAGATCTAGTCGCTATCGCATCAGAGGACTCTTTCTATGTGCTGCGCTTTGACCGGGACGCATACACCTCTAAGCTCGAGTCCGGTGCTGACTTGGGCGATGAGGGTGTCGAGGAAGCATTCGAGCTCGTCGCGGAGATCTCTGACAAGTATGCACTATCTCTTTGCTATCTACGAAGGGCGATAGGCCTAAGTATGTTCACAGCGTCAAGACCGCCAAGTGGATAGGCGACTGCTTCATCTACACAACGGCTGCCAACCGCCTCAACTACTTCATCGGCAGCGAATCCTATACGATCACTCCCTTCGACACGTAAGTGCTCTCTAGTGCATGTGACGACACGACACTAAACCCCTGCGCAGGCCACTATATTTGCTAGGATACATTCCTGCTCATAATCGCGTATACCTTGTCGACAAGGATTTGAACGTGTACTCCTACGCGCTCTCGCTGAGCATGGTCGAGTACCAGACAGCGGTTTTGCGCGGCGATATGGATGCTGCCAACGAGATACTCCCTTCAATACCCAAAGAGCACCGGAACAAGATCGCGTCCTTCCTCGAGGCGCGAGGTCTTAAGGAACTCGCGCTGGAGGTCACGACTGACCCAGATCAGAAGTTTGAACTCTCCCTACAGCTTGATGATCTCGATGCGGCCGTCGAAATTGCACGGACAGTGCCCGAGCTCGAAGCCGAGACGAAATGGAAGGCGATCGGCGACCGCGCATTAGCCGTTTGGCGGTTCGACCTCGCGCAAGAGAGTTACGAGAAGGCGGGCGACCTCAGTGCACTGATGTTGCTCCTTCTGGCGACGGGCGACCGGGACGGCTTGGCGAAGCTAGCTGCTAAGGCAGGTGCGTACCGTACCAACACGCGTTTATCGTCGTGGGCATTGCATCTGATCTTGAGCTTGTCACAGAGGAGAAGGGCCAGAACAACCTTGCGTTTGCCACCTTGCTGCAGCTGGGCGACCCCAAACCATGCGTTGATCTGTTAATCAAGACGCACCGAGCCCCGGAGGCGGCGACGTTTGCGCGCACGTACGCGCCGTCGAAAGTTCCGGATGCGGTGCAGGCGTGGCAGACAGACCTGCACGCAAAAAATCGCGCGAAGCTCGCAGACGCCGTTGCGGACCCCGCCGCGCATCCCGAGCTATTTGAGGAGGGCTGGGAGGAGGCGCTGCAGCGCGAGGCCAGCGCGCCGGCGCCTGGCGCACCGCTTGTGAACGGGGACTCAGGTATGCGGTTTGTGCTTGTCATTTGCGGCCACCGCTCACCTTTGCGCGGCGGACAGGAGCCCCTGCATCTGAGGAGGCGGAGGAGTCGTAGATATTGCATAGTTATGATCATTCGTTGTATGGAATTGTGTGATCCTTACGCTGCCTTTTTGCTCTGTCATCCAGACCACGGTGATCTGGGCGTGGTAACCAGGCGTCTCGGAGGTGCCTGCACGTCCGTTGCCCGCCACATAAGCTCGGACGTATGTCTCCGTCATAGACAGTAAATAGCAGAAGGGTTGAATGGTGGTTACCAAGGCCGAAGGAGCTAGAACGCGATTGAACGCTGGAATAAGTCCGGCCGAGCAGCGGTGTCGAAACGTGATCGGCGCTGGTGGTCGTCGTAACGGGCGTCACGTCTCCCACAGGCGGAGACTGGAGCCCTTGAGGCCTGCCCGAGCCGCTTCCTTCGCTTGCATTTCTCTCCACCTCCCGTCGTCTGCTCTTACTCTAGGGCGGCGTCCACGCCCTTATTTTCTTTCCTTGTTGTTGGCCATGGCCGCCGCACTTGCCTCTCAGGCCATCAGCTCTGGCGACCTCACCGACCTCGTTTCCTCTTCCTCTTCCGCTACTGTCTATCCCTCTGACGACACTATCCTCTCTGTTCTCCAAGCTCGCTTTCGTGCAGATCAGCCCTATACTAGAATCGGCGCATCCAACCTCGTCGTCGTTAATCCCTACAAGACCCTTGCTAATGTTAACGACGTCAGCGCGAAGGAGTACGAGGAGAGATGTTACAAGGACACCAGCTTCCCACTCCCCGGCACAGCGAGCCTCCCTCCTCACCTCTACGACCTTGCTGCACGGGTGTACCTGCTTATGAGGAGGAGGTCAGAGTCTCAGGCAATCCTCTTTCGGTGAGTGGTATCCGTGATTCTCCAGCTTGACGTTCGACGAACCGGCGGACATAGAGGGATCACGGCATCTGGCAAGAGCGCCAGCTTGCAATTGCTGGTGAACCAGATCCTCCGGCTCTCGACGCACTCCAAGAAGGAAGCCAAACTCGCCGAGCAGATCAAATCACTCTCAACGCTCCTTGATTCCTTCGGGAATGCCAAGACACTCATTAGCCCCAACGCATCCCGACACAGTCGCTACCTCGAGCTACACTTCAACGACCGCGGGCGCATCCAGGCGGCCAAGGTTCTCACGTATGGTCTTGACAAGTCCCGCCTCTCACGCCTCTCCTTCGAAGAACGAACTTATCACGTATTCTACCAGTTCCTCGCTGGCGCCACGCCCGAGGAGCGGGACCGCTATGCCTTGGAGGACGTGTCGGACTATGCGCTTCTTGCCTCATCAGGGTGCTATCGTCTTCCCGCTGGTCCATTCAGCGACGACGGCATTGCCATGGACGAGTTGCGGGCCGCGATGAAGATCCTCGGCTTCAAGCCCAAGCACCTCTCATCTATTTTCGGCCTGCTCGTCGCTATCCTTCTCCTTGGGAACCTGCAGTTCGGCGAGGCCGATGCCCGCGACGTGTCAGCATACGTCATGAACACACCGGTGCTGGATCAGGTCGCACGGTTGCTCGGTGTTCCGACAGAGGAGCTCAGCGAGGTGCTCACGAATAAGACGAGCTACGTGCGCAAGGAATTGTACACGGTCATGATGAACGCTCAGCAGAGCGGGGCTCAGCGCGACCAACTCGCGAAAGACCTTTACGCCATTCTCTTTGCTTTCGTGACAGAGACCGCCAACCACAAGATTGCGCCTTCCTCCCAAGACCCCCTCCCTTCCACGCAGATCGTTCTCTTCGACCAACCCGGTTTCCAAACCAAGGGCATCACGCAGTCGGCGTCGATGTACTTTGGCGGCCCAACCCCTCTCATCGGCGCGCAAAACCAGTCGGGCTTTGACGAATTCTGCATCAACCTGTCTAACGAGCTCATGCACTCATATATCCTACGGAATACCTTCGAGGACTCCGTGGGGTACAACAGCGAGCTCGTCGGGGACGGCGTTTCGCTTCCCGCTATCTCCATCATGGACAACTCTGGATGTGTCGAGCTCTTGCGAGGCGCGCAGCTGAGCGAGCGAGCCCACCGGAAACCAGGAGGCATGTTGGGCGTCTTGAACAAGGCGTCCTCATCGTTCAAATCCGGGAAGGCTGGTGAGAAGAAGGAGGAGGAGCTTCTCCAGGAGCTTGTGTCGAAGTTCGGTGTCCACGCGTCCTTCATCTCGCCTGGCGGCGCAGAGGCTCCTGATCTGACGACGTTTGGCGTCAACCACTTCGCCGGCAGCGTGACGTATGACGCGCGGGGCTTTGTCGAGAAGGACACCGACATTCTGGACTGCGCTTTCGTGTCGCTCCTGCGCAACTCTACGGATCCCTTCATCGCTAAGCTTATGGCTGGACCCAGTCTTGCAACGGAGCGCCACTCCAAGGACGAGAGCATCATTGTTCAGGCGCAAGTCTCTTCTCGACCTCTCCGTTCCCCCACGGCTATCACCTCTCGCGATGGCACGACCGTTGCTCCGGGCGAAGATCACGCTCGCCTGGACCCATCGAAGGTGTACCCGGTCACGACGCAGCTCAACTACGCGCTGTCGGAGATCATGTGGAATCTTGATCGCGCCCGTCTTTGGACGGTGTCGTGCATTCGTCCGAACGACTCGGGGACGGCGAACTCGTTCGACAAACGCCGCGTCAAGGCTCAGATCCGCGCCCTCCTTCTGCCCGATATCGCCTCGCGGAAGAAGCACGACTTCGTTGTCGACTTCGAGCAAACCGCTTTCTGCGACCGCTATCTGCCCACGATCAGGGGTTCCGAGGCCGAGCGAATACGGCAGTGTGCTTCGGCGAACGGGTGGAAAGAGGGCGAGGACTACGTCGTTGGCCATCGCATGATCTGGCTGGCGTACAATGCATGGAAGGTTGTCGAGGACGTCCTTCGGGCGTCGGAGAAGGAGTCGAAGCGCGCCGGAACAGAGGCTGGGGACGACGAGAGCGTTCTTCCGGACGATGCTACCGAGTACACTCACCAAGAGTCGCTCACACCCGGTGCTTACTATGGTGGTGAGAGCGAGGACAACCTGTTGTTGAACCGCTCCGGTCCGCAGGCATCACGATACCTGGACGCTGGCTACCCGAACCAACCCATGACCCCGATCAATCCTGAGACGCCAGCCTACAGCGACGGCGGAGAGGGCTGGAGCTCTGAATGGGACAAGAAGGGTGGTCCTGAACCAAATCCCGTGGTGTCGAAAGAGGGTGACCTAGTCGCGAAGGCGCCGAACACCGTTGAGGAGGTTCCCACCAGTCGAACGCGGCGGTACTGGCTCTATGTTGTCTGGATGACAACATGGTGGATCCCGTCGTTCTTGCTCAACAAGCTCGGCCGCATGAAGCGTCCCGATATTCAGCTCGCGTGGCGCGAGAAGGTGACGATCTTCTGGCTCATGTTCCTCTTCAACGCCGTCGTCATCTTCTACATCGTCGAGTTCGGCCGACTGCTCTGCCCCAACTTCGACAAAGCGTGGAGTCTAAACGAGGTCAACCAGCACACCGGCGATAACGACTACTGGGTGACGATCCAGGGCAGCGTCTATGACGTGTCGGACTTCATCCACGGCCAGCACTCCGACATCCCGAATCTCAAAAGTAACACCGACGACGTCCTTGATCCCCTTGCTGGGCAGGACCTGACGGAGTACTTCCCTCCCCCGATCCCCTTGGCCTGCCCGGGCCTCACGTCCAACGACCAGATCGAGCTTACCCCTGCCAACTTTACCGCAGAGATCCCGCAGGCGTATCATAAGTCTGGGCCTATCTTCGGCACGCCGAACTCGAAGCTCTCCCAGTCCGACTGGTACACGACAATTTTTCTCCCGAAGATACGTCAATTCAAGAAAGGACCTCTGGTGTGGGACAGGAAGAAGATAAAGGCAGAGGCGAGCGATCCAAACAATCAGAGGTACGTTCGGTGCACACTCGGTGTTAGCTCAAATGCTCACGTCCTACCTCAGGTTCTGGGCGATCTACGACAATAGCATCTACGATCTCTCCGACTACATCAACTCGCAGTCTCTCGACAGTAACGATTTCAACTTCCTGAACGATGACCTCGTATCATTGTTCCAGCAGCAGCCCGGCCAGGACATCACGAAGTCGCTGAATCAGATCCTTGATGCCCTCGACCCGAACACCAAGGCGCAGAACATCAACTGCATGAGTAATTTGTTCTTCGTGGGCAAGCCCGACTTCCGCAAGGACGCGCGGTGCCAAGTGCAGAACATCATCCTACTTGTGATGTCGATCATCCTGATGGTGTCCATTGGTATAAAGTGTGAGTACATTGTCGTCTGTACCGCTTTGACGGGGAGTTGATGCCTTTGTCTAGTCTTGGCTGCCCTTCAGTTGACGCCAAAGAGGACTCCAGAGATGCTGGACAAGTTCGTCCTGTGTCAAGTGCCCTGTTACACGGAAGGCGAGGAGTCGCTCCGCCGCACAATCGACTCGCTCGCAGCGTTGAACTACGACGACAAGCGCAAGCTGATCTTCATCATCTGCGACGGTAACATCATCGGAACTGGTAATGACCGCACAACACCTCGTATCGTTCTCGACATTCTCGGAGTCGACCCTAAGCTCGACCCGGAGCCGCTCTTGTACAAGGCTATCGGCGAGGGCTCTAAGGCGCTCAACTACGGCAAGGTATACTCTGGGCTGTACGAGTTCGAGGGCCACGTTGTTCCGTACATTGTCGTCGTCAAGGTCGGGAAGCCTACCGAGCGGACGAAGCCTGGTAACCGTGGAAAGCGTGACAGTCAGATTCTCGTCATGCAGTACCTCAACCGTGTCCACTTCGACTTCCCCATGGCCCCGCTTGAACTGGAGATTTACCACCAGATGCGGAATGTCATCGGTATCGACCCAGCATTCTACGAGTACATCTTCACTGTTGATGCCGATACGGTGAGTTGCAGGGTTTACTCCATAGAAGACACGTGCTGACGCTTCTGTGCAGACTGTCACTCCCGACTCCTTGAACAGGTTGGTTGCGAGCGCGGCGGACGATTCCAGTATCATCGGTATCTGTGGTGAGACCAAGATTGACAACGAGGAGGGTTCATGGTGGACAATGATCCAGGTACTCCTGCTCGCTATAACCGTTTTGGACTCTTTTGACAATTCTGTTTGCAGGTGTACGAGTACTACATCTCCCACAATCTGTCGAAGGCGTTCGAGAGCTTGTTCGGCTCTGTGACGTGTTTGCCCGGATGTTTCTCGATGTACCGAATTCGTACTGCGGACAAGGGTCGGCCGATCATCATCTCGAATCGTGTCATTGAAGAGTACGCGGAGCCGCTCGTCGACACCCTGCACAAGAAGAACTTGTTCTCGCTCGGTGAAGATCGTTACCTCACCACACTCCTGCTCAAGCACTTCCCCACGTTCAGGACCAAGTTCACCCAGGATGCCATCGCACACACGATTGCCCCCGAGTCCTGGCGCGTGCTATTCTCGCAGCGTCGTCGGTGGATTAACTCAACGGTGCACAACCTTTGCGAGCTCGTCTTCCTGCCGGAGCTGTTTGGATTCTGCTGCTTCTCGATGCGATTCTTCGTCTTCATCGATTTGCTGGGTACCATCATCCTGCCGTCTACGGTCGTCTACCTCGTCTACCTGATCGTCGTTGTAGCTCTTGGCAAGTCCGCCCTCCCTATCATCTCAATCGTCATGTTGGCGGCGGTGTATGGTCTTCAGGCCTTGGTCTTCCTGCTCAGACGCGAGTTCATGCTCATCGGTTGGATGGTTGTCTACCTTCTCTCGTAAGTTTCTGCTCTTTGTGCAATTTGTTCTCGCTCGCTCATCCTGCATCTCCAGCTACCCGGTGTACAGTTTCTTCCTCCCGGTGTATGCCTTCTGGTGCATGGACGACTTCTCTTGGGGTAACACTCGTCTGGTCATCGGCGAGGGTAACAACAAGAAGGTCATCATGAACGACGACGAGAAGTACGACGAGTCTATGATCCCTCTCAAGAAGTTCAGCGGTATGTTGCTCCCATAATCGTTGCCATCGTCTTCGCTGACGTGCCATTGCAGAGTACGAGGCCGAGGCCTGGGAGACTGGCTCACGTCACTCCGACGAGACTGGCTACCATAGCAAGGCTCCTTCCGGCAACAGGTCACGCGGTCCCGCCTCAAGGTCACACTCTCCCCGTCCCAGCTTCCACCAATCACAAGCTGGGGACTACTACCGGGACACGAACGTCACGGACCCACAACGCTCAATGTACCACTCGAACAACTCCCAGGGCAACCTATCGCACTACAACAGCGCACCGTCGCAATTCGGCATGCCGACGCTCCCCTTCATGCCGTTCAGTGGTTCAGGGTCTGTTCATGGCTCTGATTATGGTGGTGGGATGGCGATGCCGGCGGCCATGCCGTACCAAAACACAGGCAGTGTCTATGGTATGATGCCGAACGTTCCGCGGAACACTGTCATGACAAACCTCAACATGTTTGGCGGCGACGTCTCGGGCTCGCAGGGTGGGTTCGCACCGCCCATGGCGCCGGGCATGCATCAGCGACCAATGTCGACGTTCTCGCTCGCGACGACCGTCAACCCGTTCGCGGCAGGTCCGAGTAATAGCGTCGACCCGACGGATGAGGAGCTCATCACTGCTCTACGGGCATACCTGAGCACGCAGGATCTGATGACCGTGACGAAAAAGTAAGCTCAACCCTGTCCTAGTCTGTATTCCGTTACTCATCTGTGTATCTCTTACAGGACTGCGCGAGACGCGATCCAGCAACGGTTCCCCAAGGCTGACTTGTCAGGGAAGAAGCAGTTCCTGAACGAAGCGATCGACAAGATCCTTTCTCAGTCATAGACAGTTCATTTGACGGTACTGCGCTGGCATCAGCAGGCGCGCCCGTTTTTTGTTGATTCGCTCGTTCGTACTCTGGATCCGGTTGTATATGGTGCTGGTGTTGACGATCTTGCTCGGACATCCCCCATCCCATCATTGACCTCATGACAATACTGGACTTTTTCCATCGCTAGCTATCTCGACCACTCTTGCCATCTCTCGTTGCATCGAACGGACTTTGCCCACGTCCCACGCTCATCATCAGTCATTATAAGTAGCATTGTAGTAGTCCTTGGACCTATCTCGTTCTTCGTACTATATAACGCATTTTGTGCAGGCTGTCCTTAGCGGCGATTCCAACAGCTTGGAAGATGACGTCGACATCAAACTAGACAGTGCCCCAGCGCAGCTGGTCTGGTAAAGGCTGCAATTGAATTGGACGCCACCGGTAATGCGGGTACCCCGCGGGGGACGGACGCGCGTGATTGCGGTGTGTAAGAGGTCATCAGAGCGTCCGGGCCCAGGATCGTGTTTCTCGACCGAGCCGCGAGCCACGAGCTGCAGTGATCAATATTGCTACCGCCGGCCTCGTTACCCCAGCATACACTCTCCAACCCCAACGCTTTCTGGCGCGGTATCCGCTCACCTGAGCCCCGCCACTTTCCTATATATGTTCCTGCGCTGGGTCGATCATGGCGTCCTCTCTGCACGCTCCAGATAGTCCACCCCATCTTGGTCGCCAGCCATCCTACATCCACTTCACGCCGCGCCGCGCCATGGCGTCATTCGAGAATCTGGTCGTCCTTGCGAACTATGAGGAGCATCTGAGAGAAGCAAGGAAGGTGGTTTGGCGCGACCGTGGAGAGAAGCCCGTGGAGGTGCTGGATCTGGGCGAGTGTGTGGAACACGCGTGTCGGGGCGGCCTCCGTATGTCGCCGTTTGGATCACTGCTGAATCATATATCTAACCCAAGGTTTCCGGCCAGGTGCGGGTTCTCTCGCATTCGCTATCCGTTCCGGAGTCAATCTCATCTTGCTCTTGACGAGAATCAGGAGGATACCCAAGTGAGTGTACAAATCTTGTATTTATTCTGTATGACTGCATTTGCGCTGCCGGAAAACCAAGATACTGAACGCTTTATCTTCCCAAGACGTTTTCGCCTGAGCTTGATCCGCCATGCTCTTTTTGGCGAAGACTCCATGCGCTTCGCAGCCACCCTCGGTATGTGTGCCTGATTGGTGGCAAGAACCGAACGTGACGCCTATGTACCCCCTTCTTAGGTTCATTCGTGGCATTATACAAGTTAATACTCAATGCCCTCCCCATCTTCTTGCCCCAACCTGAGCCTCAACCAAGCACAACGGAGACCGAGCGCTCTCTCTTCCGGCAGTCCCTAACGCGCAAAGCAGAGAGAACTGCTGACTTGACCTACGATGATAGCACGTACGAGGAGGTTGAGCTAGGTGTTCTTGAGCAGCCGCGTTCTCGTCGTGCCAGGCTATCCGCGAGTGCCCAGGCACATCAAGTCTGGGTGCGAAAGAGGACACGATGGTGGTACTCTGCTTTCGCTGGGGCCGCAGCAGGCGCAATTGCGATCATGTTCGAGAAACGAAGCAGAAGAGTCGGAATTGCGCAGCAGATGTTTGTTCGGTACGTACACCATCCTAGAGCACACTCTTGACCTAGCTGAACTGCTTTCAGTGGCCTGCAGGGTTCATTCAACGCCATATCGGATAAGCACGGCTTCAAGATACCCCACGGAGACGTCTTGGTCTTCACAGTATGGTTGGTGCCCTTTACGGAATGTACTGCATGGGGCTCACGATACCATTCCATAGTTGTGGACAGATCATGTATGCTTTCCTGATGCGCCCGGAAACGCTTCCCTATTCGTATAATAGATGGTTTGTTCGGTTTTGTCATGAGTTCTCCGTATTCACTCAACCGTCATCCACAGGATCCAAGTGGCATCCAAAGTACCAGCAGAGGCCGTGCGCATGACTAAAACCCTCGTCCGGGAAGGCAGGTTTGATCCGGCGGACATGGAACGTCTACTGGGCCACAAGGTCCGTTTCCCGAAACCTCGTTGTGCACATGCCATGCCTCACACCTCATGCAGCACATTACCCGCAACAACTACGCCATCCTCTCCGACCGTCTCGCGAAAGCGCGCCTCCCCGAAGGCCTCCGCTCGTATGGGAATCCTATCATACCCTGCGCCGCGGTGCACCCGGAGCTCGACTCGTGCATTACTGTGCAGTTCGCGCACTTCTGGGAGGTCTTCCGGTGGATGCTTCCCATCTATGGCGCGCTGCACTTCATCCCTATGATGCTCTTCCGCCGTGGCAAGTTCCTACGGAACCCGAGACAAATGCTCCTCCGCGCGGCGTGGGGTACCAGTCGGAGCTCGGCATTCCTAGGCGTTTTCGTTGTCATATATCAAAGTATGCGTGCCTTCCTGTCTCCAATCGTGTGATGTACTGACTGGAGCTTCAGCTTACTTCTGCGGGAAGCACAACCTGTACGAGAAGCTCATGCTCGCCAAGGCCCCGGGCGCACGCTCTTGGCTCTCGATCGTCGCGCGCCGTCTTCCGCCAGGGTGGGCCGAGATTCTGATCTCGAAGCAGTCGTTCTTCCTCGGCGGGCTGCTTTCTGGTCTTTCGTTGTTCGTGGAGGAGAAACGGCGACGGGAGGAGCTGGCAATGTACGTGCTGCCGAAGGCCCTCGAGAGCGCGTGGGTGATGGCGCGAGGGAAGGGGTGGGTGTTCGGAATGGGCCAGTTTGGGGACGCGTTGTTGACAGCGATCGGGATGGGTATGGTTATGGTGCGTACTTGGACTGATCACTTCATCACATTCGTCTGACGTAGTGTGCGCTATTATGTAGAGCACGTACCAGGTGAGGACGCAACTTGGGGATAAGCTCTCTGTGCCAGAGAGGATCTGACTGACTGGTATATTCACAGAACGACCCGCAACACCTCTCCGGCCTCGTCCGCCGGATATTGTATCAATTTATCGGGCCCAACTAGGGGCTGGGTTTGTCTCTCCACATGTGATGTGGATATTATCATACTACTATTGTATCAGTGCCGCGCGTCGCCGTACTGCAATACTCCTAATGCTTTCCAGACCGCTACGAAGTCTTACTCTTACTATAATGATGAACACTTTTGATTCCAGCTGGAAGGACCCTGCCGTTCAGACGTTGTGACAGGCGTGATTCCTATCATCAACCATATGATGTTGGGCAAATATTGCGCACGGTGAAATGCATCTATAGACGAACGTATGCGTATCGCTTCTGCCTCAGTTGCTCGGCACATTGCTGACAAATTGAAGCAGATTGGATCACCGGCGCATTGTACCTCGTACATTGGACAAGATGGGACTGGGACATGCGCTTATATGAGCAGCTGATGGAATAATACAACATCAGGGTATTAAACACACGTTAACAGAGCGGCGAGGTTGAGCCATACTGACAATCTGACCACGCCGGCCATGCCGAACCTGGTGTAGCGTCTCTCCCAGCTGCCTTGTGATTGCATCTGGAATGACGATATAACTTAACCTTGGTAGGCTCTTCGCCTGGGAAATCGGACATAGATCGATCCGAGGGAGTTATGCAGGTGTCGCACTGACAGCGAGGCAGTTACCATCCAATGATCGGCGGGGCACGGGCTACGATAGGGACGCATGAACTAGGTACAAGTTCAGGCCGTCCTTGACTGCGCGTTTCTCATCCTTTCTCCCGTCCTCTGCTGTTGCCTGCTTCCTGGTGACTCTACGTGACAGCAAATGTCGCGGCCGCCCTGTAGACCCCTGCGCATTTCGTCACTTGCGAATGCCAGCGTCACACTTGCGCTTCAACTGCGGAAGTTCCTGTTGGAGGGAGACAGTGAAGACGATGTCGGTCCCAAGGACCTACTTGCTTGCCTTCGCCATGCTGCTAGTGGCGGATTGCGTGAGTCTAAACTTGCATTTAGCTGAATTGAATGCCTCTGACCAACGTCCAGGCGCAAGTGTTCTAGGTTTTCTCGGACGGTCTGGAATCAGCTTGGGTTTCATGCTCCTGGGCTTGCGTAAGGTACCAGAGTATGTCTTGAAGTCGAATCTAGGAAATGTGCACATATCGCTCATCGCCCGTTAGAACATATCGACTGGATGCAGTACGGCACGCGCTGTTCGGGGAGTCATCGGTCCGCACTGCGGCGATGCTGGGTGGGATGGCAAGGGTTTGGATCGATCAAGACATACAAGCTCACCTTCGGTACAGGATCCTTCGTGGCCATCTATAGGCTGGTAATGAACCTAGCACAGTCTAGCAGTGTGAAGCCTTCATCTAAAGCCGGGATCAATGAGATAGACGAAGAGCCACCTGACATCAATGTATGCAAGCTATCTATAAGCAGGGCGAAAACAAAGCTCACCGTCAGGTTTTGCTGACACTCACAGGCGTATGAACAATGGATAATCCCCGCTGCAGCGGGAGGTCTTGCCGCAGCTATCGGTATCTCCTTCGAGAAGCGCACGAGTCGCCCCGGGATTGCCCAAGAGGCCCTTGCACGGTAGAGCGAGCTGTCTACAATCAAGTCATATTCCAACGTCTAACGAGAACATAGTGGCTTACAAGGATGGTACAACGTCACCTCGACGAAGTATGGGTTCAACATCCCTTATGGGGACATTCTCGCATACTCCCTCTGGTGCGCCTTCATAGTAGACTGTGGCGAGATCGCGGCCGTAACCCGAACACGTTAGTATGGGCCAGCTCATGTATGTCTTTCTTATGAGGCCCGAAGCGATCCCGAATGGCCTCAGAAAGTGGTGTGTACCTCAATCAGTATTCGAACAAAGATATCGCTCATATAACTATGACTGCAGGTTCTTCGAATCGTGCGGTGTCCCAGCGGAAGGAGTATACATTAACCATGACCTCGTCTGGAATCGGACGTACGACCCAAAGCACATGGAGACTATCATGCGTAGGAAGGTGCGTACCACGACCTACGCTACAATGCTGACGTCGTCGAGCCCCCTGTCGTAGGACATCACTCCAGAAAACTTCACTGAGCTTGCTGAGCATCTCGCTTCGCACGACCTTCCTCAATCCCCCGCTGTGCCCTGCGCGGTAATGCATCCTGCCATGACTTCGTGTCTGGCATATCCTCCGATGTTCTTGTGGGACAGGTTCAAGTGGATGTTGCCCGTCTACGCAGCGGTGCATTCCGCCACTCTCTTGCTCATGCGCCCGACTCTTCTTGTGAAATACCCCGTGAGGACGATGCTTTCTGCGACTTTCGCGATCGGCAGGACCTCGATCATGCAAGCGTTGAATCCGACTGTCTATCAAGGTGCGGATGCCCCGAGCTGCGTTGCCGTATATCGCAGACAGGCCCTCATGCACATCTATAGCACTGTTATGCTCGAAGAGCAACCTCTACAATGCTTTGACCGTGCTGCGTTCTTCGTCGGGGAACTCGTCCCTCGCTGTGCGACTGGCGAAGGCCCTCCCAAGCAGCGTGGTCGACGCCTTGGTGTCGGACAAGTCCTTCTTCGTCATGGGCATGGTCATGGGGACGCCGCTGATCATGGAGGAGAGGAGGAGACGTGCGATGTTCTTATTGTACGTCCTTCCGAGGGCGTTGGAGAGCGTGTGGGTGTTGCTTAGGAGCGCAGGGCGGGTGCCAAATACCGGGAGGTTTGGGCCTACGTTGGTGAGTATCTTGTCGACTGTTCGAGTGGGCGATTGCTGTCGTTCATGCTTCTTCTGTAGGCTGCTTCAGTTGGGATGGCAATGGTCATGGTGAGTAGTACTCGCCCGGCTTCGAAGTCGACTTCCCGTAACATCCATTTCCTTTACAGAGCGTGTATCAGGCAAGCATAGCGTCTTACATGACACCTCGCCTTCCATCAATATTGCTTATGAGTGCATTTGCAGAACCAGCCTCAACACTTGTCTAGCCCTGTGCGGAGGATCCTGCATCAGCTGATTGGGCCAATTCCCGGTAGGAAGCTGTTACTGCCACGCAGTGTTTGAGCTCCTGGCATAGTACTCTCGCGACATCATGTATATTCGTTAGCTCCTGCTAGACCGGTAGCCCTGCTATGTGAACTGATGCCACACTACGGAGCTGCGGATGATGCATAGGCGCTCGATGAGTTCATAGCGCTTTAGAGTCGCTTGTGGTTGCGGGGCAGTAAGCCTGCGGCTACCACATTCTATCGTCTCACCCTCATTGCATGCTCATGGCCGCCGCCCCACAACCGTCCGGAAAGCCGTCGACGCCGCCGCCAGCGTACTCAGACTACTCAGGCTACGAGTACCAGCAGCACCTATCAGCGACTCAGGCTCAGACGTGGAACCCAGCGAGCAGCGCTCAGAGTCCTGTTGGTGTCGCGGTCCCGCTTCCCTTTCCCGCGCACACCGGGTACGGCCCTACACCCATTCCCCAGCAGACGCAGCTGCTACCGTACTACGACCTGCGGTCGCCATATGCAGTCGCGGAGGCGAACCGGAGGGCGAGGTGGCGGTTTATCGAGGCGGCGCTGTGGGCGCTGGTGGTTCTGAGCGCGGTGAGCTTCGTCATGGGCTGGGAGGTGGAGCAAGCGTTGGCTGGGGGAGGGCTTCATCGTAGGAGTGGGGTATGGGCGAGCCAGTAGGAGTTCGTTTGGTGGGCTTCTACGGGATCGACTTTGCCATGGAGGTGAGCTCAGCTGCCTTGCCAGAGACGTGCAATCAATCTCATTGCGGTTAGCGTCCGTGGCGTTACCGAAGGCGCATACATCTCGCATTGTCTTCCATGGCTACTGTAGCTGCCCTGGGAGGCATCGTGCGGAAGCCACTTGTCGTTTTGTGCGCGTTTCGTGCTTTGCTGACACTCCGCTATCGCATGCTATGATAGACACCTCCGTACCGGAATAATGGATCAAATGCTATCTGTACGCTAGATACTTTCCGCTCGAGTTTGCCGACGACGATGCCGTCTGAAATAGGATATGGAGGAGCTCTTATTGGTAGTCGTGGTATATAGTTTGGGAACATATGGACAGATGTGCATGGTTGGCGGTCAGAATACAAGGGTGCTGAGTTTAATGGAACGTGCAAGGTCAAGACGTGGGGGAGAAAGAAAGAAATGTGGGACGTATCGGCGGGTAATAATTAATATCACTGTGAAGGACCCGAAGTCGAGTTCGCGTGGCGAGCTGAGCCAGAGCGTCCCCGGCCGCTGCCTCTCCTTCCTCTTCCTTCCACCACCCTCCCAGCGTCCCCTGCCCGCCATGTCCGCCCTCTTTGTCTGCTTTCTGTGCTCGCCCTCTCGCTCGCTGGGCTGCAATGGCTGACGGATGATGCTTCCCGCTGTTTGGCAAACACCAAGGTCTCTCTATTGTGGTGCGCATAGCACAAAGGCGAAAACTGAGTGCATGTATGCGCCTCTCCCAGCCAACAATGACGAGCCCTGCGCGGGCGGAGAGGAGACGCCAGTGAGTGTTGGCGCTGTCACGTGTGGGCCTATTTGGAAATTAAGGTTAGGTTTGTAGTCGTTTGTGCACGGAATGGCCCGTGCGTGGGAAAGGGGCGCGGGCTGAATGGGGGCGTTGTGCAGTCCGGGGCGTCCGGCCGCCCGCCTTCTGACCCACATCCTCGATCAGAGCCTCTGCTCGTCGCCAGCCACAGCGAGCGCACCCCTTCCCTCGCCATCCCAGCCATCCTCCGACCCTCACCCACTATCTATTGCGTTCTTGCTGCCATCTCGCTCCGACGTCCTGCATTGCTCATCACCCCGCGTCACTCGCTCCTTCAGCTTCACTCGCACGCGTCGCGCATCCAACGTCCCTCGCACCGCCCTCTCGATACTTTACCGCCCCCCACCTGCTATAGTTCTTGCCTGTCTGTATTTATAAAGACGGCCGCACGCGTTCTGCTCGCTCAGCTCTCCTCGTCGCCGCCCTGGCTGTTCATGTTCTGAACTATATCTCGCTTTTCGTCGTCCACTCCTCGCGCCTCTGTTTCCCTTCTCCGCTCGTACACTATTGTTGTCCCTATGACTTCTTCCATCGCAGCCCGTCGTCCCCCTCCCTCGTTCACCCCCACGCAGCCGCCGGATGAAGGCTACCTGAACCGCTCCCTCCTCGACAACATCGACGCTCAGGGGGATGCCGAGCCCGTCTCCTCATCCGATTCCGAGGCAGCGGGTGCGTCTGCGACCACCTTCGGCTCTCTGTCGACCGCATCCTCCTTGGGCTCTCCCTCCATCCCATTCCACCTGAACATGCAATCACAGCTCGTCCCGCCCCGCTCTGACTCGCCCAATCATCATGCTCTCGGTCCACTCAAGTCATCCCAGCACAGCACAGACTTCCTGCAAAACAACAATACCACCCACGCAATGTACAACAACATCACCAGCATCGGTCTCCCCGCTTCCGAATTCCCACTATCTTCGACGGAGCCCGATGCTCTTAATTACACATCTAAGGCAGACGGCAGTTTTGCTGCCGCTCCCTTCAGGACGTCGACTGCGTTCTCCCCCTTCCACCGCCCGCGACACCCCAATCCCTCCTTCCGTGATACCTCGTCCGCCTTCCCTAACTCAACATACCCCTCATCAAACGACCTCTTCGGAGCTTCTCAAAACCCGATTTCACGTTTACCTGCCTCTCAACCGCAGTCTGCCCTGCCACACCCGCTTGACTCACTCCAGCACACCGGGCGCTCGTTCGATTTTGCTCCGGGGCCGCCTCAGTTCAACGGCTCTGTTTCTGCCAACGGCGCTTCGCACAACAAACAGTTGTATGCTTTGGACGCTTTCAGGCAGGGCCTCGACTCGACGCCCACTCTGCTTCCCAAGCAGCCAGGCGCTGCGTCTGGCGGTCAAAGCCTCCTTCAGAACTCTCAGCATCCCCACCAGCAGGCTTTCCAGGCGCCATACATGAACGGCCTAGGAGGACACTCCTTGGTCCCCGGACATCACGCCCAACCTCAGTTTGGGGCTCATCTTTCTGCAAGCGGCGCAGGGCCTGGACAAGGGGGTGCCCCAGGAAATGGAGTAACGGGCGCTCCGAACATGAATCAGACGAACGGTCCCGCACCCAGCTCCCAGGCGCAGGAGGAGATCTCTACCATCTTTGTGGTGGGATTCCCAGATGACATGTCGGTACGTAATGCTTCCCTCCGAGCACCATGTGACAACGTTGACATGCTGCTATTTTTGTTATCAGGAACGAGAGTTCCAAAATATGTTCACTTTCTCAGTTGGTTTCGAGGCGGCGACGCTCAAGATCCCGAACAAGGAGTCGACTTCGTATGGCAATGCCAACGCCCAGGGAGCTCGTCCAGGGGGGTTGCCTATGACTTTCGGTGGCTCGAACGACCCTTACAATATCGTCACCATGAACCAGGGTGGCGTTCTGATTGATGGCGGTCGGGACGGACCCATGACGTCCTGGCCTTCTTCCGCCCCGAACGATGAAGGCCACTTCATGCAGAACAACGTGCCCATGCAACCGCCACGGAAGCAGATCATTGGCTTCGCGAAGTTCCGCACGCGTGCCGAGGCTCTTGAAGCACGCGACGTCCTTCAAGGCCGTCGTGTCGATGTCGAGAAGGGTGCCGTCCTTAAGGCAGAGATGGCGAAGAAGAACTTGCACACAAAGCGCGGTCCCGGAGTGGGACCGCTGGGTCTCCCGCCGTTCCCAGGCAGTGCTACCGGCACGGGTGCCCCAGACAGCATGTCGGGCCATCCGGGGCTTCCCGCTGCGGGCGAGGCGCTTACTCAGCGCGACAAGCAGCTCGGTGCGCTTGGTGCCATGGGGATAGACCTCAGCGGCTTCCCCCAACGGCGTGACAGGCTCTTTGACGGACGTGATGAGGAGGATCGTGACCGCAGGCGGGGCGATTTCGCAACCATAGGTATCGGTGCCTTTGGTACCCGCGGTCCCCGCGAGCGCGCCGAGGAAGATGAGCGGGAGAGAGAGCGGCGGCGCAAGGAGGAGGTCGCCCGCATGCGGCAGAATTCCTTCGCATTCGAGGCCTTCCACTCCGTTCCTCAGCAAATGGTTCGTCAGGGAGCCAATTCCCTTCTCTCTGCTGAGAACGGAATTGTTCCAAACGGCCTCAACTTGCCTTCGTCGCCGCCTGCCCTCCAGAGCATTCCTTCGCAATCTGAGGGAATGTCTGGGCCTTGGGGCAATCTCCGCGATGTCGGCGCATCTGCTGCGCTGAGAAAGATGGGCGTTCCGCAACACCACATGTCCGGTCTTCCTCCGCGCCCACAGTCTCCCTCCGCCACGTCTCCTCCGACCTTCGAAGCAATCACGAATGGCTCGGTCGGATCGCAGAACGGCCACTCTGCGCCCGGTAGTCGCGGCACTCAGTTCTCGCCTGACTCAACCCCGTCTTCCCTTCCTAGCCATCCTTCACTGCCTTCTCGACCTCCACGCGCGCAGTCGCCAAGCAGCGAGCCGCAGTCCTATTCGCAGTCGTCCCAGCCCAACTCGAAGCCTCCGAGTGTCAGTGGCTCGCAAAGTGGGCACGAGGATGAGCTTGTCCGATCGGTTGGCGCCCTCGCAGTGTCGACGGAGTCGGGCTCCACTTCGCCGCAGCTGCCGTCTCCTGCGTCGGGAACGAGCTCTGGTGGTGGACGCAATGGGAGCGACCAGAACCCGCCTATCAACACGCTGTACGTCGGGAACCTCCCCACCTCAACGTCACCGGGCGGCCACACCCTCAGTTTCCTCGAGGACCGCCTGAGGGAGCTGTTCTTGAAGCAAGCGGGATACCGCAAGCTCTGCTTCCGCCAGAAGAGCAACGGCCCTATGTGTTTTGTTGAGGTGCGTCGCTTTGTGATTTCGTGACGAGCGCTTGTACTGAGCCGATGTTGTAGTTCGAGAGTGTCGAGTTTGCGACGAAGGCCCTTAACGATCTCTACGGCGACACTCTGAATGGTTTGGTTCGCAACGGCGGTATCAGGCTGTCGTATAGCAAGAACCCTCTCGGTGTACGTACCCCGAACAGCGGTGGTAATGGGCCATCCCTGCAACAGCAGCAGCAGCAATATCAGAGTCGCGAGATGCAGGATGGCAGCCGTGACGGCTTCTCCGGTGATCCGTACCCTCGCCACTCTGAATCGACGGACACCATTCGAGGCGTGCGCCGTGACACCTCTAGCATGACGTCTCCCGCCTCGTCCTACCGCTATACCACATCTCCTCCGCCACCCAGGTTCTTCTCACCGCCTCTGCCCTCAGGAACCTTCAGCGGCTCTCTTGCCACCTCTACGTCTTTCCCACGCGCTAATCCTCAGGGGTTCGGATTCTCATCGGGCAATACGACTTTCTCTCCTTTCGGCATTCCTCACTCTTCGATACCCGATCAGCCCGTGGCTGACGCTAGCAACGACCATCTCGCACACCCACTTACTCCCGCCGCGGCCAATATAGAGGCTAGCCGCGCCGGCTGATGATTGCCATTCGCACACGCAATACCTCGCATGTACCAATTATGTGAAGTCTCCCTCAGCTCTCCTCTCTCTCTCACTCTCCGCATATTTACCACGTACATTTTCCTGGACGTTCCACCAGCCGCTTCAATTTGCAATATCGTGCACTATCCCATCCTTTCGATCGCTTACATCTCTCAATCTCCATGTGTCTCTCGATCCATTGTCACACTCTCACCTCCTATAAATCAAGTTTACAGATGCTTATAGTTTGGCCATTCGTCCGCGCCCGTAGTATCCCTTAGTTCTCCATCCCCTCTGCCTTGCGTTGTTTGTCTGCACAAAGTACCGATTCCTGCTCCCGTTGTCCTTGCATTTTGCATACATGCTGTTCTGCTAGTCTCACCTGGGGTACATAGCACGCTTAACCTGTTCCTCACGATATATGTATACTACTATTTACGCGCGCAAGCACCACATAGTTGTCTCACGTGCTTTTGCTAGAGCGTTGAACAACATGGATCAGTAAAGCGGATTCTACAACATAAGTGCGTGCGTGCGTATCGACATAGCTGTACGACGACCGAAAGCCCAGCATAAGACATCATAACTACATTATAGACCAAGAAGGCTCTGCTAGCCATTGTCCCCGTCCTTTGTGCTAGTTCTTGAAGGGCTCTCGCTCTTTGCGGGCTGCGACGACGCAACGGCCGCACCGACAGCCCCGAACTTCAGCTTGAACTTCTTCGGGCCCCCCTCATCTCCACTCTTCAATGGTGCTATCGCCTTGGGTCCCGAGGGATCCAAGTCCGGCGGAGGTGAGGAGGGATTTGGTGTCTGCCGCTTCGATTTGGACAGCCGCTCCAGCAACTCGTCGTCGTCATCCTCGCCTCTCCTTCGCTTGGCCCCTGCGCCGATATCGGACATGCCTGATATCCGGGGCAGTAGCGTCGCGGGGCCCTTCGAGAGCTCCTCGAGAATGTCGCTGTCGTCCTCGGGGTTGATCGCGTTCTTGATCGTCACCTGCCGATGTGCGATGCGCGGGCTCGCGGGAGGCTCGGTCCCCGCCCCGGGGGAGGACGGGAAGCCGACGGTGATGAAACCGCTCGGGATGGGCGACGCGCGCCCGAACGTCTGCGCTTGCGAGGGCGCGACGTTCTCGGCACCGACCATGTCGTCGCCGTCGCCCTCACCGTAATCGACGAGAGAGCCGAGCGGGAGCGTGCGCGCGATGCCGTTGAATGGGGGCTTTGGAGGGGCGCGAACGGGAATACCTGTATTGCGTGCGGGACGCTTGCGCTTGCCAGTGAGCATCGGGGGCGGGGTGGAGACAATGGGGACGCGCTCGTCTTCGTCGTCGTCCTGGTTGAAGTAGTCCTCCTCGGCAGTGTCGAGGAGCTTGCCCTGGCCCCATCCTCGTGATGGCGTGCTGGGTAGCCTGGTCCAAGGAGCGGAACATGGCAGGTCAGCGAGAGTAGTGTAGTCCCAGTAGTCGTGCACGTACTTCTCGATTCGTTCGATGGGTGGAGGCTCTATGTTCATCTCCCATCTGCTGATGAAATCCCTGAACCTCGGACCCACCACAGACGACTCCGATAATGCTCGTATCGTGTCTCCATGCTTCGTCATGCAATGATGGATAAGCTCCTTGATGTTTTCCTACATAGACGATCATTTGAGATAGAATATCAACAATATACTGGGACGAAGATACGTACGCGGCGCATGAAGTCGAAAAACTCGAGACATGTCGAGCTGACGAGGTTGTCGCGTTTTGACTCGCGCGTGGTGAGTTCGAGGATAGGCTGGAAGACATCGTGCTTGATGAGATGCTTGAAGATGTTCCCGTTCTTCAGTCGTAGACATGTGCGGAAGAAGCGGAACGAGGCTACGAGCAAACACATCAGGTCCCGCTGTTTGCACGGCCAACATCGCATGACGACCCACCTAGACGAAGGTGCTTGTCCTTGGAGCGAAGAAGAGTTGCGACGCGAGGAGCAATGTTGGATGATAGGACAAAGAAATGGCTGCGGAAAGAGTGTTGTTGCGTGAAGTTCGACAGGAGGTCGCATAGCCACAAGAATAAATTAGTCTTCTCGCGGGATAGGGCGAAGGTAGGGTCTGCGTGTACCGTAAGACAGGACAGTCGTCAGGTCAACGACCGTGGTTACGCACCGGAAACATCCTTGGACTCTGGTATCTCTTGGAAAGGCTTGAAGAGGATGTCTATGCAGAACTTGTAGAAGTAGTCGAGGAACTTCTCTATTCCTGGGTCGTCCTTGGCTCGTTGCTGGAGCATCTTGAGACCGATGTTCTGCCCACACACGTAGGCACATGCATCCCCAACAAGAACGAGGCACTCACCGGACCCTCCATACCATCAGCCCCCACAAGCTCCAACAACAGCCTCAACGCCTCCCCAACCAGACTCTGCACGGCCAGTTCCCGACTCCGCACCAGCACTCTGCACATAAGCATCAGCACCGTCTCCTTGTCCTTCACGTTCTTCCCGCTCTGCTTCTCGCGTTCCATCGTTCCTAGCTGCTTGAGCACGTGCCCGCGCACGCCGTTGAGGTCGTGGTCTAGGAGCGCCATCATGATCTCGCCCGACGTCGCGATCATCTGCCGGCCCTCCTCGTCCGCCTCGGTCTGCGCTAACCCCCACTGTACGGCGAAGACGATCCCACGATCGACCAGCGCGCGGAAGAGCGACATGCGCGCCGGCAGCTGCACGTTCTTGCCCATCTGGCACAGCTGCTGCACAAGGAAGACGACCTCTCGCCGTCGTGTGAGCTCTTCTGTGGAGAGCGCCTGATTGGGTGCTGTTGACGAGCTCGAGCCCTCCGCGTGGCCGTTCGGTTGCGTCGCGCCGTTGGCCGCCTTCCCGTCTGTCGAGTCGACGTCCATCTTGTCTGCGTCTTTCGGCGCGCCCGGTACGGATGCCTTTGCTGCCGCGTCTCCGGCGTTCTTCGTGGGAAGGCCAAGGAGAGCGAGGAGGTCGTCGTCCATGAACATGCCGGCGATCTCGCGGAGGAACGCCTGGTCGTTCTGGACGTGGGTGATGATGTCGATCTGGTTGAATATGATGGATGAATTGAGGACGTTGAATGTCGAGTCGTCGATTGCGCGCGCGAGTACGACATCCTTGAGGAACTGAAGACGGTAGGTATGGTGTATCTTGCGCTGTATCGCATCATCACGGATGGGGATCGGCTGGTGAAAGCGGGAGGTTTCGCGCAGGAAGTCGCGGTAATTGGCCTTGTAGTTTGGGAATTCGGGGTCATCTGTGTAAGAGGATTAGACTCACGTAGGCTATGCGGGCTTGATCCACGGACATTCGAGTATACCAACGACACCGAGGAAGATATCGTCGTCCAGGATATGCTCATATAGGCTGTGTTCATTCAGTAGCACTGCGGCAGCGGGCTCAGCCGGGGGTAGGGTGGCGTAGTGTCAAATGGACGTACGGATGGTCTGCATACAGCCGAACAAAGCATGTAGATCAATGAGGCTTTCGAGGTCTTCTGCCTGGTGGAAGACGTCGATCAAAGCCTTGATATACTCCTGAAGAACGAACAAGATAACCGAGGTCGGCGGATACGTGTGTGGCCAATCACTTCATCCACGCACCTCGTTTTGAATATATTCACACACTCGCTCTTTCACGATAGCTGTCCTTGCGAGATGCTTGATGGCGGTATCAATCTCCCCGATGATGCCCATCTGAGGTTGCGGTAGGCGACCCGAGCGGATGATATTGGCAGTCGTGACGGAGGGTTCGGGACCTTCAGGACCGATTAACGGTGAGGAGGTAAGAACCATGTCTTCTTCGGTGTGGGGATCAGGGGAGGGGAGGCAGGGCTCGGATAAATGAAAGACACGCTGCATTAGAGTGGTAGGGCTCACCACCGGCATTCATATGTCGCTGAACCTCCTCAATGAAATGCCACACCTCTGCGCATCCCTCGGGGTCTTGAAAGCTGAGCGCATAGTCGACGCCATCGGGCTCGGTCCATACAATTAGTGTTTCTATAGCGTGCAACAGTAGGCTGAGCGACTAGGACAGCCGTAGGCACGTCGCACGCGTAGATAGGCTTATCACACACCTTGCTGTCGTTGGTACACGTCCGTGGCTCGTATAGTGGTCGTAAGGATAATGCGGTTGAAGTCCTCCTCAGCGCGCGCGATGAGGAGGGCCTCGTTGTCCTGGAAGTCGCCGAAGCAGAACGCGGTGCCCTGGTCGACCCAGCGGGAGCCGATGAGCTCGTACACCTTGACGCGTTTGAGTTCGTGACTGTCGTCCTCGGCCCATTGTCCGGACTCATCGACCACCCCGCCTATGTGCTCCGCGTCCACGCCTTCCAGCGGCTCGTTCGACGTCGCGGGAAGTTCGGGTTGGGCGGGAGATGGCGCTCCCTCGACGACGGTCGGCGCGGTCGCGTCTACAACCTGCCCAGCCTCGGCAAGCTCCACGCGTTGTTCTACCTCAGACGTGCCAGAAACTGTATCGGCATCGCGAGGTGGTTCTTGGGGCGCAGGTGGGTCTGGTTGGGACGGCGGCTGTTCGGCAGGCGAGGAAGCGAATGGAGTCACGGTCTGAGAAGGGTCGCCGGCAGCATCAACGCTGCTCATTGCCAGAGAGAAAGGACACCCAGAGCTGGTAGAGGCGGCGTTTAGATGAACGGAGCAGGGGAAGGGGAGGGCGCGGGGACGCGGGATGGCGGAGGATGATGAGGCTGAGAGAGGGCGACTCGCGAGCAGCAGCCGCAAAGGCGTGTTGTCCGCTGTTTGCTGCACGCTCCGCCCATTCGTCACTCCCCCGCGTCTACGCATACATCCCCGAGTTCGTCCTCCCTCCCCGCTCCCGCGTTCCTTCTCGCTGGTTCATTGGCTTCCTGCAATGGCTCCCAAGCATTGGCTCATGAAGGCGGAGCCCGACTCGCGCGTCGTCAAGGGCAAAGACGTGAAGGTGCGCTCTCACGCGGTAGCTATATGCGCACGCGTCCGAACGAACCGCGCTAGTTCAGCGTCGATGACTTCGAGGCAGTCAAGACCACACCTTGGGAGGGGGTGCGCAACGCAGAGGCTAGGAACCTGATGAAAGAGATGAAAGTCGGCGACAAAGTACGCTTGCTGCTGCGACGCCCCGTCCCGTGAAGAGCATTCAGCCGAACTGATCTTCTGCGTTCGAATGCAAGGTCCTGTTCTATCACTCGAATTGCAAGAACCCTGGTGAGCATTGGATGACATCACGAGGCAACTCATGGGCCGCGGGCTAAGCTATTGGCAGGCATCGCGGCGTTTGCGGAGGTGCGTCCGAGGACAATTTGCTTCCGAACGTGATTCGAGCCCTTTGTGCGTGTGCCCAGGTTACCAAAGAAGCGCACCCAGATTGTGAGTGGCTCCAAGATACCATCAACCACCATTCTGAGCAGCGAATCACCAAGAGATACGGCTTGGGATCCGTATGTCGTTTCAAACCTTGTTTGCGATCCGTCCCTTACATCCATTCCCAGCTCGCACCCTTACTATGACGCTGTATGACCCTATGTTATCTGTGCTTCGTGGTACTGAGCACCGTGATCCCAGAAAACCGACAAGGAGAACCCAAAGTGGTACATGGTCGAGGTGACTTTCGGGTCCCGTGCCAAGCACTTCGTTCCATTGTCTCTGCTTAGGAACATCGCGTCCGAGCCCCCTGAAGAGGTGGCCTATATAGGTCAAGACGGCGCAAAAGCCATCAAAGGTCCGTGACCAGAGTTCATCCACAGTACCGCCGAGTTGATTGGCATGTGTGCCTGGGAGCAGGCATGGCGCTAGTAACCCGCGGGAGACTCAGCGTGCAGAGGGTCGAGGAAGACACTTGGGAAATCATCGAACAGCTGGCGGAGAGGGGCGGGTGGGAAGAGGCTGGTACTAGTAAACCAAAGACCAAGTCTCAACCGAAGGGCAAGGCGAAGTCCAGTGGATCCAAACAGGCGCGTGGTCGGAAGAAGGCAATAGAGCACGAGAACGAGGAGAATGGAGGTAGCGAGTCGGACACAGAGCAACTAGATGCGGGTGAAGCAGTAGATGAGAAGAAGCTGAGTCGCAGGAAGAGGAAAGCCCCAGAAGATGCAGACGAAGATTTCAAGCCAAGAAGATCTGCCCGTGCTCGGAGGTAGCGTTCTCCCCTATACCCCATGCCTAGTTTCATACCTTATTGTACATATTTTCTTGTCCTCCCCCTGTTCCTGCTCAATATGAACTAACATGCAGACTATGAACTTCATAGACATTTGTGTTGTACCTTACATCCGTCCAACCCTCGCAGATCTCTGCGAGAGACCCCATGCGCACATGCAGCCTATTCGTTGCTTGGAGGAATGACCTTCTGCAGGAACGTCTGCAGCTCCGCTATCTCCTGCGGATCGGCAGAATGTCCGAGGTCGGGGTATGCGTGGAATTCGATACCGCCCTCGAGAACCTTCTCAGGCTCGACCTTGGGGATGCCGATCTGCTGCAGAAACTGGAGCGACATAGTCGCCTTATCAAACCCCACAATTGGGTCGTCCTCACCATGTCCCCAGAACACGGGGAGCTTCTTCGCATGGTCAGACAACATCTTATATGCACGCACATCAGCTTCACCCGTCGACTGCGTCTCCCACATGGCATCACTTACCGCCTTGACCTTGTTACGGAGCGGCAACCACCCACTGAGGACAGCAAGTCCGGCCAACCGCCTCTCATTAGTGAGGCCGGTGAGCAGCGTCATGCCCGCGCCCTGGGAGAAGCCTCCGAGCACGATCCGGTTGGCGGGGACGCCGGCGTCGACCTCGGCGGTGATGAGCTGGTTAAGCGAGTGTACAGTCTGTAGCATGCCCGTCTCGTCCTCGCGGGCGTTGATGCTTCCAAACTCATAGATGTCGAACCTGTGCGCGATCGTGAGGATGCGGATGAAGCTAAAGTAGGTACTTGTTGACTCGACGGAGACCACATACCAGGAGGGCATGCGCATTCCGCCGTTCGCGGTGACGGGTTGTATGGGACTGTTGTGAATGGGCACTCGTAGGTGGCGGCAGCGAATAGGAAATGACGAGCGAGGCGACTCACGCGTGTGGCAAGACCCATTTGACGTGCTGTAGCTGCGGGTCCCGCGCGAGCATCTCTGCGACGGGCTGCCAACCGGCACCTGTGTCGCCTAATCCCTAGAGAGCAGTTCAGCGCATGTGCGAAACAACAGGGTGAGCAGTTGGCGACGGCTCAGGGGAAGCAACATACATGCACGAAGATAACGGTGGCAGAGTGTTTGACGCGCGGGGCGACGGTAAGGAACTTGAGAGCTTGGGAGGCCATGCCCGTCACTGCTGCAGATGGGTTTGAGTATTCTGACAAGCGTAGCTTCTGTCTGATGAAGAAGGGCCCTAGCCAGCCTGCTACGGCGACGACGACGAGGATTGCAAACGAGCGGACAGAGAGCATTAATCGCCGTTCAGAGACGCTCTTGGTTCCCCGCGAGCGATGTCCCGGGCCGCTGCCTTGCCGGGAGACAAGCCGATGTATCTCTGCCAATATCGCGCATAACTCTCCCTCGCCGAGGCATCCTGTTCTACTCATAAGAGTCCATTTCTCACAGCATCCACCATGCTCGGCGACCCTCCTGACAACGGCCCTCCCTCTCCTCTTCCCGACAGAACAGAGACCGCCACCGCACCCGCATACCCTGCACCCGACTCAAAAGCAGAACCTACGTCTACCGCAGCCACAGAGACCGCAGCCCAAGCCAAAGAGCGGCTCTCCAAGAAAGCACAGAAAAAGCTCGCGAAGGCGGAACACATCGCCGAGCGCAAAAAAGAGCGGCGGGCGGCGGAGAAGGAGCGCAAGAAGGAAAAGCGGCGCGAGCACGCGCAGAAGCGCGACGCGGGCGAACTCGAGCCCGAAGAGCGAGAGCGCAAGAAGCAGAAGACGGAGCAGGGGCCGCGGACGCCGTTTGGGGCGCGGGTCGTCGTGGACTTGGGATTCGACGACAGGATGACGGAAAATGTGAGTTCGGCCGGGAGTGATTCTGGACGAGATGAGGGTACGCGTACTGAAGGGAGCGCGGGGCTGCAGGAGATCAAGTCGCTCACTGGGCAGCTTGCGTACACGTACAGCGTGAACAAGAAGGCGGTCCATCCGTTCTCTTCCCTGCTTTTCACGGGAATAGACGGGAGGACGAAGGCACGCATGGACGGGATGAGCGACGCTGCATATAAACGGTGGGTTGGGGCTGAATGGTGGGAGGAAAGCTACGAGCGGTTGTGGGAGGGGAAGTCGAACTCAGGGGAAGGCACGCAGGAGGACAAGGAAGATGAGGCGACAGAGGCGGGAGGTACGGAAGGGAAGAAGGGGCAGAAGAAACGGCCAAGGAAACAGGAACCAAGCAGAGCGGAGAAGGCCACCGTGGTCTATCTTACCGCCGACTCAGAGGAAGAATTGACGGAATTGAAGGAGGGCGAGACATACATAATTGGCGGCATCGTGGATCATAACCGGTATAAGGTGAGTGTGTCTCCTGCATGGGGGCAGATTGGCATATACACCATACACAACGTATCTGGTCTCCAGGAATATATTTCATATCACATGTATCGTCCACAGCTTCATCTACTGACTGCAACCCCTTGGCTACCAGAACCTATGCCTCGAAAAATCACAAACACAAGGCATCCGTTCTGCGCGACTACCTATTGGTACATACCTCGCGGAGTTGCGGACGCGCAAGGTCCTGACTGTGAATCAGACGTTCGAGATCCTCGTCAAATGGGTGGAGACGCGCAACTGGGAGCAAGCCCTATATTCCGTAATACCAAAACGCAAGTTCAAGACGGAGGGTCGTAAGAGAGGCGGTGGCGGGGCGAGTTCGAAGGACGGCGACAGTGTAGCTGAAGAGGAGGCCAAGGAGGGTGGCGGGCTCCGTGGTGGAGACGGGGATCTTCAGGTGGTCGATGTCGCAGACTTGGAGGATGAGGCAGAGCACGAACCAGGGGAGCCCCTGGGCGGAACTGTCCTGATGGAATCATAGTGGTTTGGGGGCTATCGGACGAGAGAAGGCTATTAATGTTCCAGTGCTTCCTTCAAACTGGTCTCTGCAGAGCCTCGCTCCAGAGGTTGTGGCTGGTTGGGAGCCGGCTTCCATCCGATCTAGCGGGCGGAGGTGAATGAGTTACACTGAGTATTGAATTCATGTAACATACCACATAGATAACCTGGAACGTTGCAGGAACAGTCCCATCTTCATGACCATGAAGTTCTGCCGGCTCGCGTCAGCTACTGGTACCAACTCGAATCATGAGCAGTTCATGCCTTTGTATATCGCTGAGGCGGCTGTCAGAGTATCGCGGTGAATGTAATGCCGGCTGGGCAAGGCTGCGTTAGACTGTTCCCTCTCCGAGTTTGTATATGAACAAGACCCACCGTCCGACAACGGCATTGCTTTCTCCCATGTCCTGGAGATCTTCTAGAAGCTCCCACATAGAGGGGTATGCCACCTTCACCTCGTCGACGTCAACCGTCAGGAGAGTGAATCCTGCACGTCCGAGGAGGTTGGACATGTCTCGTGAGTCTAAAAAGGGGATTACTTCATGTCAGGCTATCGCACCAAAGCCAGAAAGCCCTCACCTGTCATCGGAGAAACATGCGGAGAGATACCTCCCTCGCGCTCGACTTCTGCAAGCTGTAATGATGTCCTGAGCTCGAAGAGGGTATCCCCTCCAAACAATGCTCCGAGAAAGACACCGTCGGGTTTTAGTGCCTCCTTGATTTGGACGAGAACACCTGCAAACGGCGTCAGTGAAGGTAAAACGCGTATGTCGATGTACAGACCCGGTAAGTCATTGACCCAGTGCAAACTGAGGCACGAAACAATAGCTTCTTGCGAGTCCCGTGGGACCACCTGAAGTAAGTTCTCTTCGTCGGCATGTATCCTCTCCACCTGAACTATCGGAGATATTATGTCATGACTGAACCCAAATACCCAAGAATACGAGCCTACCATCGAATTCTTCATCAGAGTCTCTATGAAGCAGCTTCTCTGGATGTACAGCCTAGGTAATCCAACGTGCATTCGATTCCAACGCGCTGGCGCATGACTTACCACTCGAGTCGAGCATCAACACTTTCTGGGTGATTTCGGAGTCTAGCAGCTTGGAGAAATGGCCTGGACCGGACCCTAAGTCCAGAATTCTATTGAATTTGCGTTTGATATCCTGTGGCATGCCTTCAAACCGCTGTTCTGTTCCGGATGGCATTGAACGTGTCGCACCTGCATGCGCTCAACGAGTCTATCCGCGACCTCGTCACGGACATAGTCTACAGTCCTGCTGCGCTCGCCCCCGTCGCGCACAGCGGACCTGTCCTTCTGCATCCGCTTAGCATTTCGATCGAATACTTGGAAAGGGCCGACGGAGTTAGGATTTATGGCAGACGAAGGAGATACGGAGGCGAGGGTACGTGTCCGCACGAGCTTCGACGCGAGAGGTAAATATGCAAGCTGGCAGCGTGCGATACGGAACATTGTGTATGGTCCTGAAATCGCGGCAACGCCTGTATATATGGTTGAGCGCAGGGTTTTACTTGTAGAGCAGAGCTGCGAAGTCCTGATCCGAGAGACTGACACTATGGAGGCACGGACTCGGAGGCGGCGAATGACGTCGAGATCATACAGCGGTTTTCAATTGACTTGTCGTTTGAGCGCCGACGCGAGCGCGCCGCCACACCTGCGTCCGACCCCCACTGATGCCTCCCTTGGAAACCTTCGACCGACAATATCTCCTCTTCCCCTCCACAAAACCACTCACTTCTTTCATTTTATCACGCCTGGAGCATATCCGCACACGTTGATGTCAGTTGTGTTGCTGGATGTGTCACCCATATCGCGCCAACCCCGTATTACATCCCGTGCACTCGCCTCTCGATTCAGACTCCGTTACACATTAAACAGCGCGGTGTACTCCTCCGGAAACCATTAGAAAGGGTCAATTCGAGTGCTATTGAGGGAATTATGCAAGAGGTTTGTGAGTCTTGTAGTGATAACGTTGTGCATGGGGGCGGCTGGGAGGTAGCGTCTAGTGCGACATCGGGGTTTCTCTTTGGGCGATAGCACACAGTGTTGCTTGTGAGTAATATATACTATATGGAAGTTCTGGTGATCTTGCGGGGTATCTGGGAACATGTGTCATCACTGCAGGACTGCTGGAGGGGACAGGAAGGGTCGCCGGGCGAATCATATGGTACTAAACTACACACGACTGCCATTGATGACATATGTGATTGAAAACGTACATAGGCATATAAAACAGATATACAACATGTTTGAAAGCCTAAGGATGGTGGTTTGACGGCATTCGGGGGGATAGCATGCCTGACACGTGCATGTACTCTGCATGGAAGACAGGAAATGTACGGCTCAAACACTTACTGCACTCTGCATACTCTGTAAAATCCACCAATGACTCCCTTTGCATCTCCTAAGCTTCGCCGTGTAGTACGAGGAACAATGTGCATGGCGGACAGGAGAGATTGTTGCAGGAGTTATCGTGAAATGGAGGCTGGATGTTCTACGCGCCATATCCCATCATAAGAGCAGTACCATGCCCTGCAGAACACGTTTCCAAACTAGACATTGAAGAATTGACGTCGATATGTTGCACTGTTGAGGAGGTTTCGCCGTCCAACGTTCCAAAGGGGGCGCGTAGAGGAGGTCCCAGTGAGCGAGACACGAGTCGGGACTGGCGCGATATGGGAGGCACATCCAGCAACACAACTGACATCAACGTGTGCGGATATGCTCCAGGCGTGATAAAATGAAAGAAGCGAGTGGTTTTGTGGAGGGGAAGAGGAGATATTGTCGGTCGAAGAAGGTTTCCAAGGGAGGCATCAGTGGGGGTCGGACGCAGGTGTGGCGGCGCGCTCGCGTCGGCGCTCAAACGACAAGTCAATTGAAAACCGCTGTAGTCCTCAGACGCCCATCGTCCTGGACGCGACGCGTCGCGATCGCTTAGTCAGCGAGTCCTTCTTCGGGTCGAGTTCCTTTCCTCACCACCACCACCGTCGTTCCCGACGACGAGGCCCTTACTCTGCTTCACCTTTTCACTTGTCATCCCACGGTCTAGATCATGAACAATGGCGGAGACGGTCAGATCCCCCGGCAATATTCTCTCAATGAACTTGTTCTCTCCGCGGCCAACGGCGCCATGAGCCCCGAAGACGAGTTCGCCAAACGAAGGCAGCGCATCGAGGCGATTAAGGAAAGGCTGCGGAGCGCCGAAGAGCAAGTGGAAATTGAATATATGCAGTATCTTGAGAAGAAGGAGAAGCTGCAAGCGGAGGTACTGCGAGGGCAACTAGCAGCGTAAGTTATCCAATATTCCTCCGTCGAAATCGAAGTGTGCGCTGGACGTACGTGCCCTTCTAGTCAGAGGTTGCAGGAATTGGAAGGGACTGTGCCAGTCCAAACAAAGTGAGCGTTGCGCGTCCGAACGTGTTTCATCGTAGTGACCTTGGCCTAGTACGATTCTCCCCGTGGCGGGCCCGTCTACCGCTTGGCAGTCTCTCCCCACATATCAAGTTGCCCCTCAATCTGTACAACAATACACCGAGCTACCTTCTACCGCAAGGATAGTCGAGGTGCCCTCCCCCCAGATTTCGCCACAGGTGCGTACTCGTCCTTTCCCTGCGGTAGAGAATCTCAAGAACGTCTTCTTACAGGTCCATCCACACGCGCCCGTCGCGTCATCGTCACGTAGCGATACCATTCCTGCTCCAACATATTCCCAAACGCACAAGCCTTCCCTTCATCTTCCTCCGCCGAGTTTTGCTGCATCGTCTCAGCCCGCCCCCGTCTCCCAGCCTGTTACGGATTGGACAGCGTATGGTGCCGACCCTAAGGTCATGAACCAGCAACCACTTGGTCCGCATCTTCAAAGGTCTTCATACCGGCCTGTTCAATGGCCAGCATCCAACGCTTCATATTACCAATCGCAGACCTACAACTATGCGAGCCAGCGACCATCTTCCGCTCCGCTTGTACCTCCCGTGCCCCACTCCTCACAATACAAAGGTACTTGCGATTACTGTCACTAGGGCAATAAGTGTATACTGATATGCCTGCTGCTACTAGTCACGCAGAGCTCGAGTAGTGTGCCGCAGGCCGGGCATGTTGCTCCTAGTGGAATGCATTCTGTCGGAAGTTCGGCCACCCCGGCGGCTCGCACATCGACACAGGCGATAGTAGACGGTGCCAGTCACGCGAGGCAAGCGCACAACTCTGATGTCAGCCACACAGACCAAACTTCTCCATCGGAATCCGCGCAGCATTATCCTACCCTGCCCTCAAGTATCCCCCCGCACCATCAACGGATGTTGTTCGAGTATCTCGAGGTACGTTCTTCCCATGCCCGTAATATACGACGGTGTTGAGCTGACGCTCGCATGAAGCGACTCGATGATCCCATTAAGCGAGCGATCATGGTGCTAGTGTTGATGATGGCGGAACGAAGAGAGAAAGGGAGGCAGAAAACGGCAGAGGAGAGAGTATTGGAGGCGAGGGTCGGCCCAGCGATCATCCGAAGCGCTCAAACAATCGCAGACGCGTGGAAAGTGAGTAGGATTGATGCTACCCGCTGCAACATCAGCTAACAGCCCAAGCAGATGCATGACGCCTCCCAAATCCAGCGTCTGTTTAGTGATTACATCCAATGGCTGAACAGTCGTAGGCAGGCTCGTAGTGAGTGCAATTCATGGTCTGTCACTTCTCACTCTCATCATCATCGTTTCAAGAAGCAGCTGCAGGCGAAGCCGCAAACGTCGAGCAATCTCAGCCCAGTCAATTTGTACAGCTGGATCCTGCAATGTCGGCTAGTTCTAGGGCTGGGGTTCCACCAGCTCCATCAACTGGTGCCCGTGCTCAGCAAGCATCTGTGCCCCTTCCCGCGGTGGCTGAGCCATCTCCATTTACATCCTCGTCTACGCACACGAATGCTACTCCTGCTTCTACCAGCACCCTTCGCCCGACCTCCGAGCCGTCTATGGCAACAACATCACGTATTGTACCAGCTGATCGGCTCAGACCCTTCCCATGGTACAGATCTCGCGATCCTAACGCCCCCGTCCCGTTCTCGGACGACAATGGCCAGGTCTACTGGCTGCCCCCCCATGCTGTGCCACAATCCAAGCCCCCAGTCCCAGGCCCCTCCACACTGCCCATTCCAAAAATTCTTCCTCGAACAACAGCATTCCCACAGCGAAGACCCGCCTCCGAGGCGAGGCAGTCGGCGCTTTGGACGCCGGAGAAGGCGGACAAGAGCAGGCTCGCGCAGGACATCATGCGCTCGCTCGGGCGTCCAAAGGGTGCGTTCGGCGCGCCTCTCGTTGATTCGCATTCTTCTTTTATTCCTTGGTTTGAGGTAGTTGACTCTTCCTCAGAGACCCCGAGCACTACCTCGACGGGCAAACGGAGAGCGTCCCTCACGCCGTCTGCGTCGCCAACGACGATCGCAAAACGGCCACGACTTGAGTCGGAGGTGGAGACGAGGCTACCGATCGTGCCCGCTTCTGACGTCCAGCCCGACGCTACCATCGAGGTCGTTGCGCCAGCTTCCGAGCAGGGTGCCGAGTCGCCAGTCGCTGTTGCTGTCGTCGAGCCAATACCTCCCGATCCTGCGCCGCCACAAGCCGATGAACCTATGGAACGCGATGTGGAGGCTGCTGAAAAAGCAGTCTCCGATATTCCTGAGGCAGGGCGCGCCCAGAGTATCCCATCATCCGATGGTGCCCTCGATCTCGTTCAAGATATGTTGGTGGCGCCGCCGGACACCGACCCTGCAGCTCCTCCTTCCTCGGACCCCTATCGGGGCTTGCCCTACTCTCCAGATGAAGTTGTGGGTCCCGTCGAACCCCTGGGTGGGCTCGGAGCCCAAGAGCTCCATAACCTCCCAAGCACTGCTGCCCCGTCCGCGGCCCCTTCGTCCTCGCATCCTTCGTCCGTAGACGGATCAAGAGCAACCCCGCCGCCACGGTCCTCATCACCGTCTCAGCGTGAGAAGACCAAGGAGAAAATCCCACTGTTCCTACCTTCGCCCTCGCCCACGAGCACCGTGGACGAACACAACCGCCCAGACGGGTCTCCCACGGTGGACGACGTTGACATGTGGTCAGATGCTTCTGAGCCCCCTCGTTTACCCAGGCACTTGAAGGGAAAGGGGAGAGCGGTCGAGGACGACGATGTGACTTCCGAGACATCGTCGGTTATGCCCGGTGCCACTTCGCGAGTACGTCGACGTGTGAACCGGGCGTACGTTCTCGTGCCTCCTTTACCGCAATATGCAAGACGGAAGACTGCGCTGGTGTCTCGGTCCGGAAGTGTGGCGAGCGGCAGTCAGAATGCCAGTGCGAGTGCGCGGAGTGCTCGAAGCACCCAGAGTGCGAGCAGGAGTAGAGGTGCTACGGCCAGCGTTCACGAAGGCGAGGGGTCCATTGACGAGCTTGCGGCATGGCATGGTGGGTCGTTGTGCATGGACGAGAGCGACTGTGGCAAGAGCGTTGACCAGATATATGACATGTTAGTTGACGAGGGCATGGTAGCAGCTGAGCCTCAACGGGATAAAGAGGGTGAGTTGGTGGCATCGGTCGGCGTGCTCCGATACTGATCGCTGATATTGTTTTCCGCTCTTGGCAGAGGTCGAGGCGGAGGCGGAAGCTGAACAACTCTCTTTCACTCGGCTGCGGCAAACGCCCTGTTCTTGGTCCGAATGCGGGGTGATCTTGAACTCGGCGACCACACTGCAGAAGCACGTGGCGCTGCATGCGGATGAGAATGAGGAGTGGGTGAGTTGCTGTCATCTCTGCGGTTTCTCGTGCTGCATTTGCATATGTTGCGAATGCAGTCGACTGATGCGGGTGAACTGACATATATTGTTGCTATCACTAGGGGACGTTCACGTGTCGCTGGAACAATTGCTTCTCAACACATTTCGTTGATAAGCAGAGTCTAGTCAAGCATGTCCAGAAGCACACCAAGTCACCACTTTGGTGTGCGTACGAAGGTGGGCGATCGACGCTATCAACGCCTGTCGTGATAGATCTGACATCTCCGCTACACCACGACGTGGACGCTATTCACTATGCAGGATGCGATACGTCCTACGCGTCGCCTTCCGAACTTTGTCGCCATCAGCAGTCAAGCAAGCATCAAGACGGACAGCTTCGCAGATCATGTCTGCCTGCACCTCCCCCTGAGAGAATGGACCCGCTGCCACCTCTGCCTGATCATGTCCCGGCGTACATGTCCGTTGAGCGTCGGGTTGGTAGGCATCCCACTTCGCGAGAACGGCATCAATGGCTCGGCCCGAAGGTAAGTTGACATTCCGCGTGCTAGAACTTGATTATTCGCAACATTGCGACACCGCAGCATGTCCTCTTCGACGTCACGCGACATTCGTGCATCTGTCTTTGATGCCTGACTGCACACTCACGCATGTACGTTACTAGGTTCTCGAGAATATAACCTCCTTCAAGTACACCGGCCGGCGTTCGAACGCAGCCTTACCCCTGCGCGGGTCCCGGCGGCTAGCCGAAAAGGTCGCTGCAGCAGAATTGGCCGCAGTGCCCCCGGAGAGCGCGATTGACCAGATTAAGCGGTGGATTGACGACGAATACCTCGACTTTGCGGACGGGTACGACGCGTCGAGACGCTACCGCGTTTGGTGCGCGGACATCCCTTCGGGGGAGATCACTAGGATGGTGGACGATGGTCTCGTGCTCTGGGCCGACGGACGAGAGGACTCGGACCAGCGCGATCAGCACGCGGAAGCAGATGGTCCTGGAGTGGATGGCGGCGGCCAGGAACCTGCAGGAGAAGGAGATGAGGACGCGGAAGGCGAGGAGGACGCAGAAGGCGAGGATGACGCAGAATTCGAGCAAGAACACGAACACGAACGCGAACCCGAGGAGCCGCCACCACCACGCGTCGCGGGGTCGAGCGACGAAGGCGCAGGCTTGGAAGGTTCCCCTGTCCGCACCGAGGTCAGCGGTGGCGCTGATGGTGGCGGTCGACCAACCCCGAAGCCCAAGCTGCCGTTACCCAGAAGATCGCAAGTCCGACTGTTTAGTGCTCGACCAAATCGGACAGATGATAGTCATGACGTCGAAGGCGTGGCAGGCAACACCGAGACAGATGCAGAGGGCCGTGGTGAACGACCGTCAACGCCGGCTCCAGTGCCAAACTCTGTGCCTGCAGCACCGAGCCCAAACGCCCCTTCGTCGCCGCCACCCATCTCGATGCCGGAGCCGAAGCCGGAGGAGCCTGTGGGATCGGTTTGGACGGCGTGGCCGCCGGCAAAGGAAGGGAGCGTTGGGCTGCGGTGAGGGCCCCCTTCGGGGGATAGCGTGGGCAGTTAGCTTAGCTACCGAAGGACATGTGGGAATGTTGGCGAGGCTAGAATCTGTTGGATATGAGAGCGATCAGACGTGGTGTGTGTGATATTGATACGATCTCTCGCGTATGATGATAGCCTTTGGCTGCTGTCTGCCACCTGCTCGGCGGCGGAGGACAAGGCTCCATCGGCTGGCTGGAATCGCGCTGAATCTGCCCGAAAGATGGCTCAGAATCCGGGGCGTGGACCAGCTGTGCGGACGGCAAGGCGTGATGTTGAGCCGCAGTTGTCGCGCAGGCGCGCCGCCCGGACGAGGGCGCAGAGGGGGACACACCGTTACGCCCGGCCGACCTGGCCTGTTCCCTTGTCCCATCTCCGTGCCTGCGTCTCAGCCTCAGCTCACCGCAGCGTCCCACTGAAGGCTCTGCGCTTGGCCATGATCTGAGGCCGGCGACTGCACTCCCTTATCCGTCTCCGACGTCTCTCCTCTCGCCGCCACCATGTCCATCCAGTGTCCGTCGTACATATCCGCCCGCTCCGCCGAGGTCATCCTCTCCGACGTCCGCCCAATCAAGCTCAAGCCCGACGCGCTGCACTCCATTAATGTCCTCCTGGACGAGACCCTCTACAGCATCCTCACCACCGCCCGGTCACTCGCCACGGATAGGCTCAAGGCCGCGCTTCTCAAGGTCCTGCCAACGAGTCTTGGGAAGGAGGCGCTGCTCGAGGCGGAGGTCGAGCTGAAGGCGTACTGGGACCGAACAGGCTCCGCGCGCCCGCTGCCATCTGGGCGCAATGGAGATTCCAAGGAGTTTGACTTGCAGTGGTCTTTCGAGGTGCGCACGCGAGCCACAGTTCGTACATGTTCGTCGCTGAGCTGTGAGGCAACACGCTCTTTCCGCGCGGCCGTGAACAGCTGCTACGTCTCAAATGCGAGGCGTACTCGACGATGAACGACTCCGACGAGGACGCCGAGGCCGAGAAGCGGCTCCAGCAGCGCATGGAGCAGGCCGGCTCGTCTTCTCCGCCCAGCCCTGCGCTACTGTCTCCGGCCGCGCTCTATCTCACGGCTATACTTGAGTACGTGAACCCATCTGTCCGTCCACATATCTTCTTCCTGGAGCTCACACCTCGCCCCTGTCCTTCTCAGGGCAATCTGCGAGTGAGTGCTTCATATGAGGTGATATCTTCCCTGGGTTTTGACAGCCGCCTGTCGCACTTCAGACATGTACTGTCCAACGTGAGCCGCGTGGCCGCCCGCGATAGCAGCCGCACACTTGCCACCGTCCAAGACCTCTTTACTGCGCTCGGGGAGGACGACACTATTTTCGGGATGTTCAAGGCTATGAAAGGTGTGCACTTCTCTTCGTGACGCAGCGATGCATGCTCGATCGACGCCACGCGCTGCGGCACCATCGTGACCTCAGTCACTGACATATATTGCAACCATCCCCTATCGCGCTCTTGGCTACAGTGTACGCCCACATCGAAGGGCTGTCCAGAGCTCAGGCCCAGCGACCACGCAGGAGCAAGTCCTTCTCAAGGAGCACAGACCAGAAGAACGCCGCCCCGCGAACGTCGACATCCTCCCCTCTGAACGGCGAGTCGGTGGCGACAAACGGGACGACGACGGCATCTGCAATAGCGCCGGGAGGATCATCACGCATGTCGACGGACTCGCAGAAGTCGACGACGGTGGTGGGGTCGAGCGAGTCGCGGCGGACGTCGATGGAGAAGGTGAAAGGCGCAAAGATTTTCCACAGCCGGACGCCAAGCGACAAGCAGCATGCCCGCGACGACTCGGCAAGCGCCGCGCTAGCGCGATCAGCGTCCGAAAACGGCATCAACCGCGAGCATGGTCCAGAATTCGAGGCGAGTGTTCTGACCCCGCGTTTCCGTCTCACCTCTCCCCCTTTCTCCGCCCCCTCGCTCGCTGGCGGTGTGCTGACGTGTCGTGCTCCTTGCAGGAGGACGAGGAGCTGCAGCAGGAGTTCGACGAGCTCATGCGCTCTGGTGCGACCATGAAGGTCTCGTTGACGCCAGACCGGCTAAAGAGTATGGAGGTGCGTCCTGATTGCTGTCCCTCGTTGATTGGTGGAGCAGCAGTCTAACTTCGCCACCGTTCTCGTGATCTCAACCCGGGCAGGTCTACAAGCAGGAGCGTTTCGAGCGAGAACGGTTGAGCCGCAGAGGTACCCAGAGTGCGAACAAGATACAGGACGGCAGCCTGCCCCTCCCGGAGCCGCGGCCGCGGACGACGACCGGACGATCGTCGATCCGCCATGTGGACTCGATCGTCGAGGACGAGGAGGAGCACTCGAGCTCTTCCAACCACGCCGCCGTCGCTTCCCTTACCTCACTACAGTCCAACGCGGCGTCGGCGTCGGCAAGGATGCGAAATACCTCATTCACTGCGACCTCGGCGGGCAGCCGGCCGCCGAGCGACCAGCGCTTGCGCTCCATCTCCATCTCGAACGTGCCCCACCCGCGGGACAAGGACGGCATCACGCGCAGGGTGTCGAACAGCAATGGCACCTCGAGGGCAGGCGGGAGGACGGGCTCGCAGAACGCGGCCCCGCCCCCGCCGTCCGTCGGGATGCCGAAGCGGACGAGGAAGAAGCAGGTGAACAGGGAGTCGATGGACCTGGACGAGATCATGGCGGGGTCGGATGGCGAGGATGTGGATGTGGAAGAGGTGAGACCTCCTGCCTCGCTGCCGGCGTCCCCGCGCACGCCTGGGGGCAGCAGGCCCCACATCTCGAAGGCTGCGCAGGATCTCATCGCGTTCCTCGAAGAGGGCCCGCCCGAGGAGCCCTCGTACAGCTCGAGCGTGAATGCGAGCGTCATCTCGTTCGAGTCGACGAAGACCCGGTCGGGGCGGCTGCAGCGTATGATGTCGCGGCTCACCCTCGGGGGCTCCAGGGAGAGCTTGAACGGGAGCATCTCGGAGGAGCAGCCCAAGACGCCTCGCTCGCTCTCGAGGAAGGGCTCGAAGATGGGCATGGTGACGTCGCCTCCGCCGTCGTACAAGGGCGGGTCCCTCCAGTCGAAGCGATCTATACCCAACGTCAGTGTATACCCCAACGTCATCGTCGCGACACCCCCTCCCCGCCTTCCGCTCCAGAATTCCCAGACCTCTTCGTCGCTCGCGTCCCCGCCGGTCTCGGCTACGTCCTCGTTGCACACGTCGAACGAAGATGTGGCATTCTCCTCGCAGCATTCTAGTCTTTCGCGCCGCACTACACGCAAGGCCGTCCCGCCGCTCGACGACGTCGTATCCCTGTCGAGCACCGTCGGCGAGTCCGTGTTTGAGGGCCGGCCTGCCGTCAACGGGAATCGCAGAGCGCAAGTCGACGACCAAGGCAAGGATGGCACGTCCTCGCCCATTCCCCCCGTCGTGCGGCGCTCGGTCGTATTGAACGGACATCCCGTCAAGCTTGACACCTCCGAGCCATCCCTGCACCCCCGTGCGGCCAGCATCACCTCCCCCACGTCTACGAGCGACCGCAAGTCCATCCACGGAAAGTCCGAGAGCGGGTACGCGTCCCGCTCTACGTCGCGCAGCCCCATCACGCCCTCGGAGCGCCTTCCCCCGCCGCCTCCGCCTGCACCGACGATCCCCCCAGCAGATGCGGAGAACCTCCGTCGCCTGCTCGAGGCTGCGACGTCGGCAGACGAGTGTCGGCTGCTCGTTGACTTGTTCCTCGTCAAGAACGGCTTCGCACTCAAGGAGTCCGTCGCCTCGTCCCCTGCAGCAGACACTGCGGGGCTAGCGGTGGGAACGGGCAAGTTGGAGGACGCGCTCGCGCTCGCGGCACGGGAGGCGCAGGAGGTTGAGCGCGGGTTAGTCGCACTGTTTCTGGGCGGGGGCGGGCAGGTTGACTTGAGCGGCGCGCCGTCTCTTCTTCCTTCTTTACAGAACGCCGAGCCCGGGTCTGGTTCTGGACCGTCCGACGCTGCAGGATCTGCATCGGAGCTTGGGTCCAAGTCTGGGTCAGGATCCGCAGGCCAGTCCAACCAGCCCGAGCCCGTTGCAGCCGGGTTTCAGCAGCAGCAGCAGCAGTTTCGTGCCAGTCCCGTTGCCGTCTCCCACTAGTGCCAGTGCTGCCGGTCTTGGTCTCGGTAGCCCGCGCGTCAGTACTATCATCGACCGCCGACTTTCGATCATCGTCCCAAGGAGAAGCGTGGACCCGCACATCCTAAATTTATACCGTATATACCAGAATGGCCTCGGTCTGGATCCGATTGCATGAGACGCGGTCTTCGGCCTGCACTCGAACATAGCACCTCCAGTACATCTTGTTTATCCCGTACCAACATCAGCACATAGTTGTTGTTGTCCCCTAGGAAAACGTCTCTCGTGGCTCCGGTATGTCCGCCTACTACATATGCATGCTACCTCCCTCGTTTCGCTATCACTACTGCCACTACTGTCTCCTTAGCTTAGCGGGTTCTGCCTCGTTCGTTCGTTCAAACTGTCTCGCTCGTTTTTGTGACTATCCGCTGCGTATATAGCGTTGTAATGGCATCTCTCTCTTTGTCGGACTTGGATAAGCGTGTCGTGGTATGTGCATGTGCCATTGAAACCAGGATAGGTGCACAAATACAACGTCCTCCTATAGTTAGGTTATAGTTCCCTTCTTTCCCAACCCCGGGCCCATCCGAAGGCCCCTAGGCCTTGCTTGATCGCGCTGGAACAGGTTATTGGGATTCTCAGGCCTTGTTGATGTGCTCATGCCGCAAACCTCGATACACGCAAGTTTTCAGCGCTACCTTTCTGAGTGAGGTGGCAGCTCCCTATGGTCCGATATTGAAACGTTGCACTACATATGTCATTGTTACGAATCTCTGCGGAGTAGCCGGAACGGAAGGTTTTCAGTGGCAGGTGGCGTACGCTAGCAGCGGAATGGGTACAACCTGTATTCGGGCACATCTCTATGCGCGTTTGGCTACCGTGACGTGTTGGTTAATAGTACGATCCAAACTAGAGACACATGTAGCCTGACAGCGTCCCCTGGGGGTATCCTGTTAAGTATTCAGCCGTGTGTACGTCTATTCTTGCGCAAATATATGTACCTAGTTCCTTTTAAGCCCCTCGCTTGCAGTCGACTCCGATGCTCGGAACGCACCGACATTCCGTGCGTTAACATAGTGTTCACGGTTCAATCATTATATAATGAGACTGTAGAGCGGCTGTGGCTACTTTTGCTGTGGTGGCTAGACCCGGGGCCCGTACTGTTACATCATGTGCAGTGACGAAAGCAAGATTGGATGAATAAGGAGCGGAACAAATGCTGCGGAATCTCTAGGAAGCTGCTAACCTAGTACTACCGGACCTCTAATGACACCTTGATACCCATGGATGCGAGTTCGGCACACAGGTATCTGAAGACGTAAGGTACGGCAATGATGTCCATGTCGCCTCCCTTCGAGGCCGGTCCAAGAATGTGCTGCGATGGTATCTGCACGCGCACATCGGCGTGCCCGTTGGCAGTAGCTGATGCCTGCCCGGTTGCCAAGGCTTGCCTTGCGCGTGTCTCCTCTTCTTCCGCAGCAGCACGGCATACTCTACAGTACTCACCGCCAGGTCCTGTGGGCTTGAGCATGCCCGACGCGCCGATTACCATCTCGCCGAGGGTGACATCGTCGTACCCGAGCGAGATCAAGCTGCCGCAAGTCCTGCACACCCATGCCGTCGAATAGTCGGAGCAGTTCATGAGTCGGTCTTGCAAAAGGAATGCGGTCCCATGAGCGATGAGCGCGTCCCGCTCCATCTCTCCGAAACGAATACCACCCGCGCGTTTCCGGCCCTGCAGGAACGCATAGTGAGCCTTCGCGTTCCCAGAGAATTGCTTGGAGAAATGGTAACGACATACCTTGACGGGCTGACGGGTAACGGGATCGACGGGGCCTATTGTTCGCACCTGGAACTTGTCGAGGACCATGTGTCGAAGGCGCTGGTAGTAGACAACACCGATGTAGATGTCCGCCGCGAACTCCTGACCGGTGATGCCGGAGTACATCGGCTCATTCCCGTAGTAGTTGTAGCCCGCCGCGACGAGCTGTTCGCCGAAGTAGTCGATCGCAGTGTCTTCTTCCGTGAACCTGCAAGAAGTGCGCAAGAAGCACGGGTGAGTGGGGGATCGTCAGGGTGCTGCTTCGCGCGGGTGCTGATCGGAGGAAGACTTACTGGAAGGGCGTCGCGTCCTGCGCAAGACCGTGCATTGCACCAGCTTTCCCAGCCATGCTCTCGACTAACATACCAATCGTCATGCGGGACGGGAAAGCGTGCGGGTTGATAATGACGTCGGGCTGCATGCCACTCTCAGTGAACGGCATGTCGATGGCGGGCCATTTTTGCGAGCAGACACCCTTTTGCCCGTGCCGCGATGAGAACTTGTCGCCGATAACCGGCGCGCGGGTGATGCGCAGGGTGATATTGATCTTCTGCAGCTCTTGGTCACCGGCGTCGCTGCCTGTACAGAGATGGTAAGTAGTCTGAAAAGCAAGCCACAAAGTTGATCCCTACCTAGCAGGCGGACCGTGTCGACATACGCGACCTCGTCGCCCTTGTACTTGACGAACTTCGTGCGTCCAGTCGTGTCGTCCACATACGCCGCAATCGGGTCCCCAGGGTTCAGCCTTGACCCAACAATAGGCAAACCATCTGCGTCAACCAGCTTCGCCGCCGCATGCTGATTGGGGCCCTCTTCCATTCTGATCTCCGGGCCCACTCCAAAATGTAGCGTTGGGGGGCCGGTCTGCCTCCTAGAGCCCGTGAGCTCCTGCAGGTCGACGGTGTATGCCTTGTAAACTGTCCCGTAACCGAACCCGCGCTCGTGTGCGGACTTGTTGAGGATCATCGCGTCCTCCATGTCGTAGCCGGTGTAGGAGATGACGGCAACAATCGCGTTCGTGCCGTTCGGGAACGAGTCCATACCGTACGTGTTGTGCAGTGCGGGGCGCACGACGGGCGTTTGGCCGGTTTGGAGCCGGTAGAGCTTGTTGTCGGTGCGATGCTGGAGGGCCGTCGCAGGCGTTCCCATTGTTTGTTTACCCATCTGAACAAATGCGCATGAGTTTGAAACAAAGAAGTCAAATTCTTCTACACGCAGACATACCTGACATTGATAGATGTTACGAGGACTCTATGGCATGATATCCGGTCAGCGACCTCTACATAGGAAATGGGGATGTAAGCTAGCGCACCTGGTTGAAGTCCGAGAACGGTGTCAAGTTCGCGAGAATAGACAAGAAGTTCGTGGGCGCGTGTTCCACATGTGTCGACACCCCGTCCTCAATCTCCGCAGGCGTGCACGCGATGTCCATATACACTTGCTCGAACGATCCCACCTGGTCGTCCCTCCCGTTCGCCAAATACTTCACAGGCCGCATCATCCTAGACCGGCTCGAGAACAGATACAAGCCAGGGTACTGCCCGCCCTTAGATACAGGCACGAAGCCGATTTCGAGGTCGAGCGGGACGCTGTGCTTGCCTTCGGTCTTCCATATTCGCAGGCTCGTCGCGAGCTGCTTGCATACCGCGGATGGGGCCCAGCCGATGAGTCGTCCATCGAGCTGCACGCAGAGGTTGCGCCGGCCATCAACCGAAGGCGCGAACGCCTGCGTCATGCCGTGTGCTGCCAGCAGTGCGGGAAGGTGTGCGACGGCTAAGGGAGAGGTGACGATGCGGCATGTGCGGGAGAGATGGTTGAGCAGACCGCAGGGCGAGCCGTCCGGCGTGTGCACAGGGCAGAGGAAGCCTGCGAAGAGGAAGTGGGAAGGTATGTTAGCATTAGCGTTAGACTAGGCGGCTCCTTGTCCCTGGAGGTACAGGGACAGGAACAAGGATGGGAAGGGGCTTGGACAGACGAAGTGAGGCTTCGGCTTACCCCACGCTTCGGGAAGGAGCTTTCGGACGGTCGTGGTCTTGAGCTCGGCAAAGAAGGCACCACGGTGGATGGAGCGGAAGTGGCTTATATAACGCATCCAGTTGAGCTTCTCGGCGACGATCGTGAAACCGGACGCTTGCTGGAGGTCAAGGCCCGTCGGAGATACGAGGTTGCCGGTGGCGAGGAAGTTGGACATCTTGGCGCCGATATCGTAGCTCGTCCTGCTGAGCACCTTCTTGATATACCGCTCTGTCCCAAGACATGAATGGCTGTGAGGATGAGACTGGAGTAAGAGACGTACTGTCGAAGAAGTCCACAGCAGGATTTGAGTTGCGAACGTCAAGTGCAATGCCCTCGCGGAAGCTGTTGAGGGCTTCCTCGAGACGCTCTTTGATGATCATGCCGTAGAGTGTACCAGGTAGGAGGACTTCCTGGTGTTGAGGAGAATCGGGGTTGTCGACGCTACATGACTTGGAGACGAGTGCAAAGAGCTTCCTCAGCATGAAACTAGACAAGGTCAGTACGTGTGTCTATTCATGCCGTCATGGAACGTACAGGAGCATGCGGAACTTGTCTCTTGGGTTTTGCAGATGGACGAGTACGACTTTATTGATGAGCCATACGCCAATGGCCTGGTTAGTCCAGTCTTCGGGCATGTTGACTACCACGCGGAACTTGTCACCCAAGTACTGCAGACATTGATCTCCCGTGTACAAGCTGTACATCTTGAAACTCCTGAGTAACAGCTCGACACGATCTGATAGGAATGTGTCCTCGTAGTCTTGCATCATAACGCCCTCGAAAATCTCCTTATCGGACGCGGAAACGAGAGCTTTGAGGATTAGCATGATGGGAATGACATATTCTTGTTTGCGCCAGGAGAACCTGAGCATCGCGCTACCGTTCGAGAGGTAGTGGAGTGTGTTCGTGACGCCCGTCTGGTCAGGGCGGACGCAGCGTATCTGGACGGCGTAAGGGGTGTAGGATGGACCGCGGTTGACGAACGAGGGTCGGACGAGGGAGATGACGTGGTGTCGACGAGGGAGGATGAGGTAACGGATGAGACGTTCATTCCCATTGATGATGAAGTACCCGCCGAACTCTTCGGGCTCCTCGTGATGCTTTACAAGGTCCGCGGAAGACATACCGCGAACGTTACACCGTGCTGACTACAGATGCGACACTGAGCGGGGGTTACCTGAGAGAAGACTACTGGGTACTCACCCTGACCATAATAGGCAGAAGACCGCAATCCCTCATCTGGACTTCAACGGGACCGTCGTTCACTTGCCAGCATATTTTGGCAGTCATACGCCCGCGATATGATGTCAACCGTTCGCGAGCCTAAAGGGCGGCGAAGGCGTGATGCACATTCAGTTCGACAAAAGCCTTGAGGATATACTGCGGTACATACTTCCGTTGGGAATACTCTCCTCTCAACAGCATCTTTGTCTTTCTCAGGAACCATAGGTCGCGCAACAGTAACCTGTTCATACCACACTGCAGTCCAATAAGGTCTTTTTGCTTCCTGTTAGTCGTGGTCATGAAAGAGTAGCTCACTGGTCAACCGGTTCCCCCATCCTCTCTGCCCACTTTCTGCTCCGATATCTCCCTTCCCATCAAACACTACCCGCCTTCCAATGTCCTCCAGCCCCAATGATAGAAGTCCCCTCCCGTCTCCGTCACCTGCAGGAAGTCCGGAGTCATTGAATAACGCATTGAAGGACTCTATGTGCGGGGTCACGAATTCATTCAAGATCGGGACGACCGCAGCATCCTTAGGTGGGCTCTTGAAGTTCTTCTCGCGCTCTAGTGTGTTGAATGAGCTATTAGGCCGCTTGGGCGTGCGAGCAGAGCCATCTGGCATAGCGAGCAGCGAGTACAGGGGTAGGCGAGACGGCTGCCTCTCTGCGAAACTTGCAGCAAAGCTGATGGGCGCTTCACAAAAACTTAGGCGCCTAGGGCCGGGCGAGCGTGACCGCGTTTTGGGCTCCGCCTGAATGGGGGCCGCAGGACAAGGCGAGGCGCCGAGGAGGCCAACGGGTGCATCGACGACTTGTACGACGACGACGACGACGACCTGAGACGACCCCCGCTTCACGATGTTTGGTTCAGGTGCCGTCCAGTCTACCTGGGGCCAGCCTCAGCAGAATCAGCAACAACCGCAGCAGCAGCCCTCAGCGTTTGGCCAGCCCTCCGCGTTCGGGTCCGGCGGTGGTGGGTCCCTTTATGACTATTCTGTCCACGCGCCCTTTTAAGCTGTCATAATTGTCACGTTGCAGCCTTCGGCTCGACCAGCGCGTTCGGTCAACCACAGAACCAACAGCAGCAGCAGCCTCAGGCGAACCCCATGTTCGGAGGCCTTGGCGGAAATAACACGACGGGGACGACCAGTACGGGATTCGGTGGTGCGTCTCATATCTCCTGACGCGTCGATCGCGCTCATCTCGTTGTTTCTTGTAGGCGGGGGTGCCTTCGGAGCTAGTAACGCGTCAACAAGCGGGGGTCTGTTCGGTCAGTCCAAACCAGCAACGGGGTTCGGTGCGTTTGGAGGAGGCACTGGAGCGTTCGGGGCTACGACTGGGACGCCGTCGGCGTTTGGGAGCGCGGCTGGTACCGGCGCGTTTGGGCAGCCAACTACCGGGACAACGGGGACAGGCACTGGGATCTTCGGTCAACCCTCGACAAGCACAGGTGCTTTTGGCGGCGGCGGGGTCTTTGGACAGAATAAACCAGCGACGGGGGCGTTCGGCGCCACTCCTAGTACGAGTGCGTACCTACACCTGGTAGCCTCGTGTTCTGTTACTCTCCATGTCTAACCAATTCCATAAACAGACACGGACGGTGGTGTTCCAGTAACCACTGGAACGGCAAATACACCGTTCACTGCGTTCGCGGAGAAGGATAGCGTCAACCCTGGGACTACCTTGCAATACCAGAGCATCACGTCGATGCCTCAGTACCGCTCGGCGTCATTCGAAGTGAGTCAATCGATCCAGACGGTTCCGAAACCGAAGCGATCAGCATTTCACACAGGAATTGCGAGTCCAAGACTACCAGCAAGGTCGGAAAACAGCAGGAGCCTTCGGGCAGTCGTCGTTCGGTGCGCCTGCTGCCCAGCCCCAGCCTTCCACAGGTCTCTTTGGCCAGCCCGCACCACAACAACCCGCGGCAACCGGAACGACTTTTGGTGGCTTTGGTAACACGAGCACTACCCAACCAGCGTCGACAGGGTTTGGTGCGTTTAGCCAGCCTGCCAACACGGCAGGAACAACGGGGACTAGTACAGGCCTTTTTGGTGCTGGCGGCGCTTTCGGCCAGCAGAATCCACAGCAGCAGCAGCAGCAACCGTCAACTGGCTTTGGTACATTCGGACAGCCTGCGAACCAACAGCAGCCACAGGCAGGCGGAGGGCTGTTCGGCGCCGGCGGCGCGTTCGGGGCGAACAATCAGCAGAAGCCCGCCTTCGGTACGTCATGACAGTTGGTCTTGTGTATGACAATTGTCCCTGACTTTGTTCTCAGGCGCGACTGGCACCGGCGCGTTTGGTTCGACGACGGGCACGTTCGGACAACCGCAGCAGCAGCCACAAACCGGTGGTGGTCTGTTCGGTCAAACCCAACCTCAACAGACCGGTACGACTGGCACGTTTGGTGGTTTCGGTGAGTAGAATGCCAGTGGCTTCCGAGTCTGCGGCTTCTCATCATCACGTACGCAGGTCAACAAAACAAGCCTTCGATCTTCGGAAGCACCAACACAGCTGGCACTGGCACTGGTTTTGGTGCCTTTGGGACGAACACCCAGCAGCAGCAACCGCAGCAGCAACCAAGCCAGCAGCAGCCTGGCGGGCTTTTCGGTGGTGGCGGCGGAGGGTTGTTCGGCCAGAACAACCAGCAGCAACAACAGCAGCAACCTCAACAGGGCGGTGGTCGTACGTATATTTTGTCATATTGGGTAATGCTTCTTCATTGAACACCTCGTGCAGTATTTGGTGCATCGACCACTCAGCCACAAACAGGCGGAGGTCTCTTTGGTGGCGGTGGAGGCGGCCTATTTGGTACCAACCAGCAGCAACAGCAACAGCAGGGAGCCCAACCACAGCAACAGAACACCTTTGGTAACCTGTTTAACAAACCCGCTACAACCACGAACACAGGCAGTGGTTTATTCGGTGGCGGCGGTGGATTCGGAACAAATTTGGGTCAACCCGCCCAGAATCAGTCTGCGGCGGGAGGTGGTCTCTTCGGCGGCTCCACTCTCGGACAGCAGCCCCAGAATCAGCAGGCGAATACTGGGTTCGGAGGCGGCCTATTCGGTGGCGCGAAGCCAGCACCGACACTGGGCACGTCAACCTCAATAGGTCAGCAGCAGCCTGGGCTCGGAAACTCGTTGTTCGGCGGCAGCACTCTTGGCGCGTCCAATGCCACTATGGGCGTCTCCGTTCTTGGCCAGTCACAAGCACCCTTGACCGCATCCATCGCACAACCCATTGCCTCCAACCTCCCCATCTTCAGCATGCTCCCTCCCGGTCCCCGCGCCGTGACACTCGACCAGCAGCCCAAGAAGAAGCCTGGTTATTTCGTCGACGTTCCCACGCGCGCGCCCGTCCCTCAGCTCCAGCTCCGCTACGCCCCCGCCTCAACCAAGCTTCGCGGCTTCAGCTCAACATCTACGCTCCCTGGGGCAGGCTCGAGCCAGTTGGGTGGCAGCAGCCTACTCCTGTCCGGCAAACCCAACGCGCTCTCGCTCAGCAAGAGCTCCCCAAACGTACTCAGCCCGGACTCGTTCCTCACCAACGGTGGCGCTAGCCCGACCCTCGGCAGCGGTGGGCGCCAGAGCGTCAAGAAGCTCACGCTCGACAAGAGAGTCGAGCCCGCGGACCTGTTCAGCAAGTCCACCGCAGGAGCGGGCGGCGGGCCTGCGTTCAACGCGAAGCTTAGCATCGCCGCGCGCGAATCTGAGGCCGCCGCGGCCCCCCGCGTTGAGTCGCCCACTCCGAAACAGAAGAACCAGAGTAGGTTCGGGGCGAGCGAGACCCCTGCATCTCCCACGAAGGCCCCCAAGGACCCATCCGAGCTTCAGGAGGGCGATTACTGGGTGAAGCCACCGCTGGAGACGCTGAAGTCGCTTGGGCACGACGAGCTCATGGCGTTCCCCGGACTCATAGTCGGACGTGTCGGCTATGGTCAGATCACGTTCCTCGAGCCGGTCGATCTCACGGGTCTCCCGCGGCTGTCGAGCCTGCTCGGGGAGGTCGTCCGGTTCGACGACAAGGAGTGCAGCGTTTACCCGGACGCGGACGAGGCAGAGAAGCCCCCGCCCGGGAGCGGGCTGAACGTGAAGGCGAGGCTCGAGCTCGTCAGGTGTTGGGCGCTGGACAAGGCGACACGGGAGCCGATCAAGGATGAAAGTCATCCGAGCGCTGTGAGGCACTTGAAAAGGCTGAAGGGGATGAAGCATACAACGTTCGAGGGGTTCGATATCCAGGAGGGCAAGTGGACGTTTACCGTCGATCACTTCTAGGCCTCTCGTCGTCCCTGTCTCGTCCGTTCTTCTCATGCTATTGCTCCCTCTCCATTGACGTTGTGCTGTAAATATCGTCTACCTCATACTACATAGCACCTTCCTTGTTACCCATTGACTATTGTCCCTTGTCGATTTGTGTTTATCGTCGCTATGTCACATATCATGTTGTCCCCTACGCATGTATCCTATGTTAAATACAATGCTTGTTTCTGGCTCGGGATATGGATGGCTGCGTATGGTTGCGGATATTCCCCTCGAGTGTTCCACGCGAACGCCCTCTGGCTTGATTTTTGGGTATATGCGATCTACACAAGGTAAAGCTACAATGGAGTAGGCATGTGATAAATATGGCCTGCTTGTATTTAGGTCGGCCTAGATGGTTGCGCCGAGCTCGTAAGCCCTCAGGCAATATAGTGGGAGACGTCGCCACTGAAACTGCTTTCGCCAGCAGACAGCATTGACGCAAAGGCGATCGAGGCGCCACCAGCCGTCGGATGAGCCTAGCGTTACAGCCGAAAGCAATGGGTCAGTCAGAACGTCACAGGCGAAGCAGCGCACTGCAATGCAATCTTCCTACCTGTGGAAAATTCCATGTCTCCTTTGCATCACAGGGTACGTTCTGGATGTGACCTAGTCCGAGGGTGCTGAAAGGGTCCCCATGCATCATGCGGAGGGCCAAAGCTCTCCGGGAGTTGAGTCTAGAGGAGCCGATGCAGGTATTAATGAGTCCTGCCCTGTGCTCTCCTGTGGGAGAATTGGAAAACGCTCACGTTGAAAGCATTGAGACGACGTATACTAACGATAATCTGAGTCGGGTGAACATGGATAATCGAACCGATGGAGCGCACCTTTCACGCTGAGAGAAGCCACGCTGTTGAATATCAGATTACCAGGTAGAATAACCGTCTGGAATGCTGTCAATGAGCCGTGTCTTTGGAGTTTTGGCTCCGTGCACTCACAAATAGAAATCCCAGGGACGTGTTGACACTACGCAATGAGGGAGTCAGCTCTAGTTCCAGGAAGTTCGACGGTCCAGTCTTGACCTGAAAAGTACTCCTGTCACGTATGTTGGTCATGCAGACTGATTGCCAGTTGAGGTGGAGTTCCACGACGCACCAGTGTTGACTGTGTAAGCGATCACACTCTGAATCACGGAATCTGACCTGTCCGCGTACGTCGCTAACTTGAAGGAACACGGCAGAGATATTCAGGCGCCGTCACATACCGCTTCAAGCCAGTACGGCTCCTCCAAAGCGCCAATACCAGTGAGCTCGTCAACACGACGTCTGTCGCCGTTGCAGAACCGTACATCGCTGCGAAGAGCCACTACCGTGACCCGGTCAAACCCCCGGAAAATACCAATACGAACTGGTGGAAGCCGACTCACGTTCTTCTTCCGGAATGCGACAACGTTTGGTGCGAGGAATCTAGCTCGGAGATGTCCGTCAGGCTGTGAGGTACCGAGTCATGTGCGCTCTACTTACGATTCGACAGTAGATGCTAGCGGACCGCATTGAGCAAATATTTGGGAACATGAAGGCACCGTATGCAAGCACCTACCAGTGCAGAACCCTGGCGTTCACTGATTAAGGAGCTCAGGGCATTGATGAAGAGACGCGAACATACACACCGAGTAAAGAGATCATGCTCACGGCCTAACGAGTGCATGCAGGACGTGAGTACCAGGCGTTGGCCGATGCGTAGGATACAGGATATACTGACCGCAATCGATACAACCCATCTGTACCGTGACTCCACTACAGGACTGTCAGCTCCTTGGAATGCTTCAACACGATCGGGCCTACATAGGTACACTCGACGGGCGTAGAATCTGTAGATAGGAAGACGATTCAGAGTCTAGAAGTGATCATGGCTATGGTCCGCTCACGCTTGGCAGATGAGGATGATAACAACCTTGTGGTCCACGTCGCAATGAGATGCAAGTCGGAGACATATGGTGAACGGGAAACTCACGCCAGTAGGAGGCAAGAGTTGTATTGACCTGAAACACGTGGGAGTTGTAAGTTCTCGGGTTACGCATGTAAGGCTGAGCTGTGCACTACCAATGGTTGTCATCGAGGCTGGATGGATTGAAGTAATTGGTGACGAGATGCCAATAGCTAGTGGCTGTCAGTCGGGATGAAGACGGCGGGCAAGGAAAATCGCATACCAGCCAACGACACAGCACAGGATGTGGAATGTGTCAAGAGCACTAGAGCGCGTCAAGATTTCCCAGGCCTTGAGCAACGAGATCTTGAACTCACAATAAGACAAGCACGATGGTTTTGATAAGGCGGGTATCCGTAGGATAAAGCTGGAAGTATCTATAGAGTTGATACAATGAGAGGCCATAGACTCTGTACAAGGGGGTTAGTACTACCATTTTATTTATTCCAGCTAAGCGGGACCGCCGACGTACATGAATCCTAGGTACGTTGCAATCAGAAGGGCCCCGTAAGTCTTGTCTATTGCAGGTGTTGGCAAGGATGAAAGCACGTCAGCTGCAGACTGCGCGGTCAAGTTCTTCATGATAGCGGACCGCGTCTGTCGAAAGGCAAAGCCAGGGTGGTCGCGACAACAAGCTACTCGCTGTTTTGCAATCTACTTATAAGTCACGCCGATGAGATGCGCGCCGGACATAGACCAAGACCCAGGTAAGTATAGTCCACGAAGTCGCCGGAGCTCTTTAGAAGGATTAGCTTGAAAGTTTGAGTAGGCGCATGTATGTAGGGTCGACTGCTTCCGCATCACCACAAGCCTCCGGCAGCTTATGAAGTTGCCTCGCCTGTTGGTCGCTACCGCTGCAATTGTGTTTTCCCGTGCAGATCGTCTTGCAAATCCCTGAAACACCGAGGTACATACATAGCCATGCGATGCAACTTGTACGTAGGCAGCGCTCTGCGTGCGCGCCCCGATGATGGTTAGGCTGGGTGAAAATTTGTGCGCTCTGGCTAATGAGCGTTAGCTTGGAGGAAGCTTCGGAGCCTGGGGGGCGTCGAATACCGATGCCCACGATATCCGTAGTTCTCCGGTGTGCCTCGCTGCAAGACGAGTACCCAAACGTGGTGGGCGCTCATAGATTGAGGGGTGCCGTTTCGCGAGCGTGTCTCTTGAGCCAAATCGGACTCCCACCTGAGAAAGGTAGAAGGGCGAGCTTGTGCTAGGCAGGACCCAACAGGGTCGCCTTAGTAAACGGTCACTGGCACAGGGGAGAAAGCGACAAAGCATATGCACAGCCTCATCAGGTATGCGCGCTCCGTAGATGGTAACCCCCCGTGTGTCAGTGCCAACTTGGAGCATAACTCTTGATAAAAGTACACCCGGGATCCCTATGATAGATGAAAAATCGGCCACTTATGACCCATGGCTCAGGTTACGCTACTAATACAAGTGCGATGTACATGTTCTCGAGTTCTTGTTGGAGTGGGGAGTCATTGTTGTTCAAATGAGTGGGGGTATACGTGATATGTCGTTGGAGTGAGTGGTTGTCAACATTGTTGGGATGAGTGAGGAGTTACTATTCGACGTGAGTGTGCGTGCGAGTTCTGTGAGCTGTCATTATCAAGCTGTACCTAAAGAAACCAAGCGCAATATTGCATGCGTCCGCGGCGAAACAACGATCCAAGAGAGAGGAGTGATCAGGACCTCAGCCCTCGTGCCGGCCCTCAGCGAAGACCTGCTCAAAGCGGCGGATCGCAGGATGCGGCGCGTCAGGGTGAATGAACTCATGCAGATTGTCCTCCGCCTGCTTCGCGATGCGGCCCGCCCTCGAGCACATCTTCTCCTCAAACGCCACGACGGCCTCATCCACGGCCTCCTGGTCCGCAAGTTTGCCCTCTGTCGCGAGTCCCGCCAGCGCAAGGCCAAGCTCGAGCCCGTCGAGCAGCGCGAGGTTCGCCCCCGCGCCGGCGAACGGGCTCATGAGGTGCGCGGCGTCGCCGATGAGCGTCACCCCGCGGACGTGGGGCCAGCTGTGGCCGGCGGGCAGGACGTAGAGCGCGTGAATGTAGATCGCGCTCTCGTCGGCGTAGTCGATGAGGTTGAGCATCCACTGCTGCCAGCCTGCGAAGTACGTCTTCGTCACGGCCTTCGCCTCCGCGGGGTCCGAGGGCAGCGTCCAGTCGGCGGACTCGCGGATGGCAGCGAACGTGCGGATGCGGCCGTCGCCGCACATCCGCGAGCCGAGCATGCGCGAGTTCTGCATGACCAGCAGTGTCCATTTGCCAATGCTCGCGACGGTCCCTTGCAACTCGGGGAGCTTGGTCGTCTCGGGCGCGAGGGAGATGTCGATGAATTTGACGTCAGTGTAGATGGGGGTTGCCGGGGAGAGGAGGGGGCGAACGCGCGAGTTCGCGCCGTCGGCCCCGACGAGGATGTCCGAGACGGTGGTGAAGCCGTTCGCGAAGGTGAGCTCGTGCTGGCCATGGCCGAGGGAGCGCACGGAGACGAGGGCGTGGTCCCACTTGATGAGATGGGGAGGGATCGCGTCGAGGAGGAGCTTGCGGAGGACGGCGCGTTCGATTTCGGGGCGGCTGTCCTCGGGACGCTGGGGCGGCGGGGGACCCTCGGGACGGCCAGAACCACCCTGCGCCCCGGCGCCGTGGCTGAAATGGAGCGTACCTGCGCCATCATAAATTCTCCTCCCCTCGGAGTCAGCGCTCTCCTCGAAGTTCACTTGAAGCCCGTTCTCGCGGAGAGCGCGTTGGCCACTCTCCCAACCGAGGTCGAGAGGGGCGCCGAGGTGGGCGCGAGTACTGAAGCTGGTGTCGCGTTCATAGAGGGTGGCGGGGACACCGCGACGATGGAGGGTGAGGAGGAGCGCAAGCCCACCGAGGCCACCGCCCACGATTACGATGCGCGGGTGAGTGGAGGAGTCAGAAGGCATATTCGGAAGATGGTACTGAGGTGTAGAGGAGGGGCTGGGTTCGTTGGATTGTATGCGATTGCGGAGAGGATGAGTGCTTACCAGGTGAGCGAGGAGGTACTTGTTGCTCTTCGCCGACTTCGGGCATCTTCCTATTTACGCTATCAAGTACAGTGCTCCTATGCTGCGTTCTGTTGATCAGTTTACGCAAGATCGGTGCCGCGGCGTTGTCGATCGACATCACAAGCGCGGCCCGTAGCTATGGTGATCGAGTGCTACGAACATCTGTTTTGAGGATGTGCCTTGGCAAGTTGGCCCTGCGCCACGACCTCGGGCCCATGGACTCGTCTTTTTGACTGTACGTAGCTCTCGAGCTGTTCGCATATGTTCCTGTCACAGAGGAGCAGAGTGCATAAGTGCAACGAGAGTAGGGCACACTGGCACAGACGACGTATACGATATGTATTAAGACTCAGTTTTCCATAGACTTGTTTCGTTCGCCAAGTGAGACACCGTAGTCATTAGTAGACGGCTACTACCATCTATCCGCGGCCTACACTTGCATCGCCTCGTGTCGTGTCATTTTGCTTTGGCCAGCTGCAGCGCTCTCAGGCAGCCTTCCCGAGTCTGTGAGAGTTGCGTTGGTCGTACCCGAAGATGAGAAGCGTGGGTTCCGACCTCTACTTATGACCCTCTGGGCGATCGTACAGTACGACACAAGTATCTATGAATGTGAAAAGATTGGTGACAGGGAGACAGGAGACAGAGGACATGTGGGATCTGTAAACTGCAAAGATCCGAATTGTTGAATAGACCTGACGAGACGGAGAAGACGTGAAGCACAATTTGTAAACGTAGGCGAAAGGAGCGGAAGGATAGAGGTGGGTGTACCATATGTTACAGAATATACAGATCAAGTTGTTATCCAAGCGATTGCAAGAGGACCAGCTGGCTCTTCTGGAGGACAGGACCACATGGCGGAGGAACCCGGAGAGGTTTGGGTAGGGAAGGTCGCGTTACCGCTTTTTCTTACCCTTCTTGCCCTTGGTCGTGTTGGTGGCGTTTGTCGTAGCAGCGCTGACGGCCGATGCGATTGGAGAAGGGGCACGAGTGAATTGAGGAATGACCCGAGGGGGGTCTATGTCAGCCAGCGGCGTGGTAGGACGCCTTGGTGAACTGTGTTGGAGTAAGCGTCAGTGGCCGAAAAGAAGGAAAGCCCGAGGGCGTGGCTACTCACGCAGGCATTTGAACAGGCATAGTGATCGGAGACGGTTCCGGGATGGGGATGGGGATGACGGGGTCATACGGCAGGCTAGTAGACTGCATGTTTGGCGACGCCAAGTTCCTACCTCCGCCCATCCTCGGTGAGCGCGGCCTGTCCGCGCCTGTAGCGGACGGCGGGCGTCCGCCACTGATTACGGACCGAGAGCGCGGGGGAACACCTCCAACCATCGAGCCTATCACTGAGCCGGAGACGGAACCGGCGACTGAGCCGGGAAGTGGGACGCGCGCCGCGCGACTTGTGTACGATCCTTGGCTGTTGCTTGTGGTCGATCGAGGGGTTGGGGGCACGACGGGATACTGAACGCCCGCCGGGATAGGAGCGGCGGCGTACGACGGCGTGGAGCGGCCAGATAATCTACGGTTGCGTACAGGTGGCGTTGTCAGAGAATCCGAAGAACCCAGTCCAGAAGACACGCTTGAATCTGAGTCGTCCTCGCGGCGCTTGATGTTGGCGCGCGAGTACGGTTCCTGAGCTTTGCGGGTGGAGCCAGCAGAGCCCGAGCTCCGGCTCGACGGTTGTAGGGGGATGACGGGCGGAGGTCCTTCGTTACTGCCCGGGAAACCACCCGGAATGACAGCCTCCGAACGAACGGAAGGCGTACCGCCGTACACGGAACTAGGAAGGGGAACACCTGCTGCACCAACAGTGCTGCCTCCGTAACTTGACGGAGGCAGAGGAACGCCTGCCGGACCAATAGCACTACTCCCTGCAGGTGACGGCGGGCCAGTGGGAACAAATCCAGGCGGAGGCCATGGCCCATTCGACATCACCGGGGGAATGACAGGGTTTGACGGTGCTGGAGTTGTCTCCGCCGGAGTTTCTTGAAGGGGCGGAAGAGGACGGTCCGCATCGTCTGCGCTGAGGAACACACCTTCTGTTTGTGCTACCGAGACGTTGGACTCTGGACGAGACTGCATGCACCGTCAGACGAGAGTACACTATCACACGAGACGCAGTCGACTTACCGGCGGCAGGACGGTGATGACGATCTCGTTTGACGACATACTTCCTCGGTTCTCCGACGCGAGAGTTGAAGCTGGCTGTCGCAAGCTGGGAGCAGGCACGATGATTGCAGGTGTGCGCGAAGTAGGAGTCTCAGGAGAGGAGTGAGGTGAGTGGGGCGGCGCGTAGATGTTTTGCGTACTGGGTTGCCTGCGAGCTGGGTTGTCACCATACCTGCCTCCACCTGGGCTTCGACCAGCGCGTAGGCGCTCTCGCTCTCGTTCCAAACGTTCCCACTCTTGTTGCAAGCGTTCACGCTCTATGCGCTCGCGCTCGCGTTCCCGCTCCAAGGCCTCCCGCTCACGCGCCAGGCGTTCTCGTTCCATACGATCACGTTCTTTTTCCCGTTCCCGCTCGATACGTTCCCGCTCCCGATCTCGTTCAAGATGTTCGCGTTCAAGGCGCTCCCGCTCTCTTTCTCGTTCAAGGTGTTCGCGTTCGCGGTCACGCAACGCTTCCTGTGACCTAGTATTCTGTCCGCCCGAGCGATAGCTGGCCTCCGAGCCATATCGAGGGGTATTCGCTCTGTTATAGTAGTCGTCGCCGGAGCGCGCAAGGTTCTCGGCGCTTCTGACATACCGAGGTGTGGTATCTGGGTACGTGGGATTTTGAGGTGGTACGGCAGAGTTGGCCTGGGAAGTGGGAGGTTGGAGCGAAGGCACAGGCATGCCAGGACTTGGTACTGGCATCCCGAAGCTCTGTGTGGACAGCTATCGAGCACGTTTAGCGAGCCTCCCTCAGCGGCTATATGCGTCGCGTAAACTCACGTTAGGCATGGCGTAGACAGGCGAGGACGCAGAAGACGTCCTCTCTCGTTCTTCGGCGATGGCGCTAAGAACATTCGGGCGCTCTCTGACGTTGCTTCTGAGCGTGCTGGGTGCCGTTGCGGTTGAGGGAGGCCCAAGGATCTCAAACTGTGACATGGTCGTTGAGTGCGAATCCGTCGACCGCCTCCGACGATGTTTGATTCTGCTATTCGAGGCCTCGCCCGATGGATTAGCCGGAGGGGGGATCATTATGGCAGGAGGCTCTTCAATATTCTTCACATTGTTGAGCACGGCCGACAACGTCGGCGACGGGGTAGTAGGTGGCGGCGGTGCCATTTCATGTGGCGGAGGAAGGCGGATGCGGTTGTCGCCATCCATGCTAGGTATCCAGCCATCAGGAGGGACGTCTACCGGGGCATGAGAGGGCGAAAGCATAGGGGTATGGATGGGTATAGGATGGAGTGGACCTTGCTCGGGAACTGGCTGCTGTACGGCTATGGCCTCGGCTGGAGTGGGTGTGCGTACAGGCGTACGAGTAGGGGGTGGTATCGGCTCCGTGTCCTCTATAGGCTGGGTATAGTCCGGGGTACCATTTTGGTCTGAGTCTTCAGATGTGAATGGCCTCGAAACCCGGGGGGGTTGATAATCTTGCGCTCGAGGAGTTTCATAATCCATCTCCGTGACGGGAGCAGACGTGAGTTCCCGCTCAGCAGCAACTCGTCCGTGCTCATACCCTGCTGCCCTGCCCTCTTCGTAGCCCATGAAGCGTCCCTGAGCCATACCCTCCTCGAGACCCTGTCTCCGACCTTCCTCCCTTGCCCGCATGACAATCTTCTCCTCCTTGAGCCTCCTCGCCGTACTCCTTGCCTGCGCCGCTGCCTCCTCTGCGTACACCCGCTGGGCCTCTAGCGCATCAATCAAGTTCTGCGCCCTCCGTATCTCCTCCCGCGCGTTCTCGTACTGGAGTTTGTACAGTCGCAAACCTTCGTTTGCGCGGGCGGCTTCCTGCTCCGCGATGTTCTTGGCCTCATTCGCATTCTTGAAGAGATTGAGGACTTCGCGCGTCTTGGCCTCTGCCGCGTCCGCGCGCTGGCGTTCTGCCTTGAGCTGTTCATTAAGTGTATACAGGGTGCGCTTGAGGTCCATCGCCTCGCGTTCGCGCTTAACGAATACTTGTGCCACATCGCGTATGGAGGGGGCATCTTTGGATCTGCGGACCTTAGTCGCGCTGCGGGTGGAGTGTTCGCCGAAGCTGGAGCGTGATGAGCGATGGCTGGGGCTGGATGACTGGATAGGTGACTGGATAGGTGACTGGATAGGTGACTCTGCTGGAGACTCGGAAGATTCGGATGAAGCCATATTACAGTTCGTGCGGTAGTGTACAGTCTGTGACGTCTTAGTGGCATGTGAGTGCAGACGCTCCAACACGGTGCTTACCCAGACGATTCGTTACTTCGTGAGCATCCAAGTCTGGGATGGACCAGCTCAAGGCTCAATAATTAGTCCTGCGCACCCACGACTGATTTTGCTTACCATGAACAATGCTACAGGGGGAGGGAAAATGCAATGGTATCGCGAACGATGGTGTCCAAACAGGCCACGACCTCCTATTAGGCGCCCATAGCTTGCACAATAGGCACCGTAGCCGCCCATTTCTTCAAGGCGTTTGACGTAATTCCCCGCACTCTCGGGACGCTGATCTACAGTATTGCCGACAAGCATGCGCTACGATCGCCCAAGGGATATGCTCGTATTACAATTCTAGGGTTGACATGTGACAGCTGATGTTACTTAGGAGTACAATACATGTATATACGAGACGATTCACTGCACAACCGTATCCTTCCGCTTCACCAGTGTATACCGTTCGGGGCGAGATCCCGAAACACCCAGGTACCGATATATGTCGAACGGTCACTTCGTTGTTTCCCGGACCATGATCATGATAGGTCCTCCCCCGCCTGAAGCTTCTTGAGCAGACTCTTCAGTTCCGCAACATCTTCCGCAAAACCATTGGAGCTGCCGGACGCGACGGCCTTCTGGGTGTATGCCCCATCGCCAACCGTCGCGTTGCCATCGTCGTCCGCGAGCCACTTGTCGAGCTGCGCCATGACAGATCTGGCTTTAAGGCGGAAGTGCGTACGGATCACGTCTGCCCAAGGTTCTGGTGGTGCCTTCAGATTACCGAGCATCTGAATGAGTAAGTCAGTACCGTGGTACGGGCGGATGGAAGCGGAAGGACGTGCCGCTGTCTTGACCACCATGCGCCGGATGTTTGCCGAATCTGCTTCAAACGTAAGAGATGCACTGGCTGTCAGTACAGAAGGTACTCACATGCTAACGACTTCGGTGTTCCGCCGCTGTTCGCCCAACCTGGCTCATTGAGGTATGGCTCTTCACATAAGATCATCGATTGGATCGATATGAGTACCTGGAAGCGGACGTCAATGACAGAAATATTTCTAGCGGTTTGCACATACCTGCAACAATGTCGACTTCCCGGCGATCCAACCGGGCCCTGACCATGTACCGAGCAACGACAAGCACACTTTCCCATCCTATACCAGCGTGAACACGGGTGCTGATGAAGTGCGACCGTGAAGACTCACCGCATACAAATTGGGGTTGAAACGATACTTGCCACCGTTTGTCTGTCCCTGTATGAGCTTTCGTCAAAAAGATGGAGGGTGTTAATTCTACCGTCATGTACTTGACGCTTGGTGGGGACTGGTTGTAATTCGGACCAAGGAAGACATCGAACAAGAAGCTACGAGCCATCAACGGTCGCATCCACAGCCCTGATTGTAAATGAACCTACCAGCCGTTGTAGTAACTGAGAAGATAGGGAAGAGCCGAAGCATGCACGTCAATATCAGGCAGAGTAGATAGAGAAGTATGCATACGGAGTGCCTTCGGGACCGGTGATAAGGGCTTTAATGATATCGACCCGAGTCTCGTCTACCCGGAGGAAGACGGACGAGTTCCAAGCGACAGGCAAGTTTGTAGTCAGAACCGCAAGCTACACCCGCATATCAATCCCAAATTCGTATAAGCCATCGCTGCTTGATGCACTCACCTCCTTCGCGATGGCCAAAGACCTCTTCGGGATGTCAGAGTTGGCAAGCATGCGTGCCTCATTGTTGAAATAGAATTTGTAGCTCGGCGTTTGGTCTTGCTCGTTTTCCGGTGCATTTTCTGGTGTCGGGACCGTCAAGTCGCAGTACTCGAACCGTACGCGGTTCGCCCACTTGACATATGCCTCCATCGCGCTCTCCTCCGTTTCTCCCGCATCGATAGGCGCAACGTCGGTCTGCAAACTCGACGTCGCGGGAATCTTCGGCAGTCCGGCGTGCAGTCGCTCGACGAAGGCCTTGCCCTTGGTCTCGACAAGCGAGCGGTCAATCGCCTTTGCGGTGTTGACTATACGCAGACAAAAATCAAGGAGTTTCTTGTTCTCTTCGGAGACGACCGCGCCGTCGTCCTTGCCTTTGCCCTTCTCATCAGCTGTCATTCGTTTCTGCTCCTCCGACATCTCCTGCGTCTCCGGTTCCGCGGCCTTCATACCCTCCAGACCCTTAAGAGCAGCCTGCGCCTGGATGACGATAGCTTCCAGGAGTTCACGCGGACCCGCGCTGCCTTCGTAAATGATGGTACGCTCGCGAATCCGGGGAGTACCCTTAGGCGACGATTTCTTTGCAGCAACAGTCTTTACTGACGTGACTACCATGATGGGCATAGCCATCATGCTCGCAAGGGCCTCGTGTCTAGATATTGTCTTCGGGATCGCTCAACATGATATGCTGAGCCAAGATCGCAGGAATGCAAATACCTCTAGCCACAAGAAGAGCTCGAAGTAGAGAATGGAGCGGTCAGACATGTCTGTGAGGGAGTCATTACGCAAGAGCTGACTGCTGACGAAATTGAACCGTCGACGGAGGTGCGCAAGTGTGGCCGGATGGGGTAGGAAGTCGCTGTCAAAATGGATGTTGCTTTCTCTGTTCACCGAAGGGAGGAACGTGCGGATATCTGATAATAGCGTAGACAACTTCTGATCCTTAGCTTTTTGCGCGTTCATCGCCTCTAGGTGTCCCGACATCTGCTCGCGGAATTTCAGCTAGCGAGAATAATCAAAGCGACACAAGCCGTACATCTTCTCTGGCATCTCCGGCGTAGCCTGTACCAAGCTTCGCCTTCTTGCCCTGTATGACGATGGGGTAGTACACGTCGTCGTCATCGTCATCATCGTTGTGCATATCAGGGAGCATAGCCGGAGGCGGCGCAGGAGCGTCGACCTTCCGCCGCTTCCGCGATGAGCGATCGTTGACCTTCGACGCGCTTGGATCTTGAGTATCGTCCAAGAACGATTTCTCGAGCATCGCCAAGCCCACACCGAGGACAGCACCTTGCAGGTTAGAGCAGTGGAACAGCGTGCAATCGACTTCGAGAGAACCGAGAAGCCTTTTAAGGCTTGTCGGGTTGCTGGACTCCCCACACGCAAAACAGAATGTCCTCGAGCATCGAGCGCAAGTTCGGGGTGCAATGGATTCCAAATGTTTGATGTACTCGGCAAACGTTGGCTGTGGTGAGTCAGATTCAGATGTAAGCGTGCAGGTGGCATAGATTGCTCACGAAGAGTGCATAGAAATCGCTTTTCTTTCTTTGAATGGTGGCGCCGCATCCATGCGGACATGGACACTCTCCCTCGCTCAACTGCTGGTAGAGACCGAACAAGAAACTTTGCTCCCCTCCTTCGGGACAGCCCTTCATCCACTGACCCTGAGTCAACAGTGGGACTTTCTCTTTGATGCCGGGTATTGTAACAAATTCTGGCTCCTCCTCCACTTCGATCACTTCTTCGCGTCGATCCTTGGAGAAGAAGATGCCTGTACTCCAAGATGGACGTGATATCGTGAAAGCGTGACAATGCATGCGCACCTGCATAGGGATCTACCGCAGCATTATTTGAGGTTGTGGGGTTGTCCTCGAAGTCATAATCATCGTAGTCTATGTACTCATCGTCTACGCGATGTATAAGAACACGCTGACATATAAGAACTCAAGCACATACCGTCACCATCTTCATCACCCCCATCGTCCTCTTCAGCTTCGTCGTCGTCGTTATCCTCTGCAGGGGTCTAATAGAGCAGCTCGTGAACAGGAAGTTGAAGAAGAGTGGAGAGGGCGCATACAATCATCCGGGGCTTGGGTGCAAGCCGCTCTGACGGTGTCATCTCAACATCTCCATCATCGTCCACCACATGGTCAAAGCTTCCATCAAATATATGTTCGGCGGCTTCCATAACGTCCTTATGCTGCTTCAGAGCAGCACGCGCCTGCGCGACCGTCGCGCCCTGAGACGAAAGAATCTGTGTTTAGTGGCACAATAGAGAAAGAGGTATCTAAGTACCATTTCGACAAGCTGTTGGACCTCCCTCTCCATCCTGAGGTCAGTAGAAGTAGTGAATCAAGTACTCAGGGAGTCCGAGTCGTCCCGTGAAGAGCGGTGTTTGGCAGGGTGGCCGTATGTACCTAACAGGAACTTGAAGGACAGACGCTCATTTCAATATACCAGGCTTATGTAAGCAATCTCCCTTGATCTACCTTCTTGCACCAAACATTCCGAGTGCGCTGAACGGCTTGTGCACGGTGATCGATGGGCATCATGCCAGAGTTTGATTCCTGCTGGTCCACGACAGAGCACGGTGACTGGACCATTCACCGCAATTCTGAACACCTTCCGCCTAACGATACTACGAAGTTCAAGTTGCCACATACATAGAACCAGGTTCCAACTGCTGCGTGGAGTTCCATTCCTGATGTAGAGTGTAACAGACAATTCAAGCCAGGCCAGTACATGTACATACAAAACAATAGCAATCAGACCTGGTACAACATAGCACTTATAGGGTACATGACGGTTAAGACGACAAAGCGAATGTCATAATTCAGAGACAGTCTCTCACGAGGATACGGCTCTTCACAGCCCATCGACTACAGATGGTGGTTACAAATGCAACGACATACTTGTGCACGATATAGGGAAGGTGTCATCGATACCCTCCGCGATAACGTGGCCCTCGCTGAGACTCTCGCATCTCCTCGTATCGGTTACGGTTACGATCGCGCGTATGGCGATCATGGCAATCTTTTGAAGATGTCGAACTATAGCTCTGCTTCCGTGACGCGCCACGAATCTGGAGGGTATCCGTCTCCCTAGATGGTCCGGGTAGGTCGTTATATGACGTCCGCTGGCGTTTTCCCTCCTTCTCTCCGCCACCAAACGATGCGCCGGAAGAGAAGTTGAACTTGACCTTCCCTTCTGCCTTTCCCCTACCACCGTTACGGCCGCCTTCCCGACTTGCTCGGGCGTCACTGCGAGCTCTTGAGTGCGCGCTGCCGAACCAGTCATCTTCTTCGTCTTCTGCGTCCTGAAGCAGCTGTGCTTTGCCGAGACGTTCACGCTCTTTGCGACGACCCTGCCTGCCAACGTCCGTGGGGAGTGTGGCGCCGTGCCCGTCTGCGAACGCGGAAGCAGTCTCCCAATCCCGTGGAGCGCGTTTCGAAGACCTCAGTGCCTCCGATGAGAACGGTCCGGACAAGATGTTGTACAAGCTAAATGCGGACGGCTCATGAGGCATGTCGAAAGGATGGGCGACGGTTTTACAATCCTGTACAAATTTTGAGACACGTGGTTAGCGAGGCCGAACACATGACACAACACGCAGAATCTCGAAATGTTCATACATATGAGTAAGTGGACTTACATCGCCGAGATGACCGCATTCGCCACAGTTGTAGCACCATTCGTCGGTAGCAATATAACCCTCGCCGCCCTCGCCGAAAGCAAGCACACGTTTCGTTTCGCGCACGCGAAGGATTTCTTGGCGATCCTCGTCCTCAACGTACTTGTACAAACGCCACAGGGTCGGACATTCCTGTGGGTATGATTCAATGTGAAGTTGAGCAGGTTGATGTACGGGCACTTTACGTTGGTTTGATGGGTCCGCGCCCCGCACCGATCACAGTCTTGGAAGCCTTGATATGCCCCCGACTTTCCGCGGTTTGGACAGGTCTGCATGATGCTGTGTTAGTACGGCTCGGTGTCTGATGTACCCGCCTGCATACCTTGTTGATGTGACCTTTCATACCACAAGTGAAGCACACCTTGCTAATCGGACAGCTCCGTGTCGGATGTTCATTACGCGCTCCGCAAATTAGACACTACAAGAGGTCAGCGTACGACACATGAATCAGGGCAATCGACTCACGATAAGGACGGTACACTCGTAAGTCTTATGCTCGCCTTCGGCACCACATTTCTTGCAGACGATGCGAGCTGGTTTAGAAGCTTTCGCTACTTCCGCCTCCAATTTATCTAGCTCCCAATATCTCACCATTCCGGGCTAACATGATTGTTTGCAATCAGCGATTAGAGGGCAAGCTCTGATGAATGAAATGATTGATATCATACCTTAAGATTGTCGTCGTAATCGAGGTAGTCAATGTAATCCTCCTCGTCCGAACCGACCTCAGGTGTCGGTACAGCCAACGGACCCAGCTCCAACGCCTCTGCCTCCGCTCCTTCAGCGACAGATACATGTGTTGGAAGGAGGAGGACGTTGGCGGCCTGGGATTCGGTTGAAGAGAGCGTGTTCGATCTGGCCTCTCCGGATTGTCTCGAGGGACCCGCGACGCCATCCAGCAGCTTGGCGGCTGCGGGCACTTCAGCAGGAGTAACGTCTTCGAAGAAGAGAGGAGCGTTGCGCTCGGATGCCTTGTCGCGCGACCGCTTTTCGCCGTCGCGCTCTCTCGAGCGAGATCGCCTGCGTGCGTCGCGGTTCCGGTCCCGAACTCGGTCTCGGTCTCGCTGTGGTGACCTACTCCTCCTCCGCCGCTCCCGCTCCCGTTTCCTGTCCTTTTCGCGTTCTTTCCCTCGCTCTGCATCAGGTTTCGTCTCCCCGTCCTTCTGCCCCCGCCTCCGCCCCTCGCCGTTAGCAGCGCTCCGCGAACTCCCCTCCGCAGGTCCCGAAAGTCGCTCCGCGAGACTGCGGTTCTGTGAGTGCGAGCTCTTCGCTCCTTGGATCTGTCCGGGTTCCATATCCACCTCAGTGATCTCTGGCTCGTCTTGCCGGTCGGGTGATTGTGGGCGGGAAACTTCAGCAGAGGTAGTGGTAGTGCCGGCTTGTTCGTCCTGGTAAGGTTGCGCGGCCGCGCTTGCCTTGCGCTTCTTCTTCCTCCGCTTCTTCTTCGTCTGTCCTTGCTGCGGTAGGTCATCTGCTTGTGTTGTCTGGGCCAACGGGGAGCCGTTCGCGGATGGACGTGCATCAACCTCTTCTCCGTCCGAGTCGAGTTCGATGACTTCTGGTTCGGTGAGATCGATGATCTCTCGAGACGCCATGAAAGGGCTTCGCCGGTGTTCCTGTGCTGAAGCGAGAGGAAACTGAGCTCAGAAAGTAGTGCGGAGGGTGCTGCAGCTATGGCTGCAGCGCTGCGGTAGTGGAAGGTTGAGCGGAAAAGTTCCTGGCTAGCCTAACCTAATTGGGCATCTACCATATGTAACGCTGAGCTGGACGTAAGCGCTTGTTCGTCTATTTATACATGTACGAGCTTGTTGACTTCCAAGTCCGCGGCCGATATCTCCATCTCTCGGATCAATTGAGGAGCAGAGTGCCGCCGCTCAAGGTACATAGGGTATGAGAGGGCACAATGGAGCCGTCATCTGTGAACGAGTACATTGTTGCTCTTACATTGGGAATAAGTCAGCCACACTGGCATAGCGTTAGGTGAGGTAGAGCCGGAGCCTGAGAGACATATAGACCATCTCTAGAATTTTGCATGAATAATTGGTGCTGATACACGAACTAGGAACGACTCGGATGAAGTTCCGAAACCAGGTACATGTATGCACCACCAGGCTCCAGTACGACCACTCCGTACTAGACACCCTCGCGTGCAACGCAAACAGTCAAAGGGACCTAGGCCGGCAACGGGGCGGTAGGAATAACCACAGCAAACTCGTGCCCCTCTTTCAATATGCCGAGGGGCCATTGTTTCTTCTCAATGTAGTGCCTGAGAACGGCATTGGGCTCGTCGTGGTCAATGAAGTACTCCGTGTTCGCCAGAGAGATAGACCCATCGGTAGCATCCTCAAACAATGAGCCGTGCAGCTGCGCGTTACGCAAGTACTGGACGGTCGAGGACTTTAGGGCCTTGGTGGCAACCTGCCGGATGAAGTCCAAGTTGATGTCAGAAATAGGAAGACCTGCTTGGTCGTTAGTCTAGATATGATCAAAACGGGAATGAAACCACGGACAGAACATCTTGCAGAGCGCATGGCAGGTTGCGGGTTGGGAGGAAACCACGCCCATCATGGCGATACCAGCAAACCAGTCGGTGTCCTTGAGGGCCTGGAGGAGGCTCGTCGCGATGTATTTCCTTCGCTCGTTGACAACGACGACGAGCTGCGTGATCCACCCCACTATATCTGTCAGACATGATCAGATAGAAAGTGACTACATACAGCGATTCTTTGACGCACCCGTTCCGCATGCCCACTTCGTGGCGAACGCATGTCCCACGAGTTGCTCTTCCTTGTACCTCAGGACTAGCACAGAGTCCTCAGGATTGCTCAGACATTGAGCCCGTAATTTTGTTGCGTTCATCCTGACACGGCCCCCTGTGTCGATAGTTTATCAAGGGATCGCTGAGCACCAATAGAGCACTAACCTGCTTTCAACGGTGGGTCGACGCTGGGTGCCCATACGCTGTAGTTCTGGCTAAAGAGAGCAGCACAGGTCTTGAGCTGATCTTCGGTGACATCGACACCAGGCACGCAAACAGTAGACAATACGACATGGGACTCTGAGGGAGACAAGGGCATGACGAGGAACCGCGAGATCTGATGAGATGAGAGGGTGCTGGGAGTTGAAGAGCACCTGCTGTGCAACTTGTAACTTCCTGGTGAGAACGTGCTTCTCTAATGTCGGTGCACTTCGGGTCGTTTTGGATTCAACCGTTTCGGATCGTGCACAGTGCACACAGAACAGGCTGTGGTATTCGCAACTCAACCGAGACCTCAGCTTGACATTGCTGCCAGAGCCTAGTCTGCACGATGTGTTGAATGAGTGTGGCGAGCGAACGTCAATTCGAATTGGCCTGTTGTGTCGTCCCAAGTAAGTGCAAGTGTAGTTGAACGTATGAGCCAAGCCCATATATTAGCCCGAGCGTTTACGGAGACCCCGGGCCTTGAGCGCTACTTTCCCCATTTCTGTCCGATCGACTGACGTATGTATATAAGGCCGCCAACATTGATCTTTCCCCCCATTTCCTTCATTTCACGACGAAGTCACGACTAGCCACCATGGCGGAAACATCAGCTGAAACTGCTAACAGCTATGAGATCTCAATTGATCACTTGACTTACACGCACAGAGAAGGAGTTTCGCCATCATTGTCCGACGTGACCATCCATCTTCCGAAAGGTTCACGCACTATTCTTGTTGGTGCTAACGGAGGTATGAGCATATGCTTGATACTTCAGAGCGTATCGGAACTAGGAACTAAGCCTCAAATTGGTGCACATAGCTGGAAAGTCGACTTTACTTCAGATTCTCGCGGGCAAGCGCCTCATATCAACCCCGGGCGTGGACGTCCGCATCAAGGGCAGAGACGTGTTCCGCAAGACTCCAGCGGGTATCACCTTCCTTGGGACAGAATGGTGCAGTGCAGTTCACCCAAACCCCTTGATGCCACGCTGTATTGAAACTTTGATGACAGGGCGATGAACCCTGTCGTGCGTGGCGATATTGTGGTTTCAGACTTCCTCAACTCTGTGGGCGGCTACCGTCATAAAGACAGACGCGACCGCCTCCTTGACATACTTGACGTCGACCTCGACTGGCATATGCACCAGATCTCTGACGGCGAGCGCCGCCGAGTGCAGCTCGTCATGGGTCTAATGGGTGACTGGGATGTCCTCCTTCTCGACGAAGTACGAAGCTCGTTTATATAGCTTTGACACCTGGCGGTAGATCTTGATGCATGTGACAGGTCACTGTAGATCTGGATGTCCTGGTCCGGGATGACCTGCTTACCTTCCTCAAGGACGACTCTGAAAAGAGAGGAGCAACCATCTTGTGTTCGTTGAGTTGTTAAACATTATCCTGATTTCTCCGGAGACCAATGTTCGCATCGTGTACTGATTCTCATAACAGATGCTACTCACATCTTTGACGGATTGAACAATTTCCCGACCCATGTCGCTCACATGCATCTGGGCACCTTTCTGATGGAACCCACCCCGTGGCCTTGGGCGAGCGGATCCATGGGGGCGACGTCTGTGGACCTTAGACCTCATCCGACTCTCTACACGGTTGCCTTGCAGTGGCTTAGGGAGGACCGCGACCGTAGGCGGATGCTGGAGAATCAGGGCAGGAAACCTCGAGGGGCGCGTGCTGGGACGGTGAGAATCGTATATGCAGCTTCGAACTTCTCAGATGCGCCTGCAGCATCTTCTATGTTTGTTGGTATGATCTCAGAGCAGCATTCTGACGAAACTCTGTTATTTCTGGCACAGATTCCCAGCGATTCAGAGACCTTCTACAAGAAGTAAGTGGACCTCAGTGATATCGCGTTTCCTGTGAGCTCACTCCTGTGCTTCGACAGGTACGACTACAGCCACTAGGCGGCTTTCGCATATACGTTTCTTCGGTTACACCGTGTTTTACCCTTTCCTGGTCTTCATGTTCAACCTGGGGACTCTGCCCGTGGGATTGTATCGATAGCGTCATAGCAGTAGACTGTATTGTTCAACACAACATCCGCATTGCTCAACCAATCACAGCACCTGGTGAATTTCCCTTGTGGAGCTTGTGCGCGGACTGGTTTCGGCGAAGGCGTGAGAGCCCGACTGCGGCTTGGGCCTGGAACCGGGTGTTATTGTGACAGGGGATGATGAGTGTGACACGGCAACGGGCGTGACGGGGTGGGCATGGGCAGAGACCGTTCTTGCTCTCGCCGCCATCCGACTCTCGAACGCTGCCGTTTGTCTTACCGACATCGTTCGCAACGTGCTGGCCATTGCAGGGCGCGTTTCCCTTTCCCTTGCATCCCTTCTCCTGTACCCTCACGCTCTTTTCGTCTCTCTCTGTCTTCTCCCTCCATCATGCTCGTCGGCAACCTCAACTCTGCCCACCTTAACCGGCATCTCCCCCGTCAGGCAAACGGCACTCGCGGCTCCGACGGTTGCCTCATCTGCGACGACTTGCAGCCCAGCTGCAACTGTGCGTTTGGGCAGCAATGTGTCCTGATCACTCGGTGGGTGCTCTACGTCTGCGTTCTAAATCTTATCCCTCTCACCATGTGGCGATTCTGTGGCCGTTCAGTCTCTGCGACCAATGCCCCTACGCATCCTGCATCGCAGGGAGTTCGTCTGTCTCCTCCAAGAAAGGAGGTGTCAGTGGTGGTGCTGTTGCCGGTGCGGTTATTGCGGTTATCCTTGTGCTCGCAGCGACGGTGGCCGGCTACTTTTGGTATCGCCGGCGCCAACGCCTGGCAGCACAGAACACCGCATCTGACGAATCCAAGCCCGATGTGCCAGCACGCGCCGAGGAGGTTCTCAACAGGCCCGACCCCAACGAGAAGCCTAACTCTCCTCCGCCTCAACTCAGCTCTATCAGAATTTTCTCTGGCTCCCTTCAAGGGACCATCAACCTCGACCCTGCGGCCTCCACCGCGGGTCGTACCCAGCCTTCGAGCGCATCTGTCCACTCCAACCCGTTCGAGGACAACCATTCGATCCAGACTACATCCACCGGCACTCAGTCAAACGTTATTCCCATCGCCCTCGTTCCGCCCGGCTCCGTCGAGTCGGGGGCTTCGTCAGCTCAGTCTGCTGAGCACAATGCTCCACAGACTCACGCGAACGCCCGCAGTGATATGAACCTTGATCATGTCAACGTTTCGAACGATACGCTGACGCCCCCGGGTGCCGCCTACGTTCCGTCTGCACGCGCAGGTGGTGACAATACTATCAACCGGATGTCGTACATGACCACTGGCAGTTACACGAGCGACTTTTTGGAGACTTCTGTTATTGTCACTCCCACCCGTGGCACCGTCAAGCAAGTCGTCGGCGTGGCTAAGGCTGAGGTGTTGCGCACACCTCCCAGCGATACCTTGAGCCGAGCCTCGACGCTTTCCAGGCAGGCGCGCTCTCCTTTGGCGAACTCCAGCTTCGGTCCCGCGGATATCATGCATGAGGAGAAGGAAGAACAGGAGCAGGAGGTGACTGTGCAGGCGAACCCCTTCTCTGACAACCACTCGCCTTATTCGAACGGCTCTCCTACGCCCTCTGCTACCACTTTCGGCACTCCTGACACTGCCGATTTCAATAGTAGCCGCGCTCAGTCGCATCAGGGGACTGCCAGCTGGCTCCATGAGGATCCTACTCAGCTCTATGGTGGCTCTAACGACGAGCGGCCTGCTAGTATCTACACACAGGCCTCTGCCATTGTGGCGGACATTAGCAACGCAAAGCGTGTACACCTCGGTTTCGAGCATGCGACCCAGTTGCCGCAGACGCCCCTCAGTGCGGCATTCAGCTCACCTCGCTCTCCCTACCGCATGACCAGCGCGAAGCTCGTCTCCCCCACCGTTATGACCAGCGCGGCCCTTCAAACTGGTGGTAGCAGCTCTGCAGGCGCATTCGAGCAACAGCAGGCACGTGCACTTAAAGACCTCAAACGTACGTCGATGTCTTCGATGATGACGACTGCCACTGGTGCCGACTCCATCCTCGAGAGCTTCCCCTTCGTGCCCCCGTCGCCGATCTCGAACCTTCCTCCTCGTACACCTCCGCGCTCGCCTGTCACTCAACAGTCGTTCGCCGGTGCCCAGGATGATCGCAATGCTCAGTCCGCACAGGAGATGGTCAACCGCGCACGTGCGTCTGCGTCGTTGTCCAGCACGATCTCTCCGCTCCAGCCTCCCAACCGCAAGGCGCTCGGCATGAGCGTCGCTTCGAATGGCTCGACGGCGAGCAATGGTCTTGGTTCGTTCCCCTTCCAGATCGACTCGGGTGCTCCTGAGGCAAGCAACGTCTCCACTGCGCCGTCGTCATTCAGCTCGAGCAGTGGCGGGTCCATCGCGCAACGCAAGCGTGCTAGCTTGGATACTCTTGCACTGACCAGCGACCTCTCCTCCTACCCGCTTGGCTTCGATAAGACCCCGGCCCCGCCCGTCCCTCGGCGCTAAACAGCTTGTTGCTGTAGTTCCTCCGCAGCACAACTGCGGTTACGAGCGCGGTGTATGATTATGCGAGTCCGGAGTACCCATGTGTATCGGAAGACCGTGAACCTCGAAGTCCCCCTCCCTCGCTCTCCCTCCTTTTGTCAGCCCTCTTGACCCCCGATCGCCCTCGGCTTGGTTTGACTCTGCGGCCTGGTTGACCCGGGCGGGACTCATTTTTCTCCGCGGCCGTCGTTCCTTGCCTGCGTCCGTTCCCAAGTTTGCATTCTGTACGTCCTGAAATTTAGCTAGATCTGCTTGAGATAAATATCTTATCTTTGTTTATTTTCAACCTTTGTAGCTACTGGTTTATCTTCTGTCACTTGCTCTGCCCTGTGTTCTCCCCCCTCTATTCCCCTTCACCCCGCTACCATCCCTCTTTCCGCTCTTCCCGACCGCCTGCGTACCGCATTCGCTTCCCTTTCGCTGTGCGTGTTGTCCAGTTCGTGCCTCATCGGCGGCGCCGTGCGAGCTCGTCCAATTTTGGTGTGTTCAGTAACGGTGACGGACCCCAGCGCCGCAAAGTTGGTGTGGCTGCGAGCCGTGGTCCGCCGCGGCGACGCTCTTGTGTTTGGGTTGGTGTTGTGACTATTTATGCATTGCGTGGGTGCAGCGTTTGCGCACCTTGCATGTTACGCCTTCGTGGGACAGTAGTCACCGGTGTCGTCGTTCTGTGATGTTCGGCTTTTGTGGTAGCGTTCTCGAAAATATTGGACACTCGTGTTGTGCTCCTAGTGTCTTCTATTACTCAATCAGTCATTTATTATGCCGCTCCGCCTGCTGCTGTGACCGAGTGTAGAGCCCGACCTCTCGCGTGTGCCTGGGATCATCCACTTGCGTTTTGCCAACGTCAGTCAACCTGAAACGATCTTTACGAAACCCGGAGTCAGTACTCGTTCCATGTTTGTCCCGTAAGCCTGTCGCCGAAAGTGAGATTACCACCCCTCAAGTGGTAATCCCGAGGCTCCCTTCCGAAATCTTGAACTTGTCCTCTTGCAACCTACAAATGTTTCTTTGTCAACAGCGGCACGATGAGTCTCGTGACAGGACCTTTCGGCGAAGAAGCTGGAGAAGGCGGCGATGCGGTATGCGGGAGCGGCTGAGTCGTTTGCGTGGCCGCCCGGGTTTGTGGGAGGTGGACAAGTACTCGTGGTTCGCCGACAAGTATGATTGATTGGAACAACCGTGACATACTGGGTTCGCGTTCCAGACGCTCTGTACATCGCTATGAATACATGCAACAGCATATGCCTTCTCAGCATCCTATGATACAATGCCTTCCGGTACGGACCACAACGGCAGCGGCAGGACCTCAGCCTCCTCGCTTTCCCCATGGTAGGGGCATCTGTTCGAAGTCGCTGCCGACCACGACCCCAACAAATATCATCAGCCCACGCGATCGCACATATAAGACAGAACTCACAAACGCACTCTTCAGCGTCCGTCCGGTCATGCTCCACCCTCTCGCCTCCCCAGCTCGCCGTGCGGAACCGCCACCAGTAGCTCCCCGATGCGTCGTGGGACAGAAGCGCGACGGACTCGAGCGCGGGGCAATGCGGTTCGAGCATGTCTGCAATCTCGAGCCCGCGCTGTCGGGCGGCGGCGAGCCACGCCATGTGCCGCTTCCCGTCGCCGGGCCCGCGCAAGCAGGCTGAACGCGGGCCGGTGGAGTCGGGGAAGTTGAGGTTCAGACGGAGGGTGCGGAGGTGTGCTAGCGGTGTGAGGACTTGTGTGATGTGTTTCTGCGAGAGCACAATTGGTCAGCCGGTCCGCATCAGCAGCCTTCGTGAAGGATGGGTAGAGATGGTGAGGGGGGCTGAGGACAAAGACGCACATAGTTGACTTGCCCGCCATTCCGATATCGGTGAAGCTCAAGATGCACGAGCCGCGGGAATGACGATGCGACGTAGCGCAGGAGCGCGTCGTCCGCACTGTCTGCAAGGTATACCAGCTCGAGCTTCTCAAGGTAATCGAGGGACATGCGCTTCAGGATCTGCAGGCACTCGGACGCAGTCAGCAGTGGCGACGTCCAGTGGCTCAGCACATATGGCATTTCCTCGTGGTAGTAATATCGCGGCCAGTCGCGCAGCGACAAATGCGTGATATTTGTAGCAGAGATGGAGAATATAGCATCTTCCGGGTCAGGGTATGCGAGTATGAGGGTCCGGAGCTCCGGAAGGTCGATAGATTGGCGTCCAAGGATTGGCCCCCGGCCAACCTTGAGCGCATACGGTTGAGCAGCCTGGAGAACGAGTTTGTGTAATCGAGGCATCTGCGAGAGTAGTCGGGCTAGGGTCGTGGACTGACTTCGATAGTGGTACCGGCCAATCAAGGATATCTCTCGAAGACGCGGCCAGAGCAACTCAGACATGCGTGCTATGGGCGCAGACTCCATGGGTAGCTCGAGGACCTCAGCCGTGTTTGAAATACCCAGAGTGATCAGGGCGAGACATTGAGATTCGAGCGCTATTTCGGTAGCTATGCTCCTGCGCTCCACCGTATCAGTGACTGCCTCGCGCCATACCGACGGCGCGTAGGTCAGGTGTGTCACAGAAACATTCGGAGGGTAGGGGGAATCTACCCTGGGGTCGGGGTGCAGGCCTGCCCAGCGTACGCTGCGGGTGAATGTGAGGGAGAGCACAGATGGGTTCGCGAGGCACTTCTTCATGAGCTCCAAGTGCACAAGTTTTAGAGTGCATCGAAACGAGACGGAGCGCAAGGAAGGAAGATAGTCAAGCTCGAGACCAGGTCTTGGTGGCGTGTCGAGACATTGCTTCTCTCCAGTGAATGAGTACTTTTGAACGGGAGTTATTGACAGTAGCCCCCTCTGACTATACGCAGATGGTAGCTGTCTGGGACACTCGCCAAGGAACGCGTCGCCGAGGACCGGCGTGCAGTACAGTAAGTCGAGGGAAGTCATTTCTGGACTCCCCCATTCCGGAGTCGAGCTGAAGTCAGAGCTGATCTGAGTCGCGACCTTCTCAAGCTGGATGCTAGGGAAGGGCTTGTAATTGAAATACGTGAGGTGCCTAGGGAAATCCGATATCAGTATGGTATGCTGAACTTGTTGCCTATTAGATTACTTACGCCACATGGGGACGGATTGCTTCAGGTGGGATACCCCTCTCCCCATCCGGATATGCGGTGCAATGCGCGAAGAGGATGGGCATACACGCCGCGCGAATGCGGCGGGATGTTTGAGACAAAAGCCCGAGTGTGCCTCTTGTCTGCGAAGTGGCGAGCGCGATGAGACGGAAAACATCTTCAGGTAGCGTCTCAAGCCTGGGCAGTAGAGATGTGACTTTTCAGGATATAAGCTCTTTAGAAATGAAGGTATTGATCGTACGTGAGAGATTGGATCTGGATCGGATGCAGACCAGCGGCAGCGGAGGTTTGGGTGGCGGTTTGTGGTTGCATGGGCGTCGAGGCTGGTCTAGACTAGTCTCCGGCGACAAGCTGCGCAGAAATGATGCCTAGTCGAGTTCTGTGCGATTAAGTATCGCCGACCGAGTGGATGTATGCGCGCAGTGGCGGCAGATGATTGCCCAGGCAGGTGGCGGGCTCGAAAAGGATGGTGACCGTGGCGTTTACGGAACGCACTCGGCTGTCCGGCGCTCATCCGATGCCTTTTCCCACAGATGAAGCGCTCTCGACCTGCGAGTGCTTTTGGGTTGCCGGTGTTTGTGCGCACATGTGATAGGCTCCTCCATGCACTCCATGGCACAACCGGCAGACCATCCTCTCATCCGTCTTCTCGCTCATCCTCCCGACTCCTTCGCCCCCGTCACTGTGTATAGCCAGCATGAGTGACTCTGTGATCCACGCTCTCGCTGGGGCCGCCGGCGGCATTGTCGCCATGTCGGCGACCTAGTGAGTTTTTCCTGCGCAATCCAACCTGTGAAGTCATAGGTCCTAAGCGGATATTTCCTGTGTAGCCCGCTCATTTTCCTCTCGACGCGTGCGGCGGTTGAGACTAAGAAGGAGCACAAGGTCCGTCGCACTAGCACGCCGCTACAGGGACACATCTGAATTGCTCGCCTTGGAATAGACCCCATATGAAGCTGTCCTTGACATCATCAAACGGGAGGGTTTCTTCGGCCTGTACAGCGGGCTGAACTCCAGCTTGCTTGGCATCGCGGTCACCAATGGGTACGTGCCATTCTCCTGCTCTGTATAACTTCACACCCTACTCGTCGTTTCGTGCTACGACTCGCCTGAACACTCTGCTTCGTCGCCCCGGCACTGACCCCGCCTTATGCGCAGGGTATACTACTACTTCTACGAGGGTACGCGTAACCTCCTCCTCAAAGCCCGCACCGGCAGCAAAGGCCTCAGCACCCTCGAGTCCATGCTCGCAGGCCTCATCGCAGGCTCCGCAACGACCGTCATCTCCAACCCCATCTGGGTCGTCCAGACCACCCAGGCGGTTTACACCTTGCCGGACCCGGACAAAGCTTCGCCCGAGGGTGCTCCCCGAGCCGAGCGCCCAGGCATCCTCCAGACCATCCAGCACATCCTCCGCAAGGACGGCATCGCCGCGTTCTGGCGGGGGCTGGGGCCTGCGCTCGTGCTGGTCATCAACCCCATCATCCAGTATACGGTGTTCGAGCAGCTGAAGAACTGGCTCGTCAAGGGGCGGACGGCGAAGCTGAGGGCGGGCGGGGCGAAGAACGCAGTTGCGATCCTGTCAGACTTCGACTACTTCTTGCTCGGCGCGTTGTCGAAGCTTGTGGCGACCTCCTCAACTTACCCATACATGTGCGTTTCTAACAATCTGCCGTCGAAGTCTCGTTGCTCATACCTGTGCATCCGCGTCCCGTCAGTGTCGTTAAGAGCCGTTTGCAGGCTGGTCAAGCCCATGCTCAGAGATACAAGTCCGCGCTTGACGGCATCCTCACGATCGTGAAGGAGGAGGGCATCGAGGGCTTGTACAGGGGTGTCGGCAGCAAACTGATCCAGAGCGTCTTGACGGCAGCCATTCTCTTTGCTGGCCAGAAGCGCATCTACGAGGTGACGAAGAAGGTGCGTGTCCTCCACTTTTCCTCGATCGATGTGTGATTGACATGCCTGCTCTCCAGGCTTTGGCTCCAGTTATTGTCAAGTAGTTGTCAAGTAAAACGTTGTATCGTATCGATAGCATACAATCTGGTATAATTGAACACTTCGGCATACTGTAGGCTCTTGAGGGCGCGCTGTGGCTAGGCTACTATGCTAGCCTTCGGACCTCCAGGCACTCGTGGTCCTTCACATTCAGTGAGAACGTGCACGGTTTCCGGTAAAGCTTGATTGGTATTCTACTTGGTCAAAGCTTCACCTGCACATCTGACAGTGGATCTTGCCGTCGACTGCTTCAAGAGGTACCGGATGAGTTATTTTTAGTGTCCTGTTATCTTTCCTCCTGCCGCTCTTCATGTCAGCCGCTTGAACGCAGTTGCTTCAGGGCGTCTCCGCGTTGCCGTACATAGCAGGCGCCCATTGTCTTGATCGCAAGACCCGGTCACTTGCCCTCGAACCCTCGAATTCTCCCCTTGCCCTGTGTCGCATACTCGAGTTATCACTGGAATGGACATCCTGCGTCTGATAAGCTAGTGGATGACTTCCCATAAGGATCTACGGCCATTTTGTCGTCCGTAGATACTGAAAGTGTCCTATCCGCCGAGATGCCGATGCCGATTTGTACTCCGCTTTCGAGGCCGACGTCCGTAGATGCTGCAAGCGCCCAAAATCTAGAAGGGGGGGTCGACCCCCCTTTCTAGACCTAAACGCAGCCGTAGAAGCTCGCTTGAGGTCGTAAACGACTCGAAAGGAAGGTGCCATCATCACAAATTGTGTTGGGATCAATCGCCTACTACATTGGGTGCTGATGTAAGGCGCAAAAGAGCACGTGCATAGCATTAGACGCTCTCCGGATATCCCGGCCTGATCATTGAGCGCCCGAGATCTCTGGACAGATTAGAGCTCCGATATATGTCTACGGACACTCCAGAGCCGTAGATCCTTATGGGAAGTCATCCAGTCTGGCGACTGCGCCTCGAAATGTGTTATCGGCAGCGTTCTCGACGGACCACCTGATAAGTGCGCGCACACGGTTCCTCAGATTCAGACCAGCCAGCCCGCGTCTCCTGTCTCACGGGTGGAGGTTTTACGCGGGGCCGCGACGCCAGGTACTCCAGTAGATATCTCTGGGGAATGGCGGGCCGGAGGGCGTTCCTCCACGGTCATATTCCGCCCTGTTCACGCTCAGTGCCCCTCCGTCCTCTTCTTGTCCTTATCTCGTGCTTCGTTCTCCCTACTGAAGCTCGAAGGACGACGGAAGAAGACAGGCAGGTGCAAGATGTCTCGCCTCCCAGCTCCCGAGATTTTGCCCGAGGTGATGGCGAACCCGCTTGTTACGACGTACTCAAGGGACGGAGGCACGAAGGATGCGAGCGTGGTTGGAGGTCGTGCGGACGAGTCTATCGCGATCGCCCCGGTGCGGAGGGAAGAGCCGATCGTCACTCGCAAGGTCTGTACTTGTTCTCATGAGGCTTGTGGGGGCCATGGAATGTTGAATGCCTTTGTCGGGACAGGAACTTTGGAGTTACTACCGTATGTCGCTTGTGGAGCTGCGTGTATGTGCGCGTTCTGATTAGTTCCGACGCGTTGGGAAGTGTACTACAACGGAGACAACGTACGTCCATCCTCGCTCTGGTCAGGAACTGGTCTCACGAAGCGGCGTCTTCTAGGGTGTAGGACCAAACGGTTGGTACTGTGCCCGACACAGTCGCGCAAGGTCGCTGAATATACTGTTTACTAGGCTACTCCATGACATTGTTCCAGTCGCTCGCGACAGCAGCTGGGTTCGATCCCGTCAAGGGCCCTGGTTCTAGCTGTAATGCGTCCGATGCGTCCGGCCAGTGTGTCCTCCCTTGGGGCGGAGGCACCAAGGCAGTCAGCTCTGTCGTGCTAGTCTCCAATGGCGTCAGCTTCGCTGTAAGTGTTTGTCTCAGTCTCCGAGTAGACATGCTGATACGAAGGGTTGTAAGATCATGACCGCCATCTTCACCACTATCGGGTCTGCCGCAGACTACGGAACGTTCGGTCGCTGGCTGCTCCTTATCCTCACTATCATATGTTGGGGTGCTCAGTTTGCTAGCATGTCTCTGACATGTGCGTGCATTCATCTACTTCGCTTCCGCATGTAGTGTGTCGGCATATACTTACGCTCTTAAAGCTCCGGACAGGTGGGGCGTCGCGATGGCACTCTACATGATTGGCTTCATCACGTATGGCGCAACGCTCGTGTTCTACGCAGCGGTCTTTCCGAGGCTAGCGCGCAACACGCAGCATGCGCGTGACCTCAGGGAGAAGTACGAGAGAGGTGAGGTCTCCGCGGAGGAGTACGAGGTTGAGGAGAGTATGGAGAAGAACCGTATAAGCAACATCAGCACGGTGAGCTTTATTAGCTGTTTGTACCTGCACGAGGGTCTCACCGATGCATGAGAACAGATGCATAGCAATGTCGGTTACATCGTCGTGCTGGCACTCAACCTTTCGCTTCTGCTCCCTCTCATGAACAACCCCAAAGTGAACAACTATGTCCTCGTTTTGTGAGTACATCTCGACACCACTTGCTCACAGATCGATCTCATGTTTGACGACGCTCAGGACAAACGGATACTGGGTGCTCACTGGTATCTGGTGGTGTCAGTTCTTCCCAAGATCATATCTCAGGTTATTTGGCCCTGCTAACTGGCACGCTGTATAGTCATCTTCCAACAACCACGTCCTGGACCCCCTCTTCCCAAGGGCGAGCACTATGTCACCGTGGGCTGGAAACAGATCTGGATCGCCTTCAAGCAGTACAAGAAGCTCCCTTACACCTTCGTGTACCTGATTGCATTCTTCTTACTAGCTGATGTGCGTGTCTTCGAATCCTTCACGCATTCCCGGTTGGTTTACGCACATATATGCAGGGTCTTAACACAACCGGGACGCTCGTATCGATCTGCCAGAATGACAAGTTCCATTTCTCGTTCCTCCAGAACACGTACCTAGGCCTCTCGCAGGCGATCACGTCCACTATCAGCACGCTCGGCTTCTGGTACATCCAGCGGTACTGGAAGATCTCCACCAAGACGATGTTTGTCGTGACTAACGTCGTGACGATCATGATACCGCTGTGGGGTATGATTGGCATCTGGACGCCTAAGCTCGGGTTCCATAACGTCTGGGAGTTCTGGGCGTACAACGTTGTCTTCGGTCTGTTCCAAGCGCCGTACTACGCGTTCTCGCAGACTATGATGGCCGAGCTGACGCCTCCCGGCTTCGATAACATGGTACGTCGCTCTCGCTCGTCGACCAGGGCTGGTTCTGAGGAATATCTGGCGGGGGCCACTTTGCAGTTCTTCGGCTTGTTCGGACTATCCAACCGCGCGTCGTCCATGATTGGCCCGAACGTCATCCAAGCCATCATCGACAACACGGGCAACAATTGGAAAGGGTTCCCGTTCCTCTTCGCCCTGTGCACTGCTGCGAGCTTGGTTATCTGGTTCGGTGCGTACTCTCTCCCTTCCCAGGACGATGATCTTCGATGCGAACTTGGTGCTGCAGGTGTCGATGTCACCACTGGGCGGCGCGACGCCGTCTCGTGGGCCGAGAAGCACCGCTCGTATGCCGACACGGGGATTTGGTCTGAAGAGCCGGAGGAGGGGTCGATTGATTCCCCCCGGAAGAAGTAGGGCGTGGTACAATTGGACAAGTCTTCGTGACTCTAGATGAATTCCTTAGCTGCTTCAGTTGGTTTTATTTTCTTCTGTGGTAATTGTATGACTGCAACGAAGTGACGAACGAGATATACGACTTGCTTGTTCTCTGCACGGTCTGTCTGTCTTCTCCAGCCATCTATCTCGCTCTTGCGTCACTCGGAACATACATGCTGCCGGATGGGCTCATCTGGTGAGTTTTTGCACCCACGTCTTGCGGTTGCTATCTTCCAATTTGGGTACAGTTCTGACAGTGCTCTAGTGAGGATCTGTCGTCGACGTATGTATACTTCAGCATTGAGATCCGCATATAGCATCCCAGAAGGCTGCGGATTCCCACAGGTAAGTAAGAAGATGCCCGACGAGTGCTGCGATTGCTGTCGTCGCAGCACTTGAGTTATAGCAGCGCAACCGCAGGAGGTTTCTCCGTGTATCGTCGTAGCCTTCAAGGCCTACACTTCTACGTGCGGACGGAGCAACACATGTCGGCTATGGCTTGAGTATCCTGGATATCATCTGATATCGTTACAAAGGATGGTCACGACATCGCACCTCAAACTCCTCCCAGCCAGTCTGCTGGAGCGCATCTTTGCATTCGCATGCACAGACGGCGGCTATACGGGGAGCTCGCTCTCTCGCGTCTCTAAATCCATCAGACAATCGTCCTCTATGACTCCCTTCCACTCCGTATCCCTGTGCTCTGGCTCAGCTAGGCAGATCAAGAAATTCCTCTCCGTGTTCACTGCACAATGCGAGATGGACATCTCTCACAGACCAAGACTCTATCATCGCCTTTCTCGATAATAGGTTCAGGCTCGACGAAGTCCGCGGGAGTGGAAGCGAACTTCACGAAGTTTGTTGCCTCCCTCACTTCGCTCGTTGCGCGCGAACTCGAGACGCTATGTCTTCTCCAATGCGCTGACACGCCCAACATATGGGACTTCCTACTTCCCTTTCCGGTATCACAAGCTAAGAACATCAGCTTTCCTAGCCTCCGCGAACTCATGCTCGTCGGTTCAGGCGTCGTACAGTACAACGTCGCCAATGATCTCGACTGGGACTCCGTCGAGGTTTTACCCGTCTATCCCATCTGCAGCTCACGGCCACAATCATCGAGACCTTGAGCTGGTCTTCCCCGGCGCCGAACCTTGCCCGGATGCGCATCACCGATCCACGACCGATACAGCATACAGCAAGCGATACGTACCACGTTCGTGCAGGTTACACTGAGCGTGTTAGGCTGCACACCGATCTCTCTGCCTCTCTCGCACTTGTCGGAGACTTTCTACACGGCCATGGACGAAGAGCCTGTTCGCGTGCTGAGGTATAATGGGCCGAGGGATGTTCAGGGTGAGAGCGACTGGGAGGAGATATGAAGCGGGAGTGGTTGGAGCGGATTGGCGGGGAGCCTGGATGCTGGTCGGCTGTCGACACCAAGAGATAGACCTATGGTTACATTTAAACCATTGTGCTGCCGTTTGCGAGGTGTGAGCCATCGGGAGCATACCAAAATATATTAATGCAGGCCTGTCCAATTAGCGCTCGCAGTATGGAATGTTACACGCCGTGGGAAGCGACGAGCTGATGATCATGAGTATTACTCTTGTCCTTTGTCTCCATCTGGTCGGCTGCTCGTTCACGTCAATATCCTGAGTAGAAGAGCCCTTATGCCACGTCACCGGCCGTATTTCTAGAGTGCCTGTGGAGAACCGTTCTGTTACGAGATTCCTCCCGCATCTTCCGCACCCTGGAAGTTTTCTGACGCTGCAACGCAATGTGTTCGGGAGGTTATTTCGTTACATAAACATCGAGAAGGCGTGGTGAGATCTCTCGGATTGGCTACCGACTATTCTTCGCAGGTAAGTCGGGCAGCACATCATCTGTTACGTGGTACTCACTCGCATTCCTCCACAGCGACGATCTCTCGGGGAAGGACATAGTCAGTGTCTTCGACCGCTGCCAGAGACGACATGGGATGATGGCGATCACCCGTGCTACACCGGGCGCACTGACGCTGTCCTCAACGGTCAATATTAACCTGCGCGACCGTCCATCGAAGTTGTCGATAGAATAGGCAGCGCCGATGCTGTAGAGACTGCGGGGAATCATGGGTACGTGGCAGCACGTTCCTCGATCCGATCAGGCATGCGGTCTCCTTGTTACAGAGGGCGTATGATGGTGACCTCTCGCATGTCAGGACTCAGGCGTGTTTGTGCGCTTTGCACTAGCGTCCAGGGGCGCGTAGGGCGGCGATAAGCCCTGCGTGGGACCCACCTTTCTTTTGTCCGCCATCGTTCGACAACACTTCCCCGCAAGCTTGCAGGGACTCGTATGAAATGGGCGGCCTTATGGCAGGCCTTTAGGGTCAGCAACGTCATGCGAACTCCACGATGCCTGCCGGCGTTGCCCGTTAGGTCACCGCGCTCTGCGCATCCTAGATGGAACTCGGCTCGTCGCTTGATGTGCGCTGTGCTCAAAAACCTCGAAGCTAAAAGCACGTCGTCCAACCCCGTTGTTCTCCACCATGGATCATCTCCCCACCGAACTACTCGAAGCTATCTTCACTCTCTGCTGCAACGATGGGGGTCGCACCGGTATCTCCCTGGCTCTTGTGTCGAAATATGTCCGAGCCGCATCTCGCACTAGTCGGTTCTACTCCGTCGCCCTTCGCTCCGGCTCTGCATCACAACTACACCATCTGCTATCCCTCCTCACAGCAGAACGTGCCATCGACAGCCCATTGAAACCCCGGGTCAGGCACCTCTACATCGCTTCTCCAAAGACACATATGGACAACTTCCTATACTCTTACTACCGCCAAGGAAGCCAACGTCCAGCCGAAGTTGAGGGTCTGGCCGAGCAGTACAGTCAGGAGCGCCTTGCCTTCATCACGAACATCTCGTTGCTGCTCCGAATGGTAGCCGCCGAGGTCGAGACGCTCTGCTTGGCACAGTCCGGCGATGCGTGCAGGTGGACGGCAGAAATTCCATTATACGTGCCCGAGGCAGAGTGCGGCGAGTTTTCGGCGCTGCGCGAACTCACTATCGTGGGGGGCGGCATGACGTTCTCCAACGCATCCACGAAGGGCTCCATTGTATATCCCCGTCTCTCTAGGTTGCACCTCGTCGGAGCCGCTACACGCCTAGAGCGATGGACGGCGCGGGCCCCGAACATCTCGTGCTTGTGCGTTTCCGACGAGCGCGGACATATGTACCAGGAGGTGGCGCGGGTCGCCCACAGAGATTCTGGTCAGTCCCCCTTTGATCTGAGTTCCCTGTCTGGCACCGACCTCTATAACAGAGGACACATCCGTCGTCTTCGTCGGCTTGAAACAATTCGTCATACAACCTTACGGTTCTGCACTTCTCCAGCCCGGGAATCCGGCTGCTTTGCCGTGGGACATCCAAGCACCAGGGTTCAACGAGTGGCAACTCGGATGGCTGACGAGGAACGCGGTTCAACCATTCCATCTCCGGCCGACGAAGCTTGTACCTGGATCAGAGGGTAGCTGGGAGGATATCACGCTACGAGAATGGTTAGACCGAATCGATGGTGGGGACGGGTGCTGGACGATGCAGATTGATGTTGGCCAGCGGTCTCCCTCGACCAGTAGCGTATAGAGTACTTCTGCATATGCACATGTGTTCTTCTGAGCTATAGTTGTCGAGGCTCAGCGCATTGGTGACATGTACATAGAGTATAGAGTTCCTCTCGGTCCTGGATTCAAATCGTCAACGATGATGTGCGGAGGCTGTACTGTCGATAAGTACTTCTATGTACTGAAAAATATCTACCGCCCACCCTACATCGAGATGATCACTGTACCCTAAAACACACAACACGTTGGTCAGATGAGGTCTTGACGGTGCTCCCAGTCACTCTGCAGACCGCCACAGACGCGCAACACAATGCACCGGTCTTCCGCGAGATTGCTGTTGTATATCCAATCTGGCATGAATATTGATGGAACACGTTGCCATCGCCAAGTCTGGTACAATGGCGGCCACGGCGCTCTCTGCACCTCTTTATCGATACCTACTACATACGCTGCTCTAGCGTGTCTGTACCATCTGTCTTCAGATCTTTCTTCCTGGCTAATCGACGACAGACTCCTGATACATGGAAGGACTTGCTGTCGAAATACTCGAGAAGATCTCTACCTTCGCTTGCACCGACGGCGGGCGGACGGGATGTTCCCTTTCCCTTACATCGCGATACATACGGGAAGCCACTCGCAGTGCTCGCTTTCATTCCATATCGCTCGTCTATCCTCTGTCTATGACAAGCGATGAACAGATCAAACGATTCTCCTCCTTCTTTTTCGCGGAGCGCGCTGCACTTTCGGAACGTAGAGTTCCTCGGTTAAGGCATCTGCGTATACCTTGGACGCCGGCCGCTGCAATACTTTGCGAAACTTTCGCCTCAGAGTTGCACTCTCTCGTGATCTTACAAAGCTGGCCTCCGTCCGACCATGTCGACGTCAGCGGGACGGAGTTCCCATTGCTACAGGAGCTGACCATCCTTGGAAGCGGCCTTGAATTCGGGGGTGTGTATCCTCACCCTAGACTCCCAAGCCTTACTCGACTCCACATCGCTGCCATGCCATCGAAACCAAGTCAGCAACTCGGTGCGCCTGACCTCCGTCTCTGGTCCGCCCGCGCGCCACACGTAACCCACCTACGCGTGTCTCTCGTAAATGACACCAAAGTGGTTCTCCTAGCACAGCTTGCAAATCTTGTAGGTGTGTGCATTCCTGCAGTATTTAAATAGTAATTCACGAATGGCTGATATAACGTCCTCATCGACAGCACCTGAACTGAAGGGCTTGCCTTTGATATTTCCGGATCTGGAGCAAGCAGTGGTACAGCTACCTGGAACTAGGACTGCCATTCGCACTTCTGCTCAAGAGTGGGATTTGTTGATGGCACCATTTTTGCAAGGATCTCCTGCGACCCGTCCGCTGGTATTGCATTCCCAGAAGTCTGACAACCTGCAGACAATTCGTTCCGATATGGAGCGCGACTGGTTGGAACGTATGGCCGGTGGATCCGGATGTTGGGTGGAGCAGTGAGGTCTGTACGCATCTTGTTCGCCGCTCCCCTGCGATCCATTGTGACTTCGAATAATGTGTATTCAGTGAAACACCAACTTTTGTGCTGCATAATTTCGCAGCGGTACTTTGACGTCAATGCGTTAAACGCGCCCAGGTTCGTGTTGGAGTTGGCTGGCCACAGATGATCGATGGGTCGTCCTTGTATTGTTCACCTGGAACATAACTACACCCATGTCCTGTTTGTTTCGGCCACTTCTTGGGGGCTTCTCATAAGCCCTTCTGTGTTGGACAGCCGAGGACACGAACGGCTCGGGTCGGCCCTACTAGCGGCGTTCGGCTCGATCCGGCAGTAAAGGCACTTATTCTGTTATCCACCGTCGTTCCAGCTGCAATGCTTGTAGCCAACGACCACCATCCTTAGTACGTTACAGAGAAACTTGAAGGTTCATTGTACTCAGCACTAATGTACGTATATCAGCACTATGCGATCAGCTTCAGACGTCATGCTCAAGGCCATCCATTAGAAGGGCGTAGATCAGCAAACGCGTGGTTGATCACAAGCCACACCCCGACATCGACGTCTACAGAGCCTGCTTTGCATCGCAAGTAGTACCCTAGCATCTCACCATCAGCCCAATGGAGGATCTTCCGGTGGAGCTACTCCAGCCCATATGTCTCTACTCCTGCACCGATGGTGGTTTCACTGGGAGCTCTCTTTCTCTCGTTTCCAGACACTTCCAAGATATATCTCGTACTGTGCGTTTCCACTCCATTGGCCTCCGCTCGGACACTTTCCCGGCAGCGAGATAGCTTCCTGAGCTGCTTGATCAACCAGCGCTCGATCTCCTGCCCTCCTGTCCTTGTGAGACATCTGTGTCTGGCCAGCTCAGTGGTGAGGCGCAATCTCAACTCTCCATTCTTCCATTTAACGAGATTTACATCGTAGTCACCCAGTGCCGACAATTTGCCATCTGCTATCCGCACCATCAACTTGATGAAGCTTCTCGGATCGGAGCTGCATACACTAGCCTTCATAAATCGCAGCTACGGAGAAGCGCTGGGCGTGGCGTGTCCCGAATCCGAACCCAAAATATTCCCGTTGTTGCGCGAGCTAACGCTTGCGAACTGCATCATTTGCTACGGGTTTTCCAGTAAACCCCCTTCAGTCGGCGATGAGGACGCAATGAATAGAAGTCGTATGGAGATGTTTTATCCCAGTCTAACGCACTTTCACGCCGCGCCCCCGGTCCCCGAAATTGATGTTAACGAGTGGGCGAAAACAATGCCCGCACTGACACACGTCCGCATCTCAATTCCATGGCCGCTCGATATTGTTCCCCATCTACACAGAGTTTTCGGTCAGTGTCGAAGTGTTTCCTACTTCATCCAGCTCATTGATTACCATAGATCTTATGTCCCGCAGAACGAGCAATAGACCCGGAGCATAATTCAGAAGGCGGCTTCGACCTCCTCCGACTCAAACAACTCATTCTACAACCTCCAAAACTTGTCCCATGCGCCCGTCAGTCTAGTGAGAAAGTGGACCCACTTGTCTCATTGCGGCAGGCAGTCGCCTCGTTCCCACACGTCGCGATGGAGCAGTCCCCTGTGTCCGCAGAATCTTGGTGCGACGCACTCGTACGCTGGTTCTTGGATCGCATTGAAGGTGCCCCGGGGTGCTGGCAGCTGAGGGAGCCTTGGACAGCGCCTTAGATTGGTGCAGCCGAGGCAAGCACGGTGTATAACTATAAATATCTGGGGCACGCATCCGTGAGTCTTCTCAGCTTCCTGACTTGGAACGAACGGTGCGTACATATCACCGCTGCAACTCAGTAGGACCCCTATTCGGCGACGACATATACGACATGATTGCTATTCTCCATTTGACGGCCCCATGCAGCCTGCATACACGGTTGGCATTTTCTCTCCAATATGTGGTGTGCCACGTAGTCATACTGAACTAGCCGGTGTGCTCCCTATCTTCTCTCGTGCATCAAATTCGAGTTTCAATACGTCGCCTTCATGAGGCCGTGCTTTGAGGTCATGTGATCCCTATGTCATACTATGATTAGCACGTGGTTACACGACATGCAAGGCAACAGAAGCGCCTACGTAGTTCCATCGACCACGCCCTTGTTGGATCAATACGTCTGGCGAGCTTTCTCTACCGTGGCTTACTTACCGTTGACTTGATTTGAAGTCCGGTGCATATCTAGTATCGCCATACCGGTATGGGAACTCTCGCTATCGAGCCGAATGAACAACTCATCATCCTCACATCTTCCGAGGATGGCTAACATGCATAAAGCGTCCAGTTCAACTTTGTAAGCCATGACCAGCTCCTCTCCAGCTACGTTCCGCGAAAGGCAGGCTCGAGGATACCACAGACGTCATCGTGTTCTGAGTCATGAAGCTTCCGTGATACGGACCATCCTTTCGGAGAGTCGCAGATATGATTTACTCGTTTATGCAACCCCGCGATGTTCGCGGCAGCTGTGCGTTAAAACCGTCCTCCTCACCTCTGATTGAGCTACATTTCAGTATGTCCGATCTCCACAGCTAGTACGCCTTGAGGTTCATGTGTATCTCATAAGGGTGGCAAGTCTTGATTCCATTGCATGGTCGAGTAGGGTGCTGAAAATGTTGGGTCATCGCTAATGATTCTGGTCATTGCTCCCGGTTCGTTGGCCCAGGTGGAACGCCGTGTATACTCCTGGAAAGAATTGTCGAAATGCGACGGGCGCCGCCCTCCGCGTCCCTAGACCCTCCGAGAGATGTGGGATTGTGTATGTGGCGCTGTAGAGCTACATGTACCCCAGCCGGCTTCGCAAGGCCTCTCTGATCGTTGTTGTTCAGGCGAGAGGGGTGTACCCTGCAAAGGAAACTTCGGGACGCCCGACAGACCTGATCGTGTCCTTGGCGAAGGACATGCCGGGCACTTTTGCAGACCTCAACAACGCTTGCAGCAGACCGCGCGCAATCTAGGCCCTATACTTACCTCTGGCCTAGCTGCATAGGGTTTAACCCCTTTGGTGGCAAATCGCGTACTGAGGTGGCTTCAGCATTCCTCACGATCAGCGCTAGACCGAGCGAGCCCGTGCTATTGTTGTTGTCGCATGTTGTGCAAGCAATGCATTGCACATCCTCCTGTCTGTCCTGTGCGGGAACAGGGGGCCGTGAGAGGGTTCGATACGAAGCCTTTAGGCTTTCCATGCGAGGCTTCTCTCCTAGAGAGCGTGAGTGGGTTAGGCTTGGGTTAGTTGGCCTATGGATCACGGGCCTGGATGGCGCAACAACGCCACCCGGACTAGGACGAAGCGAGAGGAGACTTTGCGCTCCTTTGCTCGCTCCCCATATGTTATGGCACGTGGTGGGTGGCAAATCGACGTCCGGACCGCAGGCGTGTCTCAGGAAACAAGACCTCAGGAGAGATGATCGGGCGGGGAGGCGCCGACCGACAGGACGGTACCTGGTAGCTGCTGCCAAAGACTGTAAGGGCGCACGCGCAAGAACTTGGGGAATATCTTGACGGCATCGAGGGGGAGAGCTGAATTTGCACATGGATAGCAGACGGGAGAGGGGTCGGTGAATAGTCCCGCGAAGGTCGCCGCGATTGATGCTGAGGGGAGAGGCTGTTGGCGCGATCGGGGAGATATGCACGCAAGCAGCCGGTTTCGTCGACGGGCAGTTATCGCAAAGACGCTGTGCTTACCCTCTTGGACGACTGCCACCAAGTAACAACGCCATATATAGTCCCCAAACATGCTGTGCGCCGTCTCCGCTGCATCATAACCCGCCCTGCTTGCGTCTGTCCAGATCGGTCTCTGTCTCTGTCTGAACCAGCAACTTCCTGTGAGCGGGCACTGGTACTGGGCATCACGTTCTGATTACATTTACCCGTGAGTCATCCGGATTTGCTTCAATGTGCCTGCTTCGTATACACTAGCTGACACGCGCGTCGACCGGAGAACTCTGCTCGACAGCTCCCCTCATCATCCGCGTCCGAAGCTTCCACGGTCGTCCGCGGTTGCAGACGTCGGCGATATCGACCATGGAACGCCTCGCAGTCGAACTGCTCGAACAGATATTCCTCCTTGCCTGTACTGACGGCGGCTTCACTGGCTGCTCCCTCTCCCTCGTTTCCAAGCATATCCGCGCCGTCTCCCGCTCCTCTCGTTTCTACTCCGTCGCCCTCCTCTCCAAGTCTCCCAAGCAGGTCGCCCGTTTCTACGACGCCTTCATCAAGGAGCGCGACGCCGCCCGCCATACACTCCCCAAAATCCGCCACCTATGCCTCGCCTCCGCCATCCGCGAAGTCACCCCTCTCCTCGAGCTCCCCCCTTTCCGCAATGACGACGATCTCCTGCACATCAAGCAGCTCCTCCGCCAGGCAGAAGAGAGCAAGGAGCAGCTCCGCGCCGAGATGGACGCGGAAATGCGGCAGTATCACGCGGACGTCTCCAAGCTCATCCAGCTCGTCGCCCCCGACGTGTACTCGCTGTCCCTGATCCACTGCCACCGTTCTGGGAAGCCGGAGCTTCGCTTCGAAGAGCAAATCGAATTCCGCGGCTTCCCCAAGCTGCGTGAGCTGACGATCGTCGGCGATCATCCAAAGTTCGTTCTCTCGGAAGACGCCGCCCGGGACGGAGCAGCGTTGTACCCGCAACTCGAGCACCTCCATCTCGCCCTCGTCTCCCTCACCGCCTACCAGAGCCTCGACGTGCTCAGCTGGACGTCCGACGCTCCGCAGCTCACCCACATGCGCATCTCCAACATCAACTACTGGCCAAGAACCGTCCTGGACGCTCTCAAGAAGGCTTTCGGTGAGTCCCGTCCCACGCCCACAGATGACCCACGGCGCGCACACGTCTTCTCTCCGTCCCTCCCTGTGCATGCGTCCCTACGTTCCACGTTCCTTCCTTCCTTCGAACTTGCGCTCACACGACCCGACGGCTGACACCCCGTTTCGCACGGCAGCGACGAAGGAGATGTCGAGACGCCTGCTGCAGGTCGTCATGCAGCCCCACTCGCCGCCGCCCATGGGCGGGCCCTGCGGCACCCCGCACTTCGTGTACGACAACTTCAAGCAGCAGCTGCGCGACCTCTGCAAGCCCTCGGAGATCCCCACCGTGCTCCTCCCGCCGAACAAGGACCTCAAGGAGCGAGATTGGGAGGACATCATGATGCGCGCGTGGGTGGACCGCGTCGAGGGCCGGTTAGGGTGCTGGGACACGCGCGATCCGAGGGCGGAGGTGTGCTGTTGACTCCTGCTGACCCGTGTGGAGGGTGCGCGTGCTGGAGCAGGGGAGACGGGTGTGGAGGCAGAGATACCGTATGCGTCTTTCAATTTTGTCGTGGCAATACTGCATAGCTCTGGCGCCGATAACGACGCCGTTAGTGTCCGCGGATATGGACCGTTGGTGTATCATAGCTTATTGCTTAACTTGAACGCATACCCCGTCTGTGCTGTATATAGGGTACACACATTCTTTAACTCGTTCCGTACTTTGAAATACCTTCTTGTGCATAGGCACATTTTACTCGCCTATAGCAGCGGGTTTCTCGATTTCTGGGTGTTTCGGTTCTGCGGCGTAGCCAGGAAGGCTTTTGGTGTTAGGTTGCAAGCAGGTCCGGTACGCAGCTCGTATTGAGCCCAGGGATCGGGGAATTGATTAGATAGGCCCTCGATGCGATGAAGAAGATCTGACAGCAATCTCCACCGAGATTGCGCATGTACCGCAAACACCGACTCCATCCGCAGTCGTACTCACCAGACTTTCTCATCCGAAGCACTGGCGGGAGTACATCGCCTGCGCGACTGTCCCTGTGTGGAATTATCGCAAGACAGCTGAACAGGGTACCATCCCGTATCACCACACGATGCAAGATGTCAATACACTATAAGACAACAGTCGAATTCTTCTACATCAAACAAAAAAGCAGAGACTACGTTCTATCGTGAGTAGTGATCCCTATTGTTGCGCTTTATCCATATAGGATGGAAGGCCGGGGGCACACGGTGGCGCCGTACACTTGTGCCTGATCCTGACCGCTCATGCTGAGAGGAGCGAGGGAGGCTGAATAGAACACAAGCATGCAAGACAAGTCTGCTGGTTGTCATAGGAATACACTTTGTATATATCGAACGGGGTACCCTCTATGTCGATTCATACATACAAATCTCAAAACTCTAGAGACATACAGCCGCCGGACTGCACGCATTCACAAGCTCCCCAATAAAGCCAGGTGAGCAGTCCTAAATCGCTCCCGGAAAATAGCACTCGCTGATGTGAACCGTCAGCATGGTCGAAGAGCGTGTCGCACTCCTCACAGGCGAGGGTGATGGTAGACTCTCTACGCACCGTACACTTACGTCCCTCTTTCGCTCTACAAACCCTGCCAAGGGGTTTCGACAGCTACTCCGCTCTTTCACGGACCAGTTGTGCAGGACCGCAACATGCTTGTGCGGCTATCGCCAGCGGCAGCCTGAGAGGCAGGGATATATCCCTTTGAAGATCCTACGACCGGATGATATCCCTTCGAAGATCCTGCGGCTGGAAGATCTCCCTTTGGAGATCCTCCACTCCATCTTCCTCGATGCGTGCACCGACGGCGGGAAGACTGGCTGTTCGCTGTCGTTGGTTTCAAAGGGGATCCACGCGGCTTCTCGCGCCGCTCGCTTTCATTCCGTCTCCCTCCTCGCCCCCACGCTTGTGAACCTGTATCGCTTCCTCATGGTATACAACGACGCTTGCAGCGCTGCAAAAAATGCGGGTGTCGAGACGCCAAGAGTACAGCATCTTTGCCTGCTCGTCGATATCTTCAGCGGAGACGGGAACAGTGTGCCCGGTGTCAAACACGCCGGAAGGGACAAACGAAACCAACGACACTTGGGGCGGCTGGCCGACTTGCACGACCGCGAGAACAATGCCCCGCGCGGCACGCTTGCAGCCCATCTGCGAGCCGTGTATCATGCCGGGGTAGTTATCCTGCTGAACATGGTCGCCGGCGATCTCACGTCCCTATGTTTGTATCGATTCCCACATGACCCGATGTCCCCTACGGTCGTGCCAGCCTTCCCCAAACTCCAGGAGCTGTGGTTAGGTGGCGAGGATACGCGGTCCCCATTCGTATTCTTCAGAGACAGGGATGATTCCGGGCCCAGGTTTCCACAGCTGAGGAGACTGCACACACGTGTGGATGGACATGCTTCCATCTGGCGGTGGTGCGAGGACGCGCCTCGGCTGAGAGACGTGCGGATCGTGGCGGATGCGAAGATGCTGCTGCAGCCTGAAGACTGTAGCAAGATCCTAAACATCGCAGGTGAGACGACACCGTCCAATGGTCATCTCCGTCACACGTGATCATAACAAACCTCGCTTAGTAGCCAATCCATGGTGGGAGGTACCGGGACGGCAAGTAAAGATCCTCGTGAGAAGCGAAAAAACCTGGCGCACTAGACTCCCACTATCTCGCGCCGTCCTGTTGATGGTGCTGCGAGGCATGCTGGTCGAGAGATCTCGTTCGCTAGTCTTCGTACCGTTCTACACGTCGCAGGACTTGGATAGTGGCGAGCGCGAGTCCATCCAGAATCAGAGCATGTTCTGGGGCGGGGATCGGCAGACGGGGCCGGACGAGCTCTTCAGACGGGACTGGCTGGCTTGTATGGCGCCGCTGCAGGACGGTCGGCGGGATGGGATCTATGTCAGAGATTTTTGGACGCGTGCTCCGGAGCCTGAGAGACGCAGCCGAATCGGTGCAGCCTTCGGAAAAGTGGGTAGTAGGACTAAGCCTGACTATATGACGCCCTTGGTTATCCCGCAGACTTGAGCATCATGCCTAGGTAGCTTGTCGACGTTGTATTGATACCTCCCACTTCCAATGTCTGTATCGTAAAGCATTTGTGAGTCTGATGTAGAGCGCATCCATAATGACATTGTAGTATCATGTAACGACCTAAGTATGCATCGTAAGCTTACATTTGACCTTGATGCCAGCAGCTGTCTAGCCATTTCTCCTTTCAATCGGAAGTCTAGATACTGACTGGACTCGTGTGTAGTACATATCGCTGGTTTTTAACTCCACCGCCTGTTCGTCCACATATATCTATTGTAACGATTGCCCTGTAGATGTCTTCTCACGTGTGTTAGTGCTCTCGATGTGTGCTTGTCTAGGTGCGCCGATGCTCATGCCTGCATGCCAGTGACGAGAAATCACATGGGCAGCGGCGCGTATGTGATTCAAGGAGACGATCGTAGAATTCGAACCTTGCCTCGTGCGCGTCACCCTCTTCACGCGGCCAACAGCCCAACCGCCGTGAAGGTCAGTTCGGCACCACATTTGGTCAGCCAGCCCTGCCAGTGGTTCAAGAACCCACATCTATGCACGCTAAACTCGGGCAGGACGGAAAACGATGGTATTGGGCGCGCGCTACGGAAGCTGCGCGGGACCACCGAGTCCGTGTCGCCACCGCTCTCTCGCGCGACCGGTGGGCCGAGCTCAAGCCAGGAAGGAGAGTGAAGCGGAGAGCCGGAGGCTCGGGAGGCTGAGCGTGAGGATCGGCCCAAAGGGAAGTGATTGCACCCAAACGGGGGCCGGCACCGGGGCCCGGGCCCAAGGAGGAGTGATGGCGAGCGGATTCATCGAGGGAGGGCGGGCCGGCCCGAGGAGAAGGGATGGAGTGAGCATGATGCGGCCGGGCGGGGGGCCGGGTTGGGGAGGAAGCAGTGAGCGGATCACCGCATAAGAGGCCCCGGAGGGCAGGCGGAACGACGAGAGGGCGCAGCGAGCTGCCCGGAGGAGTGGCGAGTGGCGAGGGCACGGATGCCCGGAGGGGTGGCGAGCGGATCGCTGAAGAAAGGAGCTGGTGGTCCCCATTGGGCAACA